GGGAGATTCGGTAACGAGTTGGCAGTTCTCACTATAATAGTTAAAAACTAGATAATGTAAAGGAAATTTGGTGAAAATTTCATTCAAATTGATCCACTATGAACCGAGAATTAAGCGACTGAAATTCCCATAAGCCTCGGTCATCATTACTAAAGCCAGTACAATAAACAGCATAGTCTCGATTATCCATTTAATCGAGAAGGAAAGTTATGCAGTAAATCGGCTTACAATCCACTAAAGATCGCAGGCTAGCGCTGCCATCTCGAGTTGATTATGGCCTGGGTAGGTTAATTAATGTCTAATTAATAATTTAGATCACATTTCAGGCCTAAAGAAAGGCCTGAAATAGGCAGATTTAGCTCTTGCATAATGTATGTTTAATAAAACCGAGAGGTCACAGTTATCCACAGAAAATTATATTTCAAACAGATAAAATCAAAACCAACCGAAACGATTTCAATGATAAACATGTAATGTCATAATAATATACACTATTTACATAATATACTATTAATAGCACTAATACAATACAATATATATATTCATAATATAATATTATTTATACAGATCAGGGTTTTGAAACACGAATATCTTGAGTTGAGAGATTTAAAACAGCCAAACCCCTGTTAATTCTAATCCCCAATAATTATGCTTTGACAAATTCACATTAACTTTTTTAAAAGTTAATCTCGCAAAACCAAGGCGGTAAATGGGTGATATGCAAATGTTCGCAGAGATAAATTATGTCATAATTTGTACATGTAGAAACGTATGGTCTAGACCCTGTCACCAGTCTTGTCTGCTGGGAAGATTTGGAAATTGACATAAACTTTTAAGTTCAGTCTCGTTTCATTTTGTGTACAAATCTCTTTTGAACCTATTCAACCAATTCATAAATGCAGAACCCCCAAAAAGGCGGGAATTAGGTTATAAATTAATGTTATAATTTCTACATGTAGAAAATGCCTGGTCTAGACCCTGTCACCAATCTTGTCTGCTGGGAGGAATATGTCTGTAGAAGGTGAGGTGCCATGGAACCACGATTATGATTTAGAGGAGCAGATCCTTCCACTCTTAAAAAGTAGTTCCTCTTACACTCAGCAACAGGTTTATTTGTAACTTTGATATTGTAATTACTGCGTTTTCTTGAGAGTTGGTTTGTTACGGCATTTACGTTGTTGTCGGGGAGAATATTAGATCGCGCTGTAGACGCCGGATCCCAGACCTGTGCATAAATGTGATCAATATCATCGTAATCATCGTTGGTTATTAAAACATTCGGATTTGTCACTGGCGGAACCTCTTCTATAATTGGTCGCAGCATATTTGGCATCCGATGATGAGACGGTCGTCGGGGTAGGGCTGGTGGTTCTTGTCTATTAGTCTCACGTGTAAGTTGATGATTGTTTGTCCAGGTTGACCGAGTCTCTGCTTCTATCTGTATTTTAAGATGGTGTGAATCGTTTTTACTGAAAAAATACAAATCTATATTAAAATATTTCAAGAAATTATTATTTATTTTGTACGATTTTTAGTGTTTACTGAAACATTCACGTATATCAAATGTAGACGTCCATGGGTATTTAAGAAATACGAAAATCCATTAACACATTATTAATATAATATTATATTTATGCTATATAAACGTACCAAATGAAAAGGCATATATGTATAAGCCTATTCGATAAATCTTCATCTATTTGGGGATAATCGTTTGAAAACGACGGAAGAACGCTTTTCGTGAGAGAGAGAGAGAGAGAGAGAGAGGGGGGGGAGGGGGGAGAGAGAGAGATCAGAGTGTGTGTGAGAGAGGGAGAGAGAGAGGGGGGGGGTTAACGTCCACTCGACACAAACCAGGACATTTCGGGACTAACACATGGTTCAATTTTATTTCAATAATTCGCTTGCGCGTAGGTGTCTCTAGCAGTGGGGGGACCCGGACAGAACCCACGAGGTTGGACAGGCGACCCTACTCCTTGTCACGTACAACCGGGGATTCGAAACCACACCAGTTGACTCAATGACAGACCTTAATATGATACAGTGCGCACGTGCTAACCATTTAGCCCCCCCCCCCCCCCCAGCTTTTCGTGTACAAAATGAACCCAAATATTGCTACATGATGGCACTTAAAGGAGCTAAATCGCTAACATTTGGGACCTAGAAATTGACAAAAGTGGGTCGCAACCCATATAATACTGTAATATGAATGTATATAAACTGATTTACATTCAATGGTTTCCGTTTTTACTCCAATTTCAAATCAGTTATGTTCGGCGAAATAAGCCAGCAGTCTCAAGCGAGTGCAAATTTCTAGCGTCTGGTTATTCCAGTCTATATACGCCGTTTGATTTGGTGCAATGTGTCTAGCCTCGTCCCTCGAGTCTCTTGATACCACTGGGGCTGAAGCGCATTATCGTGTACCAATGGTAAAATGTTTATTTTGTCTTAAATATTGGATATCAAAGGCCCATCTTTTTCCGGTAAGATCACAACATGAATTTTGATTTAATTTGACAAATAAATCGTGTTTTCAATGTTGAAGATTTTGGATGATATTGAGTTAGAGACTTAGCTACTTTAACTAACAAAATAGTGTCAAACTGTGCAGGATAACATCAGAAAAAAAAGTTTCTCTTTCTTAGTATACGAAGTTTAAGGTTCACCCAATACTCGGGACACAATTATTTCAATAATTCGCTTGTGCGTAGAGTCCTAAGACAGGCGGGGGGAGGGGGGCCGGAGGACCCGAAGAAAACTCACGAGGTTAGGCAATCGATTCTACTTTTTGTAACGTACAAATGTGAGATCGAAACTACGTCACTTGATTCAATGACAGACCTTACCATGTAAAGTGCCCCATTTGACCATTCAGCCACCATTATGCCGTGATTTAAAAAAGCACATTACCAATGCACAAGCCATCAATCGGTACCAAAAGTTTTCATCTTCTATATATAAATTACCTTATTGCTGTACAACATGAAACGAAACATCTTCCTATTAACCAGATTATCTCTAGTACTGTAATAACCGACATTCCAATTAAAATAGCTGATAAACCTCCAACTTTCCATAATAAATCTAACCACTGAAAAAAAATACAACTTCAAGAAGTGAAATGAATTACAGTAATTGTCATTTATAGCTGTCAATTGTCAGATCATGGGCGTATTATAAGGTCCATGGTCAGATTTTACCCGTGCGTGGATCAACATGCTACTCAGCAAATACCACACACAAGTACATGTAGTTAAAAGAGTCAATGTGGTAAAAGGTTAAGTAAGAAGAACAGAGAGATGTTCTTGACAATTTGGCTTTGTCCGGGGAAAAGATGGGTAAATCAAAGATGGTCCGTGAAATCAGTACACATTAATGTCAACTTTAAATCGTCATAATTTACGTTATTGAACAAATATGCTTTTTGATAAGGTTGATTTTCTTAAATTGTGTTTTGTCTGAAGGTCTTTGCTTTATATTCTGGAATTGTGCCTTGAATACACCAATGTTCATGTACATGTATATCTGGAATATTGAGCCTTGAATATGCCAATGTTGAATATAAGAAATGTCTATGTAATAGTGATTCGACTTACGTTAATATCGTAGATTTCAGTATATTCTTTCTGATGAAATTTACGTGTATCAATGTCTACTTTTACCATTGTGTCCCTATAAATAAAGGATTATGTGACATTGTGATGAGTATATATTCTCATAATAGTAGTAACTAAATTATTTATATTCATTAACAAGCGGTTGTCATGCAAGATACGCCCACATTTTGCAAGAGATGTGATTTTTTGTACAATCAGGAGACATATCCAGGAAGATATGCGCGAATATCGAAAGGAACCGAGATCTTTGAGTTATGAACATACATTTCAAGTTTCATCAAAGAGCGGCCATTTTGTTGTGCTGTTTCATTTCAATTTTCCCGAAATTCGGATTCAACCTTCATTATGGTGGAATGGTGATATATTTAAACGGTTTTTAAAATCGGAAAAAGAACTGTGACCTCTAGAGAATCCGCAAGCTAAAAATGCGATTTTTCGAACAATCAGGGGACATAATCCAGGAAGTTACGTTCGCATATGCGCGATTATCAAAAGGAACCAAGATCTTAGTGTGTAACAGTGATATATTCACACGTTTTTTTTTAAATCGGATAAAAATTGTGACCTCTGAATTTTGTACAATGAACTCAACCATCATTACGGTGTAACGGTGATATATTCAAACGTTTTTTTTTTAAACCGGATTATAATTGTGACCTCTAGAGGGACCACAAGCTAGAAACGCGATTTTTGTACAATCAGGGGCCATAATTCAGGAAGTGACGATCCAATATGCGCAAATATCGAAAGGAACCAAGATCTTTGGGTTATAAAATTGTGACCTCTAGGGTGTCCACAAGCTAAAAACGTCATTTTTCGTAGAATCAGGGGTCATAATCTATGAAGTTTCGATCCGATACATGCCAATATCGAAAGCAACCGAGATCCTTTGGAGATAAACCTTTATTTCAATTTTCGCTAAAATCGGATAAGAATTGTGACCTGTAGAGTGTCCACAAACACACTGTGGACGGACAGACGGACTGAAAGGGGCGACGACATGAAAATGTGGGCGTATGAAAATACAGTTTTCACTTACAGGACTACTGGGAAGCCCGCTACCAAAAAATACCCTGTATGATCCTATTTCAAAAGGTACAACCTTATAGAAAGTATATGTGACCAGATAGGAACACATATTACACGTCATTCGAGGTATAAAGTTGGGTACAATGCGATTTCATGCACCACCAAAATCAAAAGATTGATCTTTGAATTCAGATCAGATTTATAGTCTGACAAATCTTTCGTTTGTGTCTGTCAAAGTATGATTTTCCCGAAGTTTGGCCCTTTTGCATTGCTGTTAGTTGTGCTAATGACAGTCTATCATCAGAATAGCCATGAAAAGTCCTGAGACTAAGTATAGTTACAGAAGAATACTAACTTGATCTGTGCAGAATTCCTGGTTATTCCTTTGCTGGCCAAACTTCTTTCAACGTGAATCTGTAATGTTTCAAATTAAATTAATGAATTTTCATAATTTTATAAGTGTAATGATATGAGTGTTTCAAGTTTCGTCTCTTTTTCAGGCATAAAAACGTTATCGGTCTAATTACTAATCTGGTCTAGAAAGCTGCAGGTTTGCAGATCGCAATCCGTTAATTCCGTTTCGATAATAAAATTATTTTAGCACTGTTAGTTTTTGAACCAATGTATAACCAACTACTTACAGAGTGAAACTGAGACGGCCATTCTCCTGTTGAATCGTCAATATGATAATGCGTTTCGCTGTAAAAACAAAATTAAAGAATGCAATTGTAAAAATGTAATTTACCATTTATATCGTTGTCATTTGAGATGAAATGTTGTCGAGTTTCGAGTGATTTTGGTCCAATCGGGAAGTTGATAAATTATTATGTTAATTAAACATACATTATATGCAAGAGCTAAATCTACCTATTGCGGATCTTTCTTTTGGCCTGAAATGTTATCTAAAGTATTGATTAGACATTATTTAACTTATCCCGGCCATAATCAACTCTCGATGTTAACGCTAGCCAGCAATATTTACTGGATTACGATCAGATTTGCTGCTCAACTTTCAATTATGATTTAATCATGAAATGGCTAACCGAAACTATGTTTTTATAATACCAACTTTTAATGATGATCGAGGCTAGGCCGAAAATTCAATCGCTAAAATCTCGGATCAGGGTGGATCAATTTGGCTGAAATTTTCAGCAAAGTACAAATAAAAGTAAAATATTCAATATAATTTACCTGCATCGTTTTGGACATTTACATTCAAGCTGGTTTTTCTTTTGCAGATAATTCAAACTTCTTTGGCAGAAAACTGAAATAATTTGAAGACGTATGAGACTACTGAAAATGCTAGTTTCCCCAACTATTGGAAGCTTTGGTGACTTTTCTAGGTAATGTAAACGCGTAATTTTCATGTGTGATTATCAATAAATCTATTTTTGATTAACTTGCTGAAAATAGAAAGGATATCTTATACTGGCGATATGTCATGAGTTTCGTAATTACGCCGAGTCATGACTGTCGAAGATAATCTGAAAACTCTCAAGACAAGCTAATCTTTAGATTTGGGCATACCAACATATAACCCTTTTTTAAAGATACAAAGTATTTTATCAGAAGTTGTATATTTAGTATCTTACATTCATATGGTGTGTTAAGTCGACATCTAGCTCGTAAAGAAGAATCAAATGAAACAGAACATCCACATAAACCAACCACCTTCTTTTCAAGACAGTTTCTAAGACAAATCTGGAAGAAAACAATATTTACAACATTAAGTGAATTTGAAACAAAATAATGCCAGACTGATTTGATGTTCTCACCCATGTAACTTGAAAGGTAAAAAATAAAATAAAACCAAGTACGAACAATCCAAACCATAAGACAGAATTCGAAGTCCTAAAAAACGTTATTGGCAAAATAATGTATTCGAGCTAAATAGTGTAATCAGCAAATTAAATGAAAATGAAATGAAATGGGGTTTAACGTCCTACTGTTCTGCTCCTAACCTGGGCTAATGAAAACAGGCATACACCATACAGTGTGCTATGGGGGAAATTTTGCCCGGGCAGCGGCACTATCGCCTACTCTTATATCGAATTCCAACTGCCAAGGGATCTTTTACGTGCACGCCAATGTGTACACGGGACCTCGGTTTTTCGTCCCATCCAAACGACTAGACAGCTGTCCTTGTCAGTATTAAAAGAAAGTGACATTTCCAAATAAATAACCGATATCCATGTTCGTATTTGATTAAGGGACTGTGTTCTAACTTTTATTTTTGCAATACGGTCTCTCATGATTTGAAATGTATGGAACCAAAAATTGGAAAACGCACTTGTATAAATATGTGTGTGTGCACATGCCCTGCGTTATGAATTTCGTCACCACCATAATAAATAGTTTCGATTTGGTAAGATCCCCATCTTTCAAAGATAACAAAGGTTGAAACGGTACCTTTTGATGATATCCATCTTCACCATTACAGTTAAAGGTTCTTCTGTATTTAGTAGTCTGAAAAGTAGCAGTTACATATTATTTCAACGCCACAAACTAAGATAGATACGTTTGAATTATATTATTCCCTGAGAAAGCGATCCTAAAAGCAGGTAAAGGTCATTTCGGGACTGACATGATATGGTATATTTTTATTGCAAGAATTCGCTTGCGCGCAGACGGAAGCTGATAATATGTCACGCTCAGATCACTTATGGTCATAACACAAGTGCCCAAGTCACCTTTACAACATTTTGAGTTATTGGTATCCAACTGTAGCCCAGAGTGATCTCCATGTCGTCGAAAGGTGGTGTTAATGGTGGTGTCTGTGGCATATACGAGATTCTTGAAAAAAAACCACTGTTGTTCCGACTGTCCAGAAAATTTGGGCAAATATATTATTACGAGAACCGTAAAGAAGAATAAATAAATGAAGAATAGGGAAATTACAGAATATCATAAGCAGTGTTAATTACGAGAGACGTCTATACTTTAGTAAAGGGATTTTCAATTTAAAAAAATCCAATAGGAAAGAGGCGGGGGGGGGGGGGCACGTCTGATACCCTTATCAATACCACTATCTTGTCTACCAGTGACTATTCTCAAAAAACAAGCAAACTGCTTCCCAAATTTCATAGGTGATAACAGATTCTTCGGAAGTAAACGGTTAATTAATCTGTTGCTCAAGTCAGAAATGACGAAATTTACTTGCTCAAGTCAGTGCTCAACTCAAAACTATTTAGATAACAATCGCTTAATTCATTTTTCTTTGCGGCAGAAAACCGCCCCTGTTGAGATAAATAAGACTTATATCCTGAATGATTTGAGCACAAAAACTATATCCCCGGTGCCATCTAGCACATACAGGAAAGTTTTTTTCGCTTATCTCAAAACCTAAATAAATGACTTGAGCACTTGTGTTATGATCGTGACGTAGCAATTAAAATACGGATGGGACGTCACCCTTTGATGTTGGCGTAACATTATTTCAAATAATCGTACGGGCAACTTGTCAATCGTACATTATTTATACTAGTGAAATATTGGACTCACGTGACGTATTTCACTGTAAAAGCACATGCGGAGTGTCTGTATTTTAAGTTGTTTAATGGTCTCGAGCTTAAGACATTGCGTAATATATTAAAACAACACACGGGCCTCACGGCCCTCGTGCCGTTTCAATATATTACTTAATGTCTCTCTCTCAGCCATTAAACAATACATATTGCATTCCGGAATTGTGGAAAAATATATGAATATGGCGTGATTTTTACCTCTTTTAAGGTCAGTTTTAAATTATGCCCAGGAGAAACTATAAATTGTTGTGCTTCTTGGTGTCGTTCTCTTAAATCATGTACAGAAACCACGAATCCTGGTACTGGTGACGTCACTCCAATATATTCATATGGCTGAGCATCCAACAACAAAGAAAGTGTACCTTTAAAATAAGATGGAACAAATCATTATTATTATCATTATTACAGCATATCTATAGTGCGCCCTTTCATATAACATGTTCAGGGGCACTTTACAAAGTGACAATGTAAATCATACATAAACAACAAGATTATGGACATGTTAACAATGGTATTGGTATACAGAGTCAGTTAAATAATCTCTAAAAAATGAAGTCTATCTGTAGCCTACCATGTCGATACGTTAAAAAAAAGTGACAATAAATAATTAAACTTACCAAATGCTGTAACACTGGTAGAACTCTTTATTGTAATACAGTTACCCTGTTGTTCATTTGGGTTCACAATACTCTCACTATATACAACAACAAAAAATACGTTTATACATAAAATCAACATTCGAAAAGTTAGCCAGGTCAAAACTTAGTTACTGGCCAAAATGAAACTTCTGTGGGTGCGGCAAACGTGATGCTGTGATGCAACAGATGGATATAACTGTTGAAATTATAACCGATGTCGAGGATTAATTGTATCATGTGAAACTGTGTGCGGGCCTATAAAGAAAGCTAGCCCTTCGAGTGGAGGGGAGCTAAAATTGTCTGGACCTTGGAAATCGCCATAATCTTCTGAAACATTGACCTTTTTTAACTCTTGGAACTATAAAATATACACCTTCAGTAAGTAGGCCTTTGTAATTATAACAGTTGACCGTGGAAAGAACCGAGACCCTATTATAATAGTACAGTACTCAAACATAATATCTAATACGTGGATTATCCATAGTCAATTCCGCATTAAGAGTATTATAGATTTAGATTTGCCACTTCTAGGTCATACAAGTCATTCGTTAACACAAGATTAGTGGCGCGTTAAAATTAAACTTTATTAATATGTTTGGGTGCTTGAAATTGTTATCTAACAACACGAACTGGTAATTATCGTGCTTTCATTAAATATATATCATTACAGAAGTTCTAGTTCAGATTGTACACCTATTGTAATAATATAAGAGAGAGAGAGAGAGAGAGAGAGAGGGTTTAACGTCCACTCGATACAAACTAGGTCATTTCGGGACTAACATATGGTTTAATTTTATTTCAATAATTCGCTTGCGCTTAGGGTCTTTAGCAGTGGGAGGAAACCGGAGGACCCGGAGAAAACCCACGAGGTTGGACAGGCGACCCTACTCCTTGTCACGTACAACCGGGTATTCGAAACCAGTAATAATGTAATAATATAATACTACATGACATTGATTGAGAAGTGATTGTATGGACAACATATAGTAGGCTTATAATTTCCATTTAATACAAAACATTCTGGTCGTGTAGAGTATATTCACAATCCAAATCTTTCAATTTTTATTTCAAGCTTTGCCAATGATTGCCAGAAATTATAAAAATAATCTCATCTTAGTACCCCCTGAAGCAATACCGAAGGCAATCTTTAGCTCGCTAACCATTACTACATCAGGTAACAAACAGTACAGTCGATTGTTTTCATTGGACTTTCGACCTATTCAGAAAAAAAATGATGCAAATAATGTGTGGGTTAGTGTAAACATACTAACCTATCCAAACAGCTCCTGCCATCAATCCAACAATGTCGTAACATATCACTCTTTTCGTGTCCAAGTTCCAATACTTCTGACCTTGCTAGTCGAAGACCTTCATAAACTGAACTTAAATCTCCTTTCAGTGATGATTGGTAAAGACGGTCTATGTCTTGATCAGATATTAGATGTTCATAGGCCGCAAATTCCTGCTCAATTGAAGACAATACCAATGTTAGATTATCTCCTAAAGAATTCTGGAGCATCTTCCATAAACTCGTTGTTTTCAACATATCTGATATCGATGTCGCACTTCTTTGGCTTAGTTCACTATTACCTCTATTGGATTCACTTACAGGTTTCAGATTTCTCAATTTTTCAAATCTTGTAGCTGAAAGTTGTGAAACTTTTAAAACGTTCAGATTACAAAATGTCACAGATAACGAAGGATCCAGGGATTTCTCGTTCATTGATGATGCTGTCATTGTGAAATGGGACGATTGGTTGAAATATTGCTGGAGAAGTTGATAAATACATAGTCCAAAGAAAGCATAACCACATATTATGATGAACAACCAAAATATTATGGCATATTTTGATCGAGCCGAACCGAGATAGGACGCTCCGTGAATATTCAGATTCTTAATCCAAAATAAAACTTGCTTGGCTGTGTGTCGGCTGCTCTTCGTGCTTGCTGAATCTGATTGCGGCAAAAGTTCACGTCTGGTATTATTTGATTTTTGTTCATTTTCCGCGATGGAAGAGAAATAACGTTCACATCGGTCCTTCCATTTTTCTTCTCTTAACATCTGTACGTCCCTCATTTTGTCTGATACAAACTTGAAACAAATATTGCTATGTCTAGCAGTTTAGTTAATGTACATATAGGCACACTCTAATCTAGCAGTTTAGTTGAGGTGCATATAGGCACACACTTATCGCCCCTTCCTGTAGTATTTTCTCAGCGATTTCAAGAACGCCAAACGCCAAAAATGAATACAAACCAAAACAAACCTGTATATAAATATTTAAGGGGTAATATTTACAAATAAGACCAATGGCAACTTGAGCAACATGTCCATAAACCCAATCTTAATCGTTAAGTATACCGTAGTGTTTACCGTTAATCTTACTAATCCCGTTCTTAACCCAGATTAACATTGGTAATTAGACATAACAAGATCATGTTAGAAATGTAATGGAAGAAATTAAGTGTGATTGGATTAATACAGTGAAAAGATATTTGATAGCCGTATAAACATCAAATATCTAATTAACGATTTTTAAGTCACCATGTTCTAGATTTAAATACTGTCAATGAATCTTATCTAATCACTTAATTGACAGACTCATTTGAAAGCGGGCATTGCCAGGTGGGCATCTACAGAAAACCATCTAATAAATGGAATCTCCTTTGAGAACCGTTGGATACTTTTGAAGGCAGTTATTAAATACAAAAGTTATTTCAGGATTATGTCAGAATCTAAACTACCAAGACCTAATTTTATTTCAATAATTCGTTTGCATGTAGGGGTCTTTAGCAGTGGGAGGAAACTGGAGGACCCAGAGAAAACCCACGAGGTTGGACAGGCGACCCTACTCCTTGTCACATACAACCGGGGAATCGAAACCCCGCCAGTTGACTCAATGACAGACCTTATGACACAGCGTGCGCGTGTGCTAACCATTCCCCCCCCCTAGTTTGTATGATATTCTGATAATAAAGAGTAAAGGACTTTAAATAGTAATTATATCAATGACTCATATTTGAATTTATTTATTCTAGGACTATGTATATACAATAATACTACATGTATTTAAGAATTTGTTCTTGTCAAATAAAAACAATGAAGATATGAAATATGACATGAGTTGTATATATAAAGTTATTAACATTTTTCACAATAATATGGTCTAAACATAAACAATAATTATATACGTGTATACATCATGTACATATTTACATTTAGTTTCGACAGATTGAACAAATTGTTTAGGTGTCTCCTGTTTAAATCCCAAAATAAATAGGTGACATTTACTAATTACTTGTACATTCACCTTACGAACATCAACACCTCACCTAAAGAACATCAACACAGATGAACAGACTGCAGAAGTGATAGAATGACGAATCCATTTTAATAGTCCCAGGCTTGCTTATAAGGATATCCACAGGAGACATAAATTGCACCAGCATATGCAGATCCATATTCATTGATTTGCTAAGAATAGATGGAAAATCTGTGGTAGGATTAGTAATCACAGCCATGGCAAATAAACTACGGTTTAACATACACTGAAGTTAATTTCCAGGAGAAGACCACATTCACCACTTTGTACTTATTTCAAGAATCCCTTTTTAAAAAATAATAGAGCTCATGAATTGAATGTGTAGTTGAATTACATACAAAATTTTGATGCCAAGGATCATATTAGAAAGATTGTACTAACAATATTCAGCACTTATCTAAGTAAACCAGATTATATAACAAAAACACATTACAAAATGAGATTCTTAAATAATCATGACATTCTTATAAAAAATTTAAACTTTTGTCTGAAATTGAGACAAAATTGTCCATTGTTTTGTACACCAAAATTATTCAGATCAGTTAAATAAGATTTTAATGTATACTAATTACCATAAGAAGAATTTTATTTAGATGATTTTAATAATAATCTAATTTGAGCAAGCTAGATACAAATATGATTACTATAACCTTTTCATACGTTTGAGCAAAATCTGTTTTTTTTCTATAAATTCCGAAACTTCTATTTCAGTAAAAGTAGTGACACTATCAAAATACATGTAGAAACAAACCGAGAGCTTTTATAAAGGTGACTCTTTCTCAATTTATTAATCAAGAAAGGCAAATATTTGCCCTGTGTTTTATATACATGTGATAAAGGACATCATATTATATTCTATTATGTAGAGCCAAAATGTACAAGCTACCTTTATATACAAATATACATGTATATACAAAAAGAAGAAAATATCTTTTAGAGGAATTTCTGGAATTAAAAAGGTCAACCCTTCATAATTCACAATCGCTAAGGTTAAAGGGGGGAGTACGGGGAGGGACTAAGCTTTAGTTATATTCTGGACATTTCTGACAAGGGGTTTGCAAGAAATATTCACTTTTCATCTCTCTTGTGGCTAAAATGCATATTATTTGATAGCTTGGTATCTAAACCGGGACTCTTGTTATTTACATTCAAGATGTTTCATGTTGTAGCTATTTCTAATTATATTCATGTTGTGTGGATCAAGGTTTTGAATTCAAATTTGACCGGAAAGAAGCTAAACAGAAGATTCAGATATGTTTCTATCAAACACTGGCTAAGAGGGGATTTTCTCTATCGTTTGTACATAAGCTGAAAATTCATAAATCAATAATTGGAACTGGTCAGTTATTAGATGTATTAAAGATGCATTATGTAAGATTTAAATAAAGAGCTGGTTCAAATATAGATAATAAAAAAATAATATATTGAAAATTTCAGACAAATTACTTTATTCTCAGTACTAGTGTTATGAGTGTTGACAATAGTCTTGATTGTCAAGTACCATTGATACAATAATAAAGTCTAAATTTACCATTTTAATGATATATTATTAAATGGTAAGTTCAGTTCAGTTTAAATAATCAATATATGAACTGTTATTGATTTCCAAGTAAATGTTTGAAACCAATATATTTTCTGTATTTCTTTATTTATTTTGGGATATTAGTTTATTGCATTGAAGTAATATAATTAACTATTTCCTATAGGAGACAAATATAGGTTGCCAGGCAACGAAACATACGCCCACAGCAACTAAATCGTCCGGGCAGTCAACAAGGGTTGTCACATATTTTTACTTTTTTCGGTAATGAAACATTTATAATACACTAAAATCTGATTAAGAGCAACAACTCACGAAGTAATTATCAGAAAACTATTAGAATTTGTTTGGTTTTTATAAAGTTCTGCCCCATGCTAACGTTTTGTATGCAAAGCTTTTAATATCATGGATTTAACTGTTCAAGTCATAAAAATTCATTGAAAATCAATATACTTGTTCGTCTCAAGATCTTAAACTCTGTGTATCAATCTGAAGTCAATCGGATGATAACTTTATCATTTAGAGCATCACAAGATTTTGCAAAGTGATCAAGGTTTCTTCGTCTCATGGCCTTAAACATTGTGTATAAATTTAAAGTCAATCGGATATTAACTTTGGCCTTTAGATCAAGGGCCATAACTCTGGCAGTAATTATCGGAAATCGCTGAAAATCAATAGGCTTCTTCGTCTCATGACCTTAAACACTGTGTATAAATCTAAAGTCAATCGGATATTAACTTTGGCCTTTAGAGCGTCCACAAGATTTTTTGAAGTGATCAAGGGCCATAACTCTGGCAGTAATTATCGGAAATCGCTGAAAATCAATAGGCTTCTTCGTCTCATGACCTTAAACACTGTGTATAAATTTAAAGTCAATCGGATATTAACTTTGGCCTTTAGAGCATCCACAAGATTTTTTGAAGTGATCAAGGGCCATAACTCTGGCAGTTATTATCGGAAATCGTTGAAAATCAATAGGCTTCTTCGTCTCATGACCTCAAACACTGTGTATAAATTTAAGGTCAATTGGATATTAACTTTGGCCTCTAGAGCGTCCACAAGATTTTTCAAAGTGATCAAGGGCCATAACTCTGGCAGTAATTATCGGAAATCGCTGAAAATCAATAGGCTTCTTCGTCTCAAGACCTTAAACACTGTGTATAAATTTAAACTCAATCAGATATTCACATTAGCCTCTAGAGCGTCCACAACCAATTGTGGACGCCGGACCGCCGGACGGACGGGGGCGACGACAATATACAACCACATTTCAATGTGGGCGTATAAAAAAAGATCATATTCTATTAGTTTTGTCATCAAGCAATGAATACCAAAAAATCATGGTGATTAGTCTTGAAATTAGTTAATGGTCGTCATTAGAATTTACTATATTTTAAACAGAATAAAATAAACAAATAAAACAAGACACTTCTACTCGTCCTTCACGTTTCAATCAATCACCCATTTTGAAAATGGAAATGTACATCAAAACCTATGATGATCAACCAAAATTATATTTTTAGTTTATGTGATATGGATGACAAGATGAAATGTAACTATATTGTAAAAATTTTAATAATTTGAACAGTTCGAACAGTCAGAAAGGAATTATTCATTGACCTAGATACATATATATATTATAGACTAACATGCACAAACACCAGAGAAATGCTAAAAAATTCCCACAAAAGGACAGTTTTTAGAAATTTGAGAAAAATAAAAATTTGCGTAAGTCTTATAAATTTCCCATAGAAAACTATATAAACACAGAAAAAAGGGACATAATCAGTTCAACTGTCAAAGCACACATTACTCACATTACACACTGTGATAAATTATCTGAATATAAAACATTTGATTTCTAAATTAGGTCATTCACTGCCCTCAGCACCTTTCTTCATTTGACATTAGATGCAGAAAGTATGGGTCTTGCAGACTAAACAAAATCACACATATAAAATGTCCACAATTTTAGTTGGATAAACGTGCACTATTTTAGTTGTATAAATGTCACCAATTTTAATTGGATAAATGTCCACAGTTTCAGTTGGATAAATGTCCACAGTTTCAGTATACAATTTTAGTTTGACAAATGTCCACACATTTAGTTTTATAATCAGTGAAGACTGGAGTCAATGTTTATTAATCACTATCATCATCTATAGCAGGAGCAGCTGTTTTCTTACGTTTTTTAGCCTTTGGTTTCATATCTTCATCCTGCAAAAAAATAATACTTATATATACGTCTATCAATACAATAGTCATTTTTTTAAAGACTGTAAGCTTTCATGATCTGATCATGTAAGTTCAATAAATCAATGTACGAATGTATTTTAAAATTTTGAAAACTGTTGCCACTCATCCCGTTGTGTTTAAGTGGATATAATGGTGTATTCCCACGAAGGTGCTGTTACAGAGCGTGACCAAGATTAATCCTTCCCATGAAGGCGCAGATATCGACTTGTCGGCTTTCGTTTGAAGAGAGGCATGTTGTTATTAGGACCCAATTAACGGTGTTAAAGATTTTATAAATTAAGTTCACTCTGAATTTTATTCACCAATTGGCAACTAATGATTAAAATCATCAAATTATCCAGAGGAGCACAGAACCAACAACACTCTGGAAGGATGTCATGCAAGAATCAATAAGCTAGATGGAAAAGCCCACCCGAATGTTTTTGAAATGATCACATTTTTACAAGAACAAAATATTAATGAGATTAGAATCGTTCAGTATGCTGAGGGACAGGAACCACCAAGGAAGAAATATAAATATGCTCAAATCCAAAGCCAGCGTCAAAAATTAAAAGGAAGACATGAGGAAGAGGAATTGACTTTAGCCGAGTAATTAGACAGGTTGTCTTATTTGGCAAAATTAAATTAATTTTTGTTATAGTGTAGTTATGTTTTTATTTCTTATGCCAAAAATATGTTAAAATGTTGGTTAATTAGTTACATTGGGGATTATGAAAGTGTAAATTCTTATCATAACAATCTATAACACCATTGTTACGTTTTTAATCCATTTTAATCCCTAGGAGCTGGATTCCTATGAAGGCGTCGAAAACGACCTTGTTTAATCCGTTACGGTCAATAACTGCGCCTTCGTGGGAATAAACCGATATTATCTCAGATTAAGTAGACATTTTATTTAGGGGGACAATCCTTAGCATTATTTCAATTTCCGAATCAATTTTAATTATTTTTCCCCATAAAACTATAAATTTAACTGCATTTGTGTTTCAATGCTCAATCTCGCTGGCGGTCGCCGAAGTTGCAATTTGTGATAAAAATATGAAAGTGGCAATTAAAATTTGATTTTGGCAATAATGTTTTGCGGTACTGGCGATTCCTTTAGAGAACCGGCGGAAAAAAGCTTCAAATTCTAATCGTATTTATCCTGGATTAACCATTAATGAGTGTCAATCAACTAGCTGATAATCGGGATTGCGTCAATGAGTAACACTAATCAGTTGTCTTGGATTAATGATTAGTTGATTGACAATTGCCAATGATATTTATATATCTCAAGTCATTATTTACTCGTAATGATTAATCAAAGCGGTAATTATTTGATTTCTGTTTACTATGTAATATATAAAAGCATGCCTATCAGGTACTATTATTTCAAATTATATTATCACCACTGGTCGCAAACGCAAGAACAAGTTGAATAGCGATGATTCTTGAGCGAAAAAACAGTTCGCCATCTATATCATATTTCCGCCACCAAAATGCTCTAAAATCTATATCATTTTATCAGGGATTCAGATTCTGATACCTTTACGGTACCTGAAAATAGAAATAGGCCTATTGTACACGCAAAACATAAATTTATAGAAAATTGTTACATGTTGGTTTTTTTATCACATATTTGGCAGATAAAATATTCCAGTTGGCGAAAAAAAATATGAACATTTTATATCAAAATTATCATCCATTTTGGCAAAAAAAAAATTGAAAGCCAGTGTGAGCCCTGATCTTATGGCATGTGAATTGACTGAGGGTTACATTTTTCAGGCAGTCAATGCCACTGCCAGTCTGTCAATATAAGTGGAAAAATATGATCATATAAACTCAACCCACCTCACTACTCTCTGATTCACTTTCTGTTTCATCTGGAGCAGGTTTTTTATTGCGAATTATCTTTGGACTAATATTACATGCCTTCCTTCCTCGTAACACTCTTGTTCTTTTTAAATCTTCTATATCTTCTGCTAATGCTAATAAATCACTATACCTGTAGAACAAATATTATACAATAACATTGAGAGAGAGAGAGAAATGGGTTTAACGTCCACTCGACACAAACCAGGTCATTTCTGGACTAACATATGGTTTTAATTTTATTTCAATAATTCGCTTGCGCATAGATAGGGGTCTTTAGCAGTAGGAGGAAACCAGATGTCCGGGAAAACCCCCGCGAGGTTGGACAGGCGACCCTACTCCTTGTCACGTACAACCGGGGATTCGAAACCACACCAGCTGACCCAATGACAGGCCTTATGATACAGCATGAACATGCTAACCATTCGGCCATCCAACCCCCCCTAATAGAGTAGAAACAAATATTGCAAGTGAAAAATATTAAATTATTCTGTGCTTGGGGGCCATAAAACACTGAACTCCCCTATAGAACGAACTAAAACAATTTTCCTTATAAAAGTAGGGGCAAAGTTTTAACAACTTTATTGTGAAACCTTTGTGTATAAAACATGTACCGTATATAAAAGTCTTAATTTAATGTAATGACAACATCAGCAGTGTTATTTAAAGTCCTAGAACAAAATAAGAGAACATTACAAATTTCTATACATACTTAGTTTTTTGAGCTTCACCAGCCGTTTGCTGTACTTGTTGTAAAGCCAATTGTATACTTTCATGATTCAAAACTGAAAAAAAAAAGTTATCCCCTATCTAATAAACTGACAATTTTAAATTGCACCTCATGATCACTTAGCATGCTTCTTTGGATCCAATCTTTTAACAATTTGCAGATAGTTGTTTGAGTATGCACAGTAATTGTCATACTCCTCTCAGTGTTTCATTTGATTAGACCTAATCCCACTTAACCCTGCTGTAATGAACGCAAATTTCTGTTCTAAATTATGATTGGTCAATAGTCTTATTAACAATCAATACCTAACTGAGTAACAATATCATTCGGGTTTAAACAGAGCTCCAGATATGTTTACATAACGTTACGTCATGACTCAAGAAATTTATTACGTCAAATTAACCAGTGCATAGCAGAGTCTTGCAGAAAAACTAATTGCATGACAAACGATAACTATCAAAGCGGCTACAATGTAAACAATACTGTTTGAAGACGAACAATACTTTCACCGTTTTTAATACCTTAAATCACTGTCCAAATTTTTAGGGAAGACTCCAGATTAAACGAAGGGCTGTCATGTTGCTGTACTTAGGAGAGATTTTATTGAACAGGAAGAAAAGACATACTCTCTCAAAAGCTCAAGTACCAAAAGTCAATCCAGCAATGGCCAGAAAGGGATTTCTCAAACATCTGCTTCAGGAATATGAGTCCTTGTTGGGATATGCAACTTATGGAACTACTTAACATTATAAATTAGGCATTGTATTTTGAGTTCGCTGAATTAAATTTCAGTTTTGTTCACCAGGAACATTTCTGCTAGTAACAATATTTTATACTTACATGAGATATTACGACACACTTGCCTAAAATGATCTAAATGAGCTAATATCTGATCTAAATTAGGACTGTCCTTTTGTTTTGCTGCATTACCAGTTCTGAAACATCAATAAATTCAAATCGTTTAAGTGGATGTTAAACTCCATTTTCTCTAAGTAGGTTACACTGGGACTTGTGTGCACATAGGGGTCTCTAGCAGTGGGAGGAAACTGGAGGAGATGAAGAAAACCTGTAAGGTTAGGTAGCTAACACTATTCCTTGTCACATACAATCACTTGTCTCAATGACTAATCGTAAATCCCACAAGCAGAGTTGAGTTTAGTTATGAGTGACAACATCTTTTATTCTTCTATACCCCAATCAAGGTATGTACTATTTAATTTATGTAAGACCTAAATCTGCCTATTTCATGTTTTTATTTTGGCTTCAAATGTTATATTAATTATTATTTAGACATTTATTTATTCAAATGGATTGAAATATGATCAGTATTAAATGATTTAAGTTAAAAAATAGAGAAAGGAGATCAAGCCTCGATTGACAAGTAATGATAATAAACAATCTATGCCACATCTTGTCAAAACTCCAAACAGCGATTTGAATGAAATTTTCAATATAATAATTTTGAATCATTTATTTTGGAACTATTATAGCAAGAACGGTCAGCTCTATATCTTAATATTACATACCCGTAATGCATCTTACCTTTGTCGTTTTTTAGGAGAATTATTAAGTTTAGATAGCTGTTGATAAATGACTTCTGCTAATCTATCTTCATGTTCCTGAGCCCAATATTTTAATATTGACGTAGCAAACAGGTCACCTTTCTTACATTCACGACACAATATAGGCCGTAATAAATCTGCTGAAGGGCTAGAGAAAATTTTTTTTTATTTATTAAAATATCAATATACAACCACATTTTATATAATGAACTGCATGTAAAAGTATTATATGGCTTGACAATGGATAAAACTCTTAATTTAAAAAAAGTTCAAGTAGATTTGAATAAGTCTCTAGAAAAAGCTAATATACAAAAGAAAACATAAATACTTACTTTTCTTGTTTTAATAAAACTAACATACTTGTTAAAGCTTCAGCATTAGCTAAAAAAAAATAAAAACATAAATGAAGTTTATATAAAATATTCAAAGATGACTATAATAAAGTTACAGGATACAAACTGATGTATCTTATCTTTATTTTGACTGAAACATTAAACCAACCAGCGGCTGCCAGGCAGGATACGCCCACATTTTCGAGAGATGGATAGAGAACAAGCTAACAAGAAAGTGATTTTTCTTACTATCAAGGGCCATAATTCAGGAAATTACAATTCAATATGCGCGAATATCGAAAGGAACTGAGATCTTTGTGTTATATACTTACATTTCAAGTTTCAACAAAATCGGATAAAAATTGTGACCTCTATAGGGTCCACAACCTTGATATACCATATTTTTACGCTATTTGAGAACGAACGGCGGCCATTTTGTCTGTCAATTTTGGGCTGATTTTCACGTAATTCGAACTCAGTCGTCCTTAGGGTGTAACGCCGTAACGGTGATATATTAATACGTTTTTTTAAATCGGATAAAAATTATGACCTCTATAGGGTCCACAAGATAAAAACACGATTTTTCGTACAATCAGGGGCCATAATTCAGGAAGTTATGGTCCGATATGCGCGAATATCGAAAGGAACCGAGATCTTTGGGTTATAAACATATATTTCAAGTTTCAACAAAATCGGATAAAAATTGTGACCTCTATAGGGTCCACAAGCTAAAAACATGATTTTTCGTACAAACAGGGGCCATAATCCATGAAGTTTCGATCCGATACATGCCAATATCGAAAGCAGCCGAGATCTTTTGGAGATAAACCTATATTTCAAGTTTCGTCAAAATCGGATAAGAATTGTGGACGGACGGATGGACGGACAGGGGCGACGGCATAATACGTCCACATGAAAATGTGGGCGTATAAAAATACATAAATCCACTGTAATACAAAGAATACAAATTTCTATTATTCATTATTTATATATTTACTTTCCATGCAACATAATAATTTTTTTTTTTTTTTAAACAGACCCAGTATTTTTTTTTTATTTAATAAGGAGTCTTTAAACAATGTACTTACTTTGAAAGTCTAATTTAGGTAATATTGATAAAATATGTTCAACCGGTATATTATGAGAAGAAATAAGCTGCCATAAAAAATATTGTTCTATTGTTTCCCACTCTAAACTTTCATCTGAAATATACCCATATGCATGTACATTTAACTAAAATCATTTTATATCATTCACCATGTCGCCCCCATCATTCTAATTGAGTAATTCTGAAGAAGTCAAATGTTAATTGTCCTTTAACTTATAAGCACACTTTGGGTCAGTGGTCTGCTGTAATTATAAAGATCATTACTGTTAAAACAAAATGATTATTCTCTTATACAGAATAAGATACTTCTTTAAAAGGAAAATGGGATGGAGTAACATTTGATAGTAGTAGAAAGATATTCATAAAAAGGTTTAAAAAAACCAAACTTACTCAACACTGAAAGAAATGTTTCTTTATTCTTAAACATAACAAGATGACCTTGTAATATCTGACATATCAGATCTTGTAGCTAAAAATATAAACATTTATAAATATTTTAATGATGGTTTAATAATAAAATAAAAAGAACACAATTATGTAGATCATATCATACTAATTAGTAATTGTTATCTGACTATTCAAATAATGTTGTAGGACAAATTCAATAACTTCTCCAAAAGTCAGTTGTAAGTTCTATTGGTTAGCATTAAACAAAATCAGGATTTTTATTTTCTATATTTTAAGAGATTTTACTCTGAGAAAAGAGAGTTAAATAGAGGAAAGCTATACCTGTATTCCATCTATACTAGAAGTTATCATATGAAAAAGACTGGCATTACCAACAGATATACCAGGAAACTACAAAAGAAAAAAAATTGAACTAAAAAATAAAATATAAAGTGCGAATTCCTTTCTAATTTTACTAGAAAAATATATAATTTACAATCTTCTGAGCATTATTTTGCCACACCAACATGGAATAATATTTTCTGCGAAAAGATAGCAATTGGTTACGTGCAGTCACACCAGAACAAAAGCATGCGACAGACTTTCTGGTTAATCAAAAATAATCCTGATTTCCAAATCTCAAGTCGGAGACATTCAAGATTAAAGGGAACAAGTTTTCATTGATAAAGGTATATAAACATTGAGACATTCCTGATCGTAGACTTTTAAACTAGCATGAGAAGTATCTTTTCACTTCTTCTATAATCTTTGAAATACTGACAGAACAGCTTCATTATGGCAGCTTTTAGACATCTTTAGGTTTTGCGAATGAATAAGTACTTACATGTGTATAGATATCAGGTATGAGGTATGTAAAAAGTACTTACATGTGTATAGATATCAGGTATGAGGTGTGTAAAAAGTACTTACATGTGTATAGATATCAGGTATGAGGTGTGTAATAAGTACTTACATGCATATAAATATCAGGTATGGGGTATGTAAAAAGTACTTACATGTGTATAGATATCAGGTATGAGGTATGTAAATAATCTAACATCATCTTCTTGACATAACTGCAATACATAAACACAGATAATAATACACGTCGTACCTTACATAAGAGGTAATCACACATCCTTTTGTGTTGCAACATACATTTCTTTTAGAAGATGAAACATCCATAAAATATTGATACAAATGACTGTAAATATGTGACTATAAAACTCATTACACATACCTGTAAATCACCTAATAAACAAGATGTTAAATCTTTACTATCTTGACCTTTACAAAAATCTTTATATGTTTCCATCTTCTCGTCACCATTTTTACTGTACATAAACACAAATAAAATTCATCATGATAGCTTTTAAACACATAAACACAAAAAATTCATCATGATAGCTTTTAAAACAAGACTAAATATATCAACATTTTAAATATCAACAGGGCCTAGAGTTGTCTTACTGCAAATAAACTTCACATTTCTATAAACAGATTTAAAACTTTTCAATACTGCCTCCTGGAAATACCATTTAATACCATGTTATTGAAACTTAACACTTTTATACCATCTCCTGGAAATAACATTCCCAGTTCAATGTTCAAGACCTGTGCAGATATAATTGTAATCATACTAACCTGACTTTAAGAAAGTATAATAAATGATAACCTATTCTAGGTTGTCTACTATACATTTCACCTAATAACTGTAATAATGGTTGCCTTCTCGGATCCTCTTCAGACATCTGATTTAAAAACCTGAAAACAACAGAATAATAAACAAGCATTTTTTTAAAGCTTCCACAAATAAGGTTTACTTTAGCAAAACAAAAGAAAAATATGTAAATACAATGTTCACTTCCTTAAATTTGAAAGAGTTTGAAATTTTAACTTACCTAAACATAACAAACAATGGAGAACCTATAGAATCTTCTATAGACCTGAAATAAATAAGTTAATAAACTGTCAATATGTATTTGGAACAAAAATATAATTAAATTTGTTAAAGTTTAAAGTCTACATGTATGGTCCTAAAAAAAAGACAGATTTATATTCTAACCTTCATATTAACAATCCAATTACAAAAAATATAATTTGATAAATATTTTCGAAAAATTAATATCCTTTATGTGTTAATGTATATCTGTTAAATCTTTTAAAGTTTATGGTCCCAAAAAAGAAAGATTTCTATTAGTTATCATATTACTTCTAAATTCAAAGACTTACTCATCATCAACATCTAAAGGAAAAAGAGTTTTAAAGAATTGAGGACTCAATATCTGACAAAGACAGGTAGCTAGTGTAGAAGCCATCTCTTGATCAAATTCATCCTGAAAAAATAAAGAATCCAAGTAAAGATTTGAGAAATGTTATCATGATTAATCAAATTAATTAACTGTATGCGCTGTGAGCATGCCTCTGTGCATGGAGTACTAGCGCTATATAAATGTACATTATTATTATTATTATTACCAAGAATAAATAATAATGTTAAGACAATAATTGGAATACAGAAACCTTCATATCAAATCAGAAATAATATGCAACTTGTGTTTGTATACAATGAAATTGAAAAAAACCAAAATAGTGAATCTAATTAATTAATTAAATTATTAAATACTGCACCAAAAACAAACTAAACAGAACCATTAAGGTTCTTACAACAAACTGGTTATTATGATGTTACTTTAAAATTTATAAGTTCAACAGTTTTGCTTCCTATAGCAAACAAACAAATTTTATCTTTCATAATATAACTTACCTCTTGTATAACAAACTGCATCAATCTATCAACTAACTCACACTGTGTTTCTTGATCACTTTAATATAAACATTCACAATAAGTATTATTTTATCAGAGAAACAAATAATTAAACTGTACAAAAATATAAGCAAATAGATTCTTCACTATTAGGGATCTCTCAATTTCCCTTACAACATAAAACTTACCCAATTTAAGTTAATTCAGTATGTACGTTTAACACTTCTGAATTTCTGAATTTTAAAGTTTCATGATTGTTTGTAAATATCAGTGAATTAAAATTAAATTTTTTCATATGCATTAAATATTTATAATGGATTTCTCTTCCTTTTGCAAGGCTTAATATCTCAATAAAGTACCATTTTATCTAAAATCACCCTGAGATTAGAACATTTAGCTTACGGTTCATTTTGTAGTTCGATAGTTAGATCTTTAATATCACCAGATAATTGTGATACATGTTCAGATATATTAACATGTTGGTAACATGGCATATCTCTTATAGGCTGAAACTTGACATCATTTCTTATTCTTCCTACAAACAAAATATCACATATTGATTACAGATTTCAAAGAAATAGGCATGTTTGAAAGAATCAGATGAAAAAAAAATGCGCTGTTTGAAAATGATCACTAGATTTAATTAAGTGGGTTACGTAACTCCTTTTGTACGAGTGTCATCATCATAATCGTGACAATCAGAATAGCTTAGGAAATATGTAGACATGGTTATCAAAGTGCTTGGGAATGACTTACAAATTGCAGAATTATTGTGCCCACATACAGAAACTGAAAGTTTGTATTTCTTTGAAATATTACCATATAGCTAAAGACAGATATACAAGATAGATACAGCTTTCTAAGTCTCCCCATTCATTTTGATTTTTTTTCTTTTTTATTAGTAACCCAAACACATGATAAAAAAACCCCTCTAAAAAACACTTACCAATAGGAATGTCATCTTCATCATCACTAAATTTAGCTTCTGGAACACCAGCTAGATTGTTATCTAAATGATTCTCACCATTACCATTATCTATATCAATAGCTTCACCTTTACCTGTATCTTCTTTTACTGAAAATATCATATGTGTTTATAAGAAATCTCAATCCATTACTCTAAATAGAAGCATTGCATAAAACTTGCCAAATGTTTTTATTGTATATTTGTGACCACATCTCCAACTTTACCTGAGCAATAAGGTCCTTCCCAAACACAGAATTGAACCCAGGAAATGTTCTCAAAAACGCAACTTGACTTCTGAGATGGGAATGTGTTCTCCATGATTTCATGCTGCACGTGCTGTTCACCGGGCCCAACCCTATAAAATGCACCCTCATACCTGGTTGAATCATTCACACTACAACGTCAGCAGCATGCCACGACTCACAACACCTGAGAGGAACCAGGTACTTGGAAGACTCGACGCTGGCCACAATGCCCAAGCCGTTGCCAATCACTTCCAGGTCAATGTTCGAACCATCTACAGGCTTCAGCAAGGCTTTCTGGCCACCAACACCACGGATGATCGCCTTCGAACTGGTAGACCAAGGGTTACCACAAGGCGACAAGACCGCCATGTTGTGCGACAGGCTTTTCTGAGAGTGTGGTTCCAGGTGCCAATGGTGTTCATCAATCGTCTGGTCCACTCCATGTACAGACGCTGCGCTGCTGTTATTGACACTCGCGGTGGACACACCAGATACTGATGTATAGACTGTTTACAGACTCTAAACCTTCTCGTAATGTCTTGGAATTATGATGAATTAATCACCAACGTTTCAACATACTGTTCACAAAAAATTGCTTTGATCCATTTAGTAAGTCGTTTTCTAGAATGATTTGATTAAAATGTCTCTCTGATTTTGAAATCGTACTGACGTTTTTTTCTTGCTGTTTAGTATAATATAAATGAAATCGGGTTTAGAGCCATTAGGAAAATTTTGCCTTCCTTTGAATTACAACTTCCAAGGGTTCCTTTACGTGCATGCAAATCTGTACATAGGACCTCAGTTTTTCTTCCCGTTACAAACACCTTGTACTGTTCCTTGTCGGGGTTTTCTTGCTAGGTCCTCCGTCCTGCACTATCAACAGGGGGCAACCAGTCTTGGAAATCCCAAGGAACTTTCTCAACTAACGATCTCTGGAGCTCCCGGTAAGAAGCCCGTCCCTAACTCATGGAGCCACAGTCGCTCCCTGCTACAAATATATAGTCAGCGTATCTTAAAAGTCAGCAAAATATCCTACTAGTTTTAAAAATAAATTTCTCTATTCTTAATACTTCTAAGTTTTCAAGGTGATTGGGCTCAATATACTTTTAACAATTATGTTACTATGGACTACCTATGCTGTATCACTGAACAATATGTTCCATATTTTATTGAATAATTATGTTCTATTGTGTATTTAAATCCATTTACTTACTTTCCTGTGAACAGAATTCAGGAAAGGTATCTCTGATCAATAGACGTAATTCTTTATCTAGTTTACTATTATCAAATAACGGTGATAATGACCTGTAAAATCAAAATAATCAATTATACACAAAACCCAATAGAACACCTTATTATGGGAGATTAGATAAAAAGCGGACAGTTCTCACTATAATAGTTAAAAAATAGATAACGTAATTAGAATATGCTGAAACTTTCAGTCAAATTGCTCCACTCTGAACCAAGATATTAGCTTTTGAATTTTAGACTAGCCTTGATCATCATTACTAAAGTCGGTATGATAAAAAAAACAAAGACTTGATTATCCATTTTTACATTTAATTATTTTTCAAAAAATGTATTTCAATCCTCTAAAAATCGCAGGCTAGCGATGGCATCAAGAGTTGATTATTGTCTGGATAAGTTAATCAATGTCTAATTAATAATTTAGATAACATTTCAGACCTAAAGAAAGACCTGCAATAGGCAGATTTAGCTCTTGCATAATGTATGTTTAATCTGAAAATAAATCAATCACTTGCACTTTATCTTTTAATAAAGCATTGAACAATCAAATTACTTATCACCCTGCTTAAACATACATTATGCAAGAGCTAAATCTGCCTATTTCAGGTCTTTCTTTAGGCCTGAAATGTTATCTTAATTATTAATTAGACATTAATTAACTTATCCCGACCATAATCAACTCTCGATGAGATCGCTAGCCTGCGATATTTACTGGATTAGGATCTGATTTGCTACTCAACTTTCATTCATGATTTAATCATGAAATGGATAACCAAGACTATGTTTTTTTATCATACCGACTTTAGTAATGATGATCGAGGCTAGGTCGAAAATTCAATCGCTAAATTCTCGGTTCAGAGTGGATCAATTTGACTGAAATTTTCAGCAAATTCCCTTTACATTATCTATTTTTTAACTATTGTAGTGAGAACTACACCCATAATGTATCTTTAACCTTAGCAGAAAATGCTCATTATCAAACTTTGTCAAAGTAATGATGCAATAAAACTATCATTCTATCACCATTCACCTAATAAATCTCTAGACCAAGTTTGAACTTTCTACCTCAATTAGAAGCACAGTTATTGTCCTCAAAAAAGTGTTTCGGACAGACAGAAAAGACCATTACAATTCATATAGACAGATGACTAAAAAATATCAATAAATATTGTTCAATAAACATACAAGAAATAAATATGGAATTGAAAAGGAATTATAAGTGTTATTACATATAAAATTGTACACCAAGTGACCAATATCTAGCTATTACTTACGGCAAAACTCTTTTATTTACAATAGTCTGTAGAGAAAGATGTACTCCTTGTTTAACTTGTGTAGCTAACATTGGACAAAAATTAACAAAAGACTGAAATAACAAAACATTTCAGAGCACTGTAAATTATGTTCAAATACCCAAAGAATATAATGGCAATTCATAATATACTGAGACTCAATAAAAAAAAAAAAGAAAAAAAAAAGGCACAAATGATTTAACTGGAAATGCTTGCTGGACATATTGCAGCAGAAATGATATTTCTGGTATGAATGTAGACTAAATATTACCGATAAAAAAAAAATCAACAACAATCCACAGAGGCCATAAAAACTTTAGTGAAATGTTGGCACAAAGAAGTCAAAATCTCAAGTCATAGACGTGTCTTTTGTCACTCATTGCCATCTAGGAATTGACCGATCAAAGTAATAGCATCCAAAGCTTCTGGCAACAGCTCTGGTACTCATGCTCTCTTGAAATAACGCAATTTATGATAACTGAAAATCTTGAAGAAATTCTAGACCAAGCTATGGTATATGAAAATTCCATATATTGTCACGTTTCTCACCAACCAACGAATCTGTAATAATTTTAAGTATTGAGAATTATACATTTGGAACTTGTGCTCTGTTGTTATCTTTGTGGCCACGGTATAAATGAAGATATAATTAAGACTTCTCTTTGCCTTTCTAACTTACCCTTGCTAGAAAATCAAGTAATGTAGCAGTAATAGCTGGATGTGGTCTCATTGAATGATACATTACTAATATGGCAGGTTCTGGAGAAAAAAACAACACACAACCATACATTAAACTCTCAAAAAAAGATAATTTCTTCATAATAAACATTAATCTGAATTTAACATTTAAGCATTAAAACTAGAAAATAGAAATAGAAAAGACAATGTCTTCTTATTCTGTAAAAAAATAACAAGACTCACCAATATTCATTATACTATCTTTTTCAGGATCAAAAAAGAACCAATCATAAAAGAGAGATAACTTGGCTATGGAAGCTGCCACATTTGACTAAAAATAGAGAGAAAAATTATAATAATCGGTAGATACTTTATTAATGTAGTTCAAATTACTGGTATTACTTTTAGCGACACCGCAATCAAGTTGTTATAAATCATTCAGATTTGCACAGTTTGTCCTTTAGAGTAGATGTTGCATTAAAAGGTCTCAATGCACCAGATAATCAATAATCATTCTCCTTATTTGACAAGAAAAGGCTTAAAATGTTTATTAGATAGTAATCTAAATGAATAAAACATAAAATGTACAAAACAAATATCCTCAACATGAACTCAACAGCAATTAATGGGACATTTAGATTGCCAAAACGTCTGGTAGGATTAATTTGAATACTTTTTGAAGTAATGTTTTAAATATGGCTATTGTCTGTGGTCTGAAAGTCTAAATTTACCTTTATGTCAGTTATGTCATGTCTTTACGATACTGCAGCCAAATAAATTGGGTCTTTCTGTTTATAAATAGTTATACTTATCTTTGAAGATTCCATGATATAATGACGAAGCTTTTTGTTCTCAGCAACATAATTATTTAAGTAGTGTACCCAGGTTGTTTTCAATAATTTATTTTAAAGAGAGAAAATACTTACAGTACACGTTGTGAGAAGCCAACCAATCACAGCCCAACGTGGAATGATATCGGAACAAAGAAGTTCATTGGAGGGATGAAAGACTGCACAAATATAACGAATTAAATCACAGCGTAATGTTTGGCTTTCTGGTGTTGACAAATACTGTAATATACAAAGTGTAACCACACTATATAATGGTAATACTTTTAAGAAATTATTATAACTAAAGGTCAGGTCCAAATTCTACATATTTTATTGATTTTCTAATCTTGAATTAGTTTGAACATGTTCAACCCAGATTACAAATAAGATTGTTTTTAATTAACCAATCAACATGCCATTTTTGATGTTATCAGGGTGGATGTCATCTTCACTCACTGTAAACTAAAAAGGCAGTGCTAGTTAAATTTTGCCAAATTTGATTAGTAAATTTAAAAATTGATTAGCAGTTTTTCAGTTTCAACATAAAACACCTTAATAACAAGATATTACTTTAATTTTAATTCCTAACAAATGAGTAGATGTTATTCTTAAGATTTTTTTTAGCACTGCTACAGGTATGCCTAGCTGTGACCATTTCTGAATGTGATGTAGTGTGTGTGTGCGAGTTAGTTGTATTTTACGTCCGCTTCCACAAGGTGATATTGCAGACAAGGTGCCTAAATGTGTAAAAAAGCTTTATTTAACGTCTGCTTCCACCGAAGCGATATCGCTGACAAGGGTGCCTAAATTCACTGTGTGTGAAATAGCTTTATTTAACGTCCGCTTCCACCGAAGTGATATCGCAGACAATTACATGTTATATATACATAGTGATAATATTTACAATGTGATTAATAGATTAAAACGGATAATTAGGTTTTTTTTTTTTAGATATATATGTACAAACAATAGATAAAAGGACGAGACATGATATAACAAGTGCGGAAAAAAGAAGTGCAGTAGACTTTTGGTTAGGTCTTATATCTGAAGCCAATTCTTGTCAGTGGGTTCCAAAGCCCCATTCATTTTAATTCTTATTTCTTCGTGCATCTACTTTTAATCGTGTGTTACTATTTTTGTTCAATCGGACGCACACAATATTTCACAAATAATCTTGATTAACTAGACGCACGTGATATAAATAATATTTTACGGGAATTCTTACATTGATTTCTCATTTTACAATACGTTTACACGTATTTATTTTTTGTATTTTATTTACAATACGTGGGGTTGCACTGAATTTAATATTGATATAATCACTCGAAATTGACATGTCTCGCAACATTAGTGGTACTACTTGATTCCCTATTTCCGGTTTAATAGTACCAATTCATAGAGTTATGTCCCTGTATTATATAGTATGATAAATCTTTGCGTCAATATCCAAAATGACAGGCATATTAATGATTAGCAACGGACAAAATATGTATCACAAATTGCTGCGATACTCGTTGTCAGCAGCCCTGAAAGCTATATCGCATTTACAGCATACCCAGATTAACTATTATGTCACAAACACATAACTTTGTATATACATAGCAAATGACAGTTATCCTAATTATCTTAATTGAAGGAAAAATTAGTTGCATTTCGGATGGAATCTATTTAATACTAGCTAATATAAACCATTCTGCAACTGCTTGGCTTTGATTTTGAGTTTTCTAGTCAACATGTACAGTGTAACTTATACAAAATATTTTTACAAATATACAATAAAGTAATATTATACAATAAGACTATCTTACCTGTCTCTGAAACCAGTCTTGATATCTTTTATGTTGACCAAACTTAACCTGTAAATAAAGGTAAATCAAAACAAGTTAATAAGCCGTTGCCAGGCAAGATGCGCAAGAGATGGACAGAGAACACGCTAAAGGAGCAATTTCCGTACAGTTAGTGGCAATAATACAGGAAGTTAAGGTCTGGCATGCGTCAATACCAAAAGGATCCAAGTTTCATCAAAATTGAATAAAAATTGTGACCTCTAGAGGGTCCACCAGCTAAAACTGCGATCAGGGGCCGTAATACAGGAAGTTACAGTCTGACATGCGCAAATAGTGAAAGGAACCAAGATCTTTGGGACATGAACATATATTTTAAGTTTCATCAAAATCGGATAAAAATTGTGACCTCCAGAGGGTACACAACCTTGGTATTACATACTTTTACACTATGTGTGTATGTGTGAAATAGCTTTATTTAACGCTCGCTTCCACTGAAGTGATATCGCAAACAAATTATCGGATACAATGTATATTGATTTGGGATGTTATATACCATTAGGATATGTGACATATATGACTAATTTCTACGTGCTGTCGGCCGACATCAAGGAGATTAAAACGTCCAACAATGGAGAAATCCCAGGTCAATCACGTAGATTTAGTTTATAATCACTTATTGGATTGATACATAGTCCGACAAAGGAGAAGCAAAGACTTCTGTTTGGGATTGGATTGTGCGATAAAGGATTAAGTCAGACAATCAAGGCAGATTAACTAGTTAATCAAGGTAGGTGTATAGGCAGTATAACACGATAAGTATGTTGATCACTTAATTACCTATCAATCCATCCTATTATCAACGATAATTGGGTTGAGTGATAGATTACACTCAGTACACTATATTAATTTTGGAATTTTGAACATTACTAACCATACCCTGGCTGATGTCCGATTGGGCATATTCCTGGTTTGACAATTTAGGGCGTTTGGAAAATAGTGTTGGACATTTTCGGAATATACGGGCAAAATCCCATCACTGGTTAAGACAGCTATTAGTTTATAGAAAACTACTTTACCTTTGTAATAAGGAAGACTAGCTTATTTTCCATATCCGGTGTAAGACGACTAACTAAATATTTTCTAGATGTTCGGATCTGAAACAACTGTACTAAACCTATAAAATAATACAAATAATAATAGTTAAATAAATGATGTTATAACCTGAATTGTTTTATAAATATCTGTAGCATTTAACAATCAAATTGGTTGCCATGGTTTTGTTGCCATCAAATTAGTAGATCATTTTATCCAACTGATTCTATTTACTGTGATCACATACGAAACAATTTTAAAAGATTTGTTTTCCCTCTCAATGGAATTACTTTCTACACAGCAAATTTACTGAGGATATAGTCTGAATAATTATTCTCTTGGCTATTTCCAATCGACAAATTTTGGGTCGGCAGTCAAAATTAACTGGCCACCACTGCTCTCGGACAGTTGTAACACGCCTCAGAGTATCTGATTTTTTGGGGGTCAAATGAGGTTCCTGGTTTCAGTACAAAATAATGAAATTAACAAACCTGTAAATTGTGGACTGATTGATGAGGGGTTTTTCATCATATCATACCAGAATTTTTCGAACTCTGGTATTCTGGCAACATTTTGTAATAAACGAACCAAGTCTCTACCTATCACCATACATTCAACAAACTAAAAAAAAGAAAGAAAAAAAGGTCAAAGCATAAGGAACCAAACTACTTTGAATATATATTTTAATAATCTATCAGATATTCTATATGTTTTTTTAGATATATATATAAAAATTTAATGTAAACTTTCAAATTACTATAATGATCTAAATATATCTAACTATAACATCATTGTACAGTTGTCCATTGTATAATGCATACATGTAAATCTATAATGAATGAAATCCAATTAGTATTACTCTACCTTTTCCCGTAATAATAATATACAAAGATCTGTCTCCTTCTGTCTAACAGCAGCTAGACCAGGTAAACAATGATCTAACATAACACGTAAAAATGTATATATCACGGACGGTATTAAACCTGGCTGTTTCTCTAACCAACTCCTGAAAAATACATTAAATAGTCTTCAGGATCGGTCACATGGCTTCAATATAACAATAAAATTTGAAAACTGTACTTCAAAACAAGCCAAGGCGGGGGGATAACATTATGGGCTTCCTTTAGTTACTTTAATAACAAATTACTCTTAGAGAGCTGGTGCTCTCCTTCGTTATTGACGGATTCTATACACAAGTAATATGAAAATAAGACCTTTCCCCCATCTCGGTTCTAAGGCTATTTTGGAATCCTTACCATCTATTTTTCACCGTGATTCTTCTTTTTTCGCCAAAATGAATCATTTCTTGCCACATCCGACACATATTTTCGTTCACGGTAATATTCCATTCCTAAATTCGGAATATTGGCTGCGCGCAGACTTGACTTTCACAATGGCGGATCATTTCAAATGAATTTTGATTGTGTTTTTGGATCGCTAAATTCTACATGAAAATAGTGTTGGATTATTATAAATTTGTGTCAGATGTGGCAAGAAATGATTTCCTTTTGGCGAACAAAGAAGAATCACGGTGAAAAATAGACGGTAAGGATTCCAAAATAGCCTTAGAACCGAGATGGGGGAAAAGCCTTATTTTCATATTACTTGTGTATAAGATCTGTCAGTAACGGAGGAGAGCACCAGCTCTCTAAGAATTTGTTACTAAAGTAACTAGGCTTCCTTGAATTAAGCTGATCTGATATTGTACTGTAGTGCATGGGTTCCACGTCGGCCATATATGACCGTTCCTAGATCTGACCTAACGGTCATTTTGCACGCCGGAAAGAGGGTCTTTTTAAAAAAAAAAAAAAATTTCAAACATGACTACGATCGACCTTCACTGTGTAACTATACAAGAATGCACGTCGTCTAGAAGCCAATCTCATGATTGGTGTTATAGAGTTGTACTGAGTGTTGTGTTGATAATTAATGATGAGTGTCTGGTAGTAGAGCAATAAATGTTAATTGATAAGTGGGAATCTAATCAACGGCGTGAAGCGGCCCATTGTTAATCATTCACGTATTGTCCACGTGTCATAAGAATTTTCAAATGCATTTAAAAATAAAATGTTTATAGCGGTATTACGGCCTTGTGGAAATTGTTGAAATAAAATCTAGAGATTAGTTAACTTGCTTACCGAACAATTAAGAAAAATATGTATTCCAGTTCTATTGTGCAGCAATATTGATAATTCCACGTGTAGAAGAAATGTGTATATACGGTTACTCTTATACACGACCATATTCTAGGGGGCGCTAGTGTCGCTCGCCGTGAAGTTAGTTATCCGTTAGTCATTTAGTTATACATTATTAGGATTTACGTCACAATTCTGCGGCCCGTAATTCCGTAAGAGATGGTCTAAAACCCAAAAAATGTGAGATATATGCCATGGATAATTATATATTTATCTTCATTTCAAAGTTATTGTATTACAACTCAAAATTATCCAGGTCAGTGTGTTTTCTATAGAGCACATGTTAATTACGTGTGAGCTACTGAAATGTTTTTTCTCCGGCCAATTCAACTATTTCGTTATTTAAGTAGCCAAAACGGAATATTTAATTATTAAATAATTATCATAAGCCTTAATAATATTTCATTTTTAAGTCAAATATATTTTTTTTGTGCACCCCATGGTGACAAAGTAGTATAGACACGTGAATTCACAATACCCTACCATGAATAAAAAACATGAAATATAAATTTACTTTGAAAAGTTTTCGTGCGTTATCAAAAATGACCGGCAGTGAAAATTTTGAAGTGGAAGCCCTGCTGTAGTGTTTCCTCTTCAATCATTGCTATCCTCACTAGATTTTATGGCAAGAGTCTATACATAACACAAATATAAAGGCCTGGATATATTTGGATTTACCTACCTGTGTTCATAAAACATATCAACCACACTTTCACACAGGTATACATTCTTTGAAGATATATCTCCGCCTAAAAACAAATTGAGTTCAGAATTTCCAGAGCATGGCATATAAACTAATATTTCAATAATCTTATAAATATATGTGAAAAATATTAAAGATATTATTTTCTTCTGCGACATATTCCCTAAATCAAAAGATGCTGCTCAAAATGGCAGACTTAATAAAAATGCAAATGGAAACACTAAGTCAACATAATTTTCTAAAGTTGTTTAAATGTGATGTTTGTGAGAAGTCATTAATATAGCCCAGTGATCATTGGACAAAATTACAAAAGTAATATAAAAACCTTCATCTTAGAATATTTATTTTGTGTTGCCTTACTAAATACACAGAAAGATAAATGACATATTAACCTGATATTTGTCTTAATACAACAAAACAAACGCTATCTGCACCTTGTACATTATTTTTGATTAACTCCCTACATAACCATAAAATCTGAAGAAAACAAAAAAAAGACTAATGAAAGGCAGAAAAAATGTCTTGTCGTACCTAGATGGGCTGAAAACAAAAGAACGTACAGATGCATAATTCATGCAAATTAAATTTTAAAAAAAAACAACAAAAATCATGTATTTATTGTGTGTGTGTGGTATTTTTCTTGTGGACATTCTCTACACTGTTTCTTTTTTATTGCACCTTCAATTTGTATGTTAAAAGTTCATATATATTATCATTTCTTAATAAAAATAGAAATGGATGATTATAATTCTCTTACCTGTGCCCTAACAGTATCATACAATTTCAACCATTTTTCAAATATAATTTGGTTTGTCTTTAATAAAACAGTATTCAACCCATCTCTACTCACAAGATTCATGTCTCTGTAACTCTGAAAGACAATAGTAACAAGGGGATCATTTAAAATGTTTAGATAGTCTAAATCAAACTGACAAAACAGCTTGTGGGTATTTTATCAGTTATTGACCAAATTAAAGGATATGGCCATCTTAAACATACATTATGCAAGAGCTAAATCTGCCTATTGCAGGTCTTTCTTTAGGCCTGAAATGTTATATAAATTATTAAATAGATATTTATTAACAAAACAAGACCATTATCAGCTCTCGATGGCATCAGAAATTCAAGATTTGAACGAGATTAGAAAGGTTCGCCTTTTACAAATTTAATTTAACCAGTAGCTGCCAGGCAGGATACGCTCACATTTTCGAGAGATGGATAGAGAACAAGCTAAAAAGAAAGTGATTTTTCCTACAATCAAGGGCCATAATTCAGGAAATTACAATTCGATATGTGCCAATATCGAAAGGAACCGAGATCTTTGGGTTATAAACATACATTTCAAGTTTCATCAAAATAGGATTAAAATTGTGACCTCTATAGGGTCCACAGCCTTGATATACCATATTTTTACGCTATTTGAGAACGAAGGGCAGCCATTTTGTCTGTCAGTTTTGCGCCGATTTTCACGAAATTCAAACTCAATCGTCCTTAGGGTGTAACGGTGATATAATAATATGTTTTTTTAAATCAGATAACAAAATATGACCTCTATAGGGTCCACAAGCTAAAAAAGCGATTTTTCGTACAATCAGGGGCCATAATTCAGAAAGTTACGGTCAGATATGCGCGAATATCAAAAGGAACTGAGAACTTTGGGTTATAAACATACATTTCAAGTTTCAACTCAATCGGATAAAAATTGTGACCTTTATAGGGTCCACAAGCTAAAAACGTGATTTTTCGTACAATCAGGAGCCATAATTCAGGAAGTTACGGTCCGATATATATCGAAAGGAACCGAGACCTTTGGGTTAAAAGCATACATTTCAAGTTTAAACCAAATTGGATAAAAATTTTGACCTCTACATTGTTCACAAACTAAAAACGTGATTTTTCGTACAATCAGGGGCCATAATCCATGAAGTTACACTCTGATACATGCCAATATCGAAAGGAACCAAGATCTTAGGGTGATAAACCTATATTTCAAGTTTCATTGAAATTGGATAAAAATTGTGACCTGTAGACTGTTCACAAACAATTGTGGACGGACGGACAGGGGCGACGACAATATACGTCCACATGAAAATGTGGGCGTATAAAAATGGGAAAGCGAGGCTAAGTCTCGAATATACCAGTGCCCTGGTTACCACAATGCACACATCTTGTCAAAACTACAAAGAGTGATAAGTTGGCTCAGAATGAAGTAATTTGAATGAAATTTTCAATATTTTCATTTTACATTATCTATTTTTGAGTTATTATTGCAAGAATAGTCAGCTCTTTATCTAAATCTTACATAATGTATCTTTAAGCATTTAATTCAATTAAATAAGGAATATACTATACCTTGCTGGCATTTTTAGCATCCACCAATATGGAATACAACAAACCCAGTTGTACTTCCTCATGTTGAGCATTTCCTTTAGAAATCTTGAATGTAAAACAGTAAACACAGTCATATAATTTAAGAGTGAAGAGGCATTTAACATTACATAATGCTAGCTGGGTTACCCAGCATCACACCGGTAGAGTTTATCTCAATTTTTGTAACATCTGTCAATTTCATTAATGAGTACTGCACCAAATACATGTAAACAGCAGGATTTAATTTCTTATAAAACAGCGGCTGCCAGGCAAGATAAGCCCACATTTTGCAAAAGATGGATAGAGAACAAGCTAAAAGAAAAGCGATTTTTCGTGCAATCAGGGGCCATAATCCAGGAAGTTATGGTTTAAAATGGTTTTAAATTGACTGAGATATTTCACGATTATCGAAAGGAACCAAGATCTTTGTGATATAAACGTAAATTTAAAGTTACATCAAAATTGCGGCCTTTAGAGGGTCTACAGCTTTGATATACCATATACATGTATTTACACTATTTGCATACGAGGGTCGGCCAATTTGTCCGGGAGTTTTGGTCCAATTTTCACGAAATTCGAACTCAACCGTCATTACGGTGTAACGGAGATATATTCGTTTTGTAAATAGTATAACAACTGTGAACACTAGAGAGACCACAAGCTAAAAATGCGAAGTTTTGTACAATCAGGGGCCATATGATTCAGGAAGTTATGATCCGATATGCGCAAATATTGAAAGGAACCAAGACCTTTGGTTTATAAACATGCATGTCAAGTTCCATCAAAATCAGATGTGTCCACAAGCTAAAACGTGATTTTTCGTACAATCAGGGTCCATAATCCAAGAAGTTTCAATTCAATACATGTCAATATCAAAAGAAACCAAGATCTTTTGAAGATAAAACTATTTCAAGTTTCGTCAAAATCGGACGGGACGGACAGAGGAACAGGGGCGACGACAATATACATCTACATGAAAATGTGGGCGTATAAAAAAAATAATTACAATGAAATTAACAAGCCAACAGTGAGGCTGAACTCCCATGCCGAAATCCCAAAATAAATAGATGACACATATTAATTAATCGCACATTTATTTTTTTCACAGGTATCAAGCAATTAAACTGATTATCAACTGTACACTAAGTTTCATCACTCTCTATTAGATAGAATCAAAGTTATCTTGTCCCAAAGCATTGACCAATGAAATTGCTTAGCTTTAGCTCGAAATGTTAATCACTGAACTCAGTCAAGACATTCATCTAATGAACTTCAACATAAAATTTAAACATTCTTACCTCAATTAAAAGCAGAGATGTTACATTCCAAAATCTTGACCAATCAAATTGCTTATTGCTTCTTAGCCTAATCAGAAAATTCTCATTGAATTTAGTCAAGGTAATTATATAATGAATCTGTACTTGAGTTTCATCACTTTCACTTAATTAAAACCAAAGTTATCGGGCCACAAAGCATCAACCAATCAGATTATCGGGCCCCAATGCATCAACCAATCATATTGCTTAATGTAAGCAAACAATGCTAATCATGGAACTCCATCAAGGAATTCACCTAATGAACGCCTACACCAAGTTTGAACATTCTACCTCAATTAGAAGGGGAATTATTGTGTTTCAAAGTCTCGGCAAATCAAATTGCTTATCGTTCCCCAAAGCATCAACCTATCAAATTGCTTATCTCTGCTTATCCTAAGCAAAAAATTCTCATCTTCGAACTCTATCAAGCCATTCACCTAATAAACACCTACGCCAAGTGTAAACATTCTAGCTCAATTAGAATGTGAGTTATTGTGTTCCAAAGTCTCAACCAATCAAATTACTTATCGCTCTGCTTACCTAGAGCAGAAAATGCTCATTTTCGAACTTAGTCAAGATATTGATGTTATAAAACTATACACCAAATTTCATCACCCTCATTTAATCGTGTCCCAAAGCATCAACCAATCAAATTGCTTATCTCTGCTTACCCTAAGCAGAAAATGGTCATCTTTGAACTCCATCAAGGCATTGACCTAATGAACACCTACACCAAGTTCGAACATTCTAGCTCAATTACCAGGAGAGTTATTGTGTTTCAAAGTCTCGGCCAATAAAATTGCTTATCGCTCTGCTTAACGTGAACAGAAAATGATCATTATCGAACTCGGTCAATGTATTCATGTAATGAAACTATACACCAAGTTTCATCACTCTCACTTCATTAGAACTAAAGTTATCGTGTCCCAAAGTATCAACCTATCAAATTGATTACCTTTTGCTCACCCTAAGCAGAAAATGCTCATCACCCTCATTTAATTAGAACTAAAGTTATCGTGTCTCCAAGCATCAACCAATCAAATTGCTTACCTCTGCAGTCTGCTTACCCTCAGCAGAAAATGCTCATGAATCTTCGAAATCCATCAAGGCATTGACCTAATAAACACCTACACCCCAAGTTTGAACATTCTAGCGCAATTAGGAGAGATATTGTGTCCCAAAAAGTGTGACAGACAGACGAACCCATTTTAATAGTTTCTTGCTTCCTTCGAAAGGCGGGGGAAAATTACAATTTTATAAATCCAGCTGTACAAACAAACAATCTTTCTCTTTGAGATATTATTTCCAACATAACACTAGTCTCACCCAATTATCAAAATTTCAAGCACTGGTTTAATTAAAGCAAAGCATTTTGAACAAGTTGAGAATGCTAGTCTATTTTATGGGTCTTAAAATATTTGTTTATAAAACAAATATACTTACATAAGCATTTAAAGCATCATTTGCTTCTCTATCAGATAACCCATTTATCAAGTTTACAACACATTTGAAACATTTTTCCAATTTCTGTAAATAAAATAGTTACGGGTATAGAAAATTGTGACCACTTTAAAATTAAATTATCAATGAAAGGAAAAGAAAGAAAAAAAAAAGAAGAATAATAGAGAATTATTTGACTCATCATCAGATAAGTTCATGACAGGAATATCACTGTGTTGAAGGAGTGTTGGGAAAAATTAATTATTGTCTTCTAAAAATGCAAAGAAATTTTCTTATCAAGTCCCTGAACGGGATTTGAGGGATTGTGAAAGTTGAATATCTTAACCCTTGTTGGTGCACGTGGGGTCTCCGTTGACCCGATGCACATGTTTTATAATAACTACTGGGTACTGCTTTCTGACATTTAGTGACTGTCTCCTATACATTTTTTACAACTACTATGTGACATAGCGAAGAGATCAGTATTCATCTGCTTCCCACATGCAGAGTTATGTTACATGCAAATCAAACCCAACACTTGACAGGAACATGGGGTTCAATCAGACGTCTAACTGGTAAGTGGTAACTCACAGTCACAGTAGGGAATTTGCTAATGTGTTTGCTTTCTGCTAACATATTGTGTATGCCAGAGTATTCTCTTTTTTAGCAACTGCATGTTACAAATACCAAAAATTAAATGACAAATTCCAAATATTGAATGGATTTTGTATCAAGCGTGAATTGCCATTTAACCTTTTTATCAAATAGTACTACACATATTAGCAATGTGAGAATTATTAAATCTTTTCCATATGTCACTAAAATGTCTTTGTATAACAATTTAGTTGTTTTTCAGATGTCAAATATGAATGCAAATAAAAACCAATTCAAATATATCTGTTCATAAAAAGTTTGAAGTATAACTGGGGTCCATATGGACCCTGATACCGGCTATTTGATTCTCACAATGTGCACCCCCACAAGGGTTAAATTAATATCAATTAAGTCAAAAAATAAATTAATTAAGTCAAAAAATCATTCAGTGATGAATTGAGAATTGTCAACATGCAGCATCCTCTTCCGGTGAAATATACAGGATATGTTCAAAACTAGTAACTCATAATATTTGCAAAATCTCTTGGTGGGCCGCTTCGGAATCTATGCTAGGAGATTTTTTAGGTTGACATTTTGATCAGGTTTTTTTTTTTTAGCTTAAATCAATGTTAACCAATTTGAGTAGATATTAGCTTTGATAAAGCCATGGAAAATTCAATATTGTCCAGAAAATACAAATGATGGACAGAGATTTTATAAGGATGATGCTTATAGATGGAAGGAGAATAGTTCCTAATTATGGACTGAATCAGTCATAAAATTTGAAGTGAGGATTTAGTATTTAGTTATACCGGTAATCAACACATTCATCAAACCTTGTCATATTTTTCAAGAATATGTGGGACAGTCCCTTTAAAAGGACATGACCTCATTGGGTTGACTTAAATGAGAATATCTTAAAAATCCTGACATAATTATAACAATATGGATGACATAACTTGACAATCCCTCAATCAGATCCACATTAATCTTTATATTAACTTATTTTTAAAATCATTATTTTCTTCAAAAAATAAAACTGTTCTATCAAATCAAATATACACCTCATCAAATTCTTCTTTCCCTTCTAAAACAGATAAGTTGAATAGCCTGGATTGTGGCTGGGTGTGCTTTCTGACATTGGCTTCAGTTTTTGCCATATCTACGACTGTGAATTGTACATCTTTTTCATTCCATCTGACAGAATCATTTCACACCTGACAACTATATCTTTGGATTCAGATATTGATGGACTGCAATTACTGTAAATATCTATGAGTGATAGTCCCCAAAGACTTATATTGAAGCAGACGATGCATGAAATATCAAATGTCAATATTACCACTTTGTTTTGTCCTACACAAAATTGTATGTAATGGAAACACTCGTTATTGCCACACAGTACGGTAGTAAATTGTATAATTGAGTTTGCTCAGTGTCGAATTACTTATATTTAGTAACAGGTATTGAAATGAAGGTATCAGAAAGTTCGATTTTAATTGTAATGCGTACACTGCTATAATTATTTGTGTCAAAATAACAGCATCGTTTACAAGAATTCAAAGTACATCCTTTCCCCAAAAGGGTCTTCCGCCGAATGAGCTTAAGGCATGGATTTACCACAAAAAAGATTTGGTGTCGTATTTGCAATATTTATAAATAAAACCAAATGAATTTCTGAGGTACAAATCCGAAACAAACTCATTTATTTATAAGCACTAATACGAGCACTAATTTTCTAATTTACAAAATGTAAAATAATCCTTAGGGTCCGTTATTTTACGACAACCTCAATCCAGCTAAAGTTTACAAAATTTGACTGAAACAAAACGAATAGGATTTATTTTAAGTTTTGACTTTGACCTTTTGCATATGACTAATGAGTTTATTTTTAATTTGTATTTACTCTCTCACATTAGTGTATTTTATATTTGATTTTAAGCGTCTGTAAATAAATGAATATTTCGTTTCGTGTATTTATGTACTAAACTCTTAAATTTGTATACTACATTGAACGCGTGTTTCATCATTTTATTTTGATTGCTTTTCTGTCTCCAATCTAGGTGTTATTTGAGACCAGACAATGGCAGATTTGGCAAAAGAAACCGAGAAATTGACCATGAGTAAGAAACATTTGATTTATACACTGATTTTGTGAAATTCTGTAACAATAGCTGTGGATTGGATCAAGACCGGTCTGCTAAAACACGATTTTCAGACAGTTATTTTATTCAATTGTCATTGATTAACGAACCCAAAAACTTTGGAAAAGTTTCCATATGTACTAATGTAGCCTATTGTCAATTGTCATGATAGGTAAAACGACAGTGCAGGAATTCTGGGAACCTATTTTGGCTTGACCACACTGAGTTAGTGAGTAAACATTTCCTTTTTGGGGTAAGAAATTTGGAAATGAACATAATTTTCAGAAGTCAGTTCTGGCTTTTATTGGTTATGTTACTGTTAGGCGCATTCTTCACCCCTTGGTTGGACAGATTGCAGTCTACCCTCCCGTGTTGCGCAGAGTCCACTCTGTCGGTGTAGATGGGACCCTGTGCACGTCGATTGTAATCTGCGGGTGTCAAACTGGTGCGTAGATAGTCAAATTTGCGCTGAATGTCCAAAAATAGCACTGTAGTTGAAATTTATTGATATAAGCGCATAATCAGCTCTCTAGGACATCGGATGGTTAAGATATTGAGATTGAGTGGCTTAAACAGTAATATGGACAGCACCTAAAATCGAGGCCTGGTTTATTATTGTGGCAATAGTACATATGAACTTGAAAATCAAGGCTAATTTAGTCTATTTCTTGACAAAAGTTCAAACATTCATAATTTTGCTCAGAATAAAATAAGTTGACTGAAATTTTCAAGTACAGTATTCGTTTTACATTATTTATTTTTGAACTATAAGATTTGCCTGCTCTTTATCTAAATCTTACATAGTGGATTTTTAATTTATGACCCAAAAAGCTATTGATGATGAAATATCACTGAAAACTAGAGTCTATTTATAAATACCTGGTATGTTTTTCAAAGATATTTCATCATCATTATAGACTTAATATAACCATGTAGTAACAATATTTGTCATTATTATTCTATACACCGGTTGTGACAATCAGCTGGTTTTCAAGCCTTGAACTTAACTTCAAAATGGGTGAGAAATGAAAACTGCTATACCGGTAGTTTTACACTTGATTTGTTGTTTAAATTTCAAAAATGTAAATCGGGGTAAAATTTATTTTAAACATATGGAATTATTTTTCAGAAGAGGTTTATACGTCCGAGAAATGTGGGGATGACACCGCTGGAACTGGTACACAAGTTAAACCTTTCAAAACCATACTTCAGGTTAGACTGCAACAATCTTGTTTATATGATTTTAGAGCTCGCTGTCCATAATTTGTTTCTTGTGGTTATTTGATCCAAATGTTTCAAGTAAATACTGGCACATCAGATATTTGTTTCTACTGTGTGTCAAGTTATCTTAAGAGTATTGGTGTAAAAAATATGATGAAGCAGCTGAATGCATGAATAATATAGGGCTTATAAAGTAAGCATCGGGTTTAGAAATTCGTCATTTTTTGCGGGAATCTTAAGAGGATTCTCATATGCAATCTGCGCGAACCCTCCAAATCTTAATTAAAATGCTGTCTAAAGAACAAAATTGTGTTTATTGTTTATTGACAGTATCAGAAAATGCAGTAGCCAAAATAAGCTGATACGGCACCACAGCATTTCTTTATAACACAATTTGTAGTCTTTTGTAACTTGCAAAAGTTTTTATTCATTCGTCGATGATAGACAAACGGCACAATGACCACGTGTCAACCATAACTGAAATTGCTATAAAATAAAATTCTGTACGGCTATGATATAGTCTTCAGAAATATTTTTAGAATTAAACCTCTGTCAGCATGTGTATAAAATAAAAAATCATAACGGTATTTAGATCTGGTTTAGTGACCTAATTCCAACCAATATGTCACATGTCATTGGAATTTGGCATTGGAGATTCTGTCGGAGAAAATACCCACTGTTTCTCTCTCCATGTATTCGGTGTTCTATCAGGGGATTATATTCAATGAAGATTTAAACTTACATAACAAATGGTCAATGAATCCATCAATGTACGATCCAGTTATTATTTTAAAATCTACCGGTACCTGAAATTCACATGAACGGAGTGTGGAAGACACGTGATTCGCAAACCATTATTAAACTAAATTGATGATCCCAAAATGATCTAGTAGTTTTGAATCTGATTTCTTTTATGTCCCCCGCCTTTCGAAGAAAGCAGGGGATTATTAAAATGGGTTCGTCTGTCTGTCCGTCACACTTTTTGGGACACAATAACTCTCTTTCTAATTGAGCTAGAATGTTCAAACTTGGTGTAGGTGTTTATTAGGTCAATGCCTTGATGGAGTTTGAAGATGGGTATTTTCTGCTCAGGGTAAGCAGAGATAAGCAATCTGATTGGTTGATGCTTTTGGGGCCCAATAACTTTGGTTTTAATTAAGTGAGAGTGAGAGTGATGAGTATAGATTTATTATATCATTACCTTGACTAAGTTTGATGATGAGAATTTTCTGCTTAGACTAAGGGTCGATAAGCAATTTGATTGGTCAAAACCTTGGGACATAACAATTTTGCTTTTAATTGAGGTAGAATATTTAAACTTGATGTTGATGTTCATTAGGTGAATGTCTTGACTGAGTTCAATGATTAACATTTCGAGCTGAAGCTAAGGAGAGCTGATCAATTTCATTGGTCGATGCTTTGGGACAAGATAGATTTGATTCTATCTGATAGAGAGTGATGTAACTTAGTGTATAGTTGATAATCAGTTTGATTGCTTGATACTTTTGAAAAAAATAAATGTGTGATTAATTAATATGTGTCATCTATTTATTTTGGGATTTCGGCAGGGGACATCAGCCTCACTGTTGGCTTGTTTTTCTTTCATTGAACCTGTCATGTACCCACCCACCCCCTTGTAGCTTTTATTAACAATTAACTAAAAAAAAATAACTGTTTACATCACACCCAAATAGAGAGCTCTGACTGGAATACCAGTTTAAAGAATTGTTTTTGTTTTGTTTTAGGCATTAAGACATGGTGGTAAAGATGCTACTATTTATGTTGATGGTAAAGAAGAAAATCAGGTTAGTCAATGTAGTACTCAACTGTAGTGATTATTACCATCACAATCTGTTGAAATACCTTTTATGTAGTTTCGAATTAAAAAGAGACATTATGGGATATTAGATAAAGAGCTGGCAGTTCTCACTATAATAGTTAAAAACTAGATAATGTAAAGGGAATTTTCTGAAAATTTCAGTCAAATTGATCCACTCTGAACCAAGATTTTAGCGATTGAATTTTTGGCCTAGCCTCGATCATCATTACTGAAGTCAGTACGATAAAAAACATAGTCTCGATTATCCATTTCTCGATTTTAAAAATCATGAATGAAAGTGGAACAGCAAATCTGATCATAATCCAGTAAATATCGCAGGCTAGCGTTGACATCGAGAGTTGATTATGGTCTGGATAAGTTAAGTAATGTCTAATTAATAATTTAGATAACATTTCAGGCCTAAAGAAAGACCAACAATAGGCAGATTTAGCTCTTGCATAATGTATGGTTAAAAGAAATTTAAAGATAGATTATGTAAGATTTAGATAAAGAGCTTGCCTTTTTTATACTCCCACATTTTCATGTGGACTTATATTGTCGTCGCCCCTGTCCGTCCGTCCACAATTTGTTTGTGGACACTCTACAGGTCACAATTTTATCCGATTTTGACGAAACTTGAAATATAGGTCTATCTCCCAAAGATCTCAGTTCCTTTCGATATTCGCATGTATCGGACCATAACTTCATGGATTATGGCACTTGATTGTATGAAAACAATTTAGCTTGTGGACACTCTAGAGGTCACAATTTTGATGAAACTTGATATGCATGTTTATATCCCAAAGATCTTGGTTCCTTTTTATATTCGCGCATATCGGATCGTAACTTCCTGAATTATGGACCCTGATTGTACGAAAAATCACGTTTTTAGCTTGTGGTCCCTCTAGAGTTCACAATTTTTATCAGATTTAAAAAAACGTTTTAGTATATCACCGTTACACCCTAATGATTGTTGAGATTGAAATTCGTGAAAATGGGACCAAAACTGCCAGACAAAATGGCCGCCCCTTGTACGCAAATAGTGTAAATATTATGGTATATCAAGGTTGTTGGGTGGGGGGGTTGGATGGCCGAATGGTTAGCACGCGCGTGCTGTATCATAAAGCCTGTCCTTGAGTCAACTGGCGTGGTTTCGAATCCCCGGATGTACGTGACAAGGAGTAGGGTCGCCTGTCCAACCTCGTGGGTTTTCTCCGTGTCCTCCGGTTTCCTCCCACTGCCAAAGACCCCTACTCTTAAGCGAATTATTGAAATAACATTAAAACCATATGTTAGTCCCGAAATGACCTATTTTGTGTTGAGTGGCTGTTAAACCCCATTTCTATATCTCTCTCTCAAGGTTATGGACCCTCTAGAAGTCACGATTTTCATCAGATTTCGATGAAACTTGGAATGCATGTTTATATCCCAAAGATCTTGGTTCCTTTTTATATTTGCGCATATCGGACCGTCACTTCCTGAATTATGGCCCTTGATTGTACGAAAAATCACGTTTTGAGCTTGTGGTCCCTGTAGAGGTCAGAATTTTTATTTGATTTATGAAAAAAAACGTGTGAATATATCACAGTTATACACTAATGTTCGAATTTCGTGAAAATCATACAAAATTGTACACAAATAGTGTAAAAAATATGGTATATCAAGGTTGTGGACCCTCTAGAGGCCACAGTTTTTATCTGATTTGGATGAAACCTTAAAGGGCCAATCCCGGTAACATTTTAGATAATAAAACTGCTTAATTTTGTATTAAAATCACTTAAAATCCTCTACCATAGGGCCGAGCAACTAACTCAATATATGTGATTCGTTTTCAAACAACTTAAACTTGTCAGTCGTCATCTGGAAATGGAGACCGGTGTCCCAAGCTGCATTATGCGGTGCCTGGATAAATTGACCCGATATCTTAAAAGGGTTACGTGTCCGGATAAGCAGTTTTGACGTTCACGTTCCAAACAACTTAATATTTTGAGCTGAAATTTTGAGACAGGGTAAATACACCATTCCTCTATATTTTTGCGCTAAAATTTTATAGGTACTCAGAATTTCATTTTTGAGACTCTGTTCAAATCGGGATTGTCCCTTAAAATATATGTTTTTATCATAAAGATCTTGGTTCTTGTTGATAATCACACATATCCGAACATAACTTCCTGGATTATGGCCCCTGATTGGTCGAAAATTCACATTTTTTAGCTTGTGGATTCTCTAGAAGTCACAATTTTTTTATTTCCGATTTTAAAAGCCGTTTAGATATATCACCATTCATCCATAATGAAGTTTGAATTGGAATTTCGTGAAAATCAAAATGAAACTGCCCGACAAAATGGCCGCTCTTTGTATGCAAATTGTGTAAAAGTATGTAATAAAAAGGTTATGGACCCTCTAGAGGTCACTTTTTATTATATTTTGATCATACTTAAAACATATCTTTATATTCCAAAAATCACAGTCCCTTTTGATATTGGCGCATTTAAGACCATAACTTTGTGGATTATGACCCCTGATTGTACAAAAAACACTTTTTGTTTTTAGCTTGTTCTCTATCCATCTCTTGCAAAATGTGGGCGTATCCTGCCTGGCAGCCGCTGGTTTGTTAATATTTAGTCTGTAAATTTGGCATAAGAAACCCAAAGTCTAGCCTTCTTTGCCTCTTGACATATTACATTCATTGCAGCCATTTCATATTTCATTTTCTTCATTTAAAAAAGTACCCTATCAATCAAAGTGGGAATGTGGACTTATATTGCAGCGTTAGCGATGCTCTCAATTTAAATCATGCCTCTTTAAGTATCTTTCAGGTGATCTCTTAATAATTTTGTATTTCAATTTCAGAAATATGAATTGGTTTCTAAATCTCAACTAAAAAAAATCCTTAAAATCTTTGAGAGAGAAAGTCATAAGGCTGGAGAGAAAGCCAAGAAAGAGGTATGTTTTTTTGTTTAAGACATCTATGTGTTCAGAAGTCAAAGGTGTTCATGGGTACAGTGTAGGAACCATTATGTATGAAACATGGTGGATATTTAATAGATTAGTCTCAAAATGACTGATGTTAGAATACACTTTCCACTCTATTCCTTTTTTGAATATAATTGTAAACCGATGTTGTCTAAGGTGATACCTTTTATTTCTAGTCTGAAGATGCGGAAAGAAGAGAGAAAAATTTAGAAGAAGCTAAAAGTATTGTTGTTGAGATGGACAAAAGCTTACCAGAGCCTAAACAGGTACTGACCCTATAATATCAGTTCATTTCTTTTTATGCGCCCACATTTTCATTGTCGTCACCCCTGTCCATCCGTCCACAATTTGTTTGTGGACACTCTACAGGTAACAATTTTTATTCGATTTTGACGAAACTTAAAAGATAGATCTATCTCCCAGAGATCTCAGTTCGTTTGCATATTATGGGGGGTGGATGTGGCCGAATGGTTAGTACATACGCGCTGTATCATAAGGCCTGTCATTGAGTCAGCTGGCGTGGTTTCGAATCTCCGATTGTACGTGACAAGGAGTAGGGTCGCCTGTCCAATCTCGTGTGTTTTCTCCGGGTCCTCTGGTTTCCTTCCATTGCTAAAGACCCCTACGCGCAAGCGAATTATTGAAATAAAATTAAAACCATATGTTAGTCCTGAAATGACCTAGTTTGTGTCGAGTGGAGGTTAAACCTCTCTCTCTCTCTCGTTTCGATCATAACTTCATGGATTATGGCCCCTGATTGTACGAAAAATCCCGTGTTTAGCTTGTGGACACTCTAGAGGTTACAATTTTCATCTGATTTTGATAAAACTTGAAATGCATATTTATAACCCAAAAAAATCTTGGTTCCTTTCGATATCTGCAAATATCGGATCGTAACTTCCTGAATTATGGCCCCTGATTGTATGAAAAATCACGATTTTAGCTTGTGGTCCCTCTGGAGGTCACAATTATTATCCGATTTAAAAAAACTTCTGAATATATCACCGTTACACTGTAATGAAGGTTGAGTTCGAATTACGTGAAAATCAGGCGAAAACTGCCAGACAAAATGGGCGCCCCTCGTACACAAATAGTGTAAAAATATGGTATATCATGGTTGAGGACCCTCTAGAGGTCATAATTTTGATCTGATTTTGATGAAATGTGGACGTATATTGGCGTCACCTCCATCGTCCACAATTTCTTGTAAGCGCTTTAACACCAAAAGTTATCATCGGATTGTTTTAAAAATTGATATGTAGTAGTTATTAGCACACTTACCGAGGTGTATCGGTGAATATCAGGACAGTTTTGGTCGAGGGGCCCAGCCGAGGCGGCTCCCGACCAAAACTGTCCTGATATTCACCGATACACCGAGGAAAGGTGCTAATAAGTTACTTACATCACATTTCTATCGAATATTGTGAAGCAAAATGTGAAAAATAGTATTTATTATCGAGTCGTTTCAACCGAAAAGTGACAAATACTTTCTGTTCTTTCATTATTTATCCCTTTCTGAGCCTCACGTTACATTTCATGGTAGAATGATTTCGCAGTGGAGAGACGACCTGAGTAGTATTTACACGTGCGTCTTGCTATGATACTCTGAGCGTAAAACAATCACGTGTTTGTTTAGACCACATCGTCAAAACAACTTGTCTATGGCGTAGAGGACTGCGATATTATTAAATGTAGTGTAAAGGAAATGCGAAACGTGGGTCATTCCTGGTGAAAGTATGCATCGGCGGATGGTTCTTCCGTAATAAAGTTTATGACTTTCTAGGCGTTTTTTTTTCATCCTGCTTATTTTCAATGCCTGTGAAGTGTCCAAGCAAGAGAACTGCGCCTTCTATCATCACAATTAATTAAAATAATTATTCAATATTCTAATTTATATATTTTGCATATTAATATAAATCAAACCAAATTATGAAATAGATGCCAATTGATATGTATAATAATTGATTTTTGTAATATGTTGTTATGTTAATTTAATGTCATTGTATATGTTTTTGAACTGCCATGTAGTTCCCCCCCATTTTGTTTTGTTACTATGATTTTGACTAGTTGTTTCATGTACATTGGTTAGAGCCTCGTTAACAATTGCGATCTGGGTCGGACTAAACGTCCGCTACTTATTGCTTGATAGATATCTAAAACAGTATAAAAGTATCCGGTATAAAAGTATCCGTGTATCAGAAATGAACAGTACTCTTTCTGTACATTTCTGATACACGGATACTTTTAAGCATGTATTGCAATTAAACAGGACAGTTTTATCAAAGGTTGCCACTGAGTAGAAGTGGGATGTAAATGTTATTTACATTTGTGAGATGAAGAACCATATTTAATTTCAATAATTACAGTTAATTACATCTAGAGTTACGGCCCTTGTTTCACTTTGTTGAACTTTGTGAACGTTATCACGCCAAAAGTTAATATCCGATTTTTGTGAAATTTATATGAATTATTTAGATTAGTGAAACGAAGAAGCCTATTGAATTTCAGCAATTTCTGTTAATTACTTCTAGAGCTATGACCCTTGTTTCACTTTGTTGCACCTTGTGAACTCTCTAACATCAAAAGTTATCTGCCGATATGTATGAAATTTATATCCATCCTTTAAATTAGTAAAAAAAAAGAATCCTATTGAATTTCAGCAATTTCCGTTAATTACATCTAGAATTATTGCCCTTGTTTCACTTTGTTGAACCTTTTGAACGCCAAAAGTTATCATCCAATCTTTGTGAAGTTTATATGCATTATTTAAATTAGTTAAACCTTGTGAACCTTTTAACGCCAAAAGTTATTATCTGATTTTTGTGAGAATTATCTGCATTATTTAAATTTGTGAAACGAAGCAGCTGTGCAAAAATATCGATATAATCGATAATCGGTAGAAGTTATTTAGCGATACGATAATCGATATTGAAATTCAAATATCGATTATCGGTATATTTACCTTCTGACGGCAAGTTACGGTCACTTTCACATGACTGAACTTGCCGTAGTCTGGCATTAGCAGACAAATGAATGAATACACAACGTCAACACAACTATTTCCCCCCCTCTGCTTACAAACTGGCACATTTTAAATATATATTATTGTAAAAAAAATAAACTTTATGATTAAATACATTATTTTAATATTTTCGTTGTTTTTGTTGTTATTACTAGTTGAAACTAAAATAGGTCACGCACTTTGTGAACAATGACAATCGCACGTGATATATAGTAAAATTAGAATTATCTCCCTTCTTTGTTCTTGGTTGATTTGTAGAGAAATCATCTGCTTTCACGATAAAACTAATTGTATTATTAATGATCAACTCAGCTTTTATTACTAAATCATGTCAGATACAGCCCATACAAAACACGTTTTTGACTTCCAGGGAAAATATCTATATCTCTCGTAATTTCGTGGAAGAATTCTACTTTGGTTTTCATCTAAATTAACCAATCATAAAAATTCTACTTTGAAAGCCCGTAATTATTTTTTTATTGTCCAATCAATAGACGCCTTCTATTTTATTTTATTCTATTAGTAGTAACACTGTGTGATCGCCAGTCACTTGCAAAGAGAAACCATGTATTGTCTTTGTATTTATTGGAGATAAAAAAAGGTTCAAATGAATCAAGAACAGAACTTAGAATAATACTCAAGTTAGTCCCACATTTAGCAACTAATTATTTTACATTAATTGATTTTTTTACGTACATCGGCACAGTATTAGACTAGGATAATAACACTACTGTAACTCGATCAACACAAATGACAGGTCGGTAAAGTTCAGATTTTTCCGGAAAAATGATAATCGATTATTATCGATAATCGCTGACAAATTCTTGCCGATAATCGATATTGAAATTTCATATCGATTCCCAGCCTTAGTTATGGCCCTTGTTTCACTTTGTTCAACCTTGTCAATGCTCGACCGACAAATATTATCATTCGATCTGTATGAAATTTATATGCATCATTTAGATTAGTGAAACAAAGAAGTCTATTTGATTTCAGCAATTTCCGTCCATTACTTCTAGATCTATGGCTCTTGTTTTAATTTGTGAACCTTGTGAACAGTCGAATTACAAAAGTTATCATCTGATCCGTATGAAATTTATATCAATTATTTAAATTAGTAAAACGAAAAAGCCTGTCAAATTTCAACAATGTCTACATTACTTCCAGAGTTAAGGCCCATGTTTCAGTTTGTAGAACCTTGTGAACCCTCAAACGAAGAAAATAATAATCTGATCTGTATGAAATTGTATTGTAAATGCCCCCAATTAACTACAAAAGAATAAATATGCTACAATCCTTGTCGACCGCTCAGACGATTAGGAACAGGCATAGCCTATATATCACCCCTATTCCTCAATAGGGATAGATTATTTTTAATGGACTGTTAATATCTATTTTAGATCAAACTCAGAGAGACAATACCAAACCGTAACATTAGAGTGAAGATATTTGGTTGGGTACATAGATTAAGACGACAAGGTAAGTGTCCAGATAGGAACTATAAAGTTGATTTGCTGGAACAAGATTAGAGAAGGATAACTAAAGCGTCACTGAGTAAAATTTTGTTTTTTAAAACTTGTGAATACAGTAGGCTACAATGTTCTAGATTTAATACTTAAACATTGGTAGGATGCTCAAGTGGGATCACCAATGTTTAGTATTTCCATTTAGCATGATCGCAGTGAGATTGCTTATTTCAAATTTTAAATTGTTCTTTGTGATTTTAGATTTACCAAGGATGGCTTGCTGCTGGTGGGCATATAGGGAGGTCTGACCCCCCCCCCCCTCCCCTATGTTATATCTTGTTTTAGAAGTACATGTATTAAAACAATTTTTGAATAGTAGTACGCTGTTAATATATATGGTTAAGATAAACAATATGATTATAATTAGGATATCTCCAGGGTTTTTTCCCATTGATTTGATGTAATATATTTACAGGTAAAAGTTTAATGTTTGTTGTATTACGAGATGGTACAGGATTTGTCCAGTGTGTTATGTCAGATGCACTAGTAAGTATTAATACCAACAAACAAAAGTTAATCACACAAATAAAATTTGCCTGATCATTGACTTCACAGATGTTTGTTCTTGCGACTTAACCTGGTATCAAATTTGGCCGACACAAACTTTGATATGCTTGTTGATTTTGTAAACTGGTTATTAAACATACATTATGCAAGGGCTAAATCTGTCTATTGCAGGTCTTTCTTTAGACCTGAAATTTTATCTAAATTATTAATTAGACATTAATTTCCTATCCAGACCATAATCAATTCTTGTTGGCATCGCTAGCCTGCGATCTTTAGTGGATTATGAACTGATTTACTGCATAACTTTACTTCACGATTTAACGATTAAATGGATAATCGAGACTATGCTGTTATCGTACTGACTTTAGTAATAATGATCAAGGCTAGTCGGAAATTTCAATCACTTCGTTCTCGGTTCATAGTGGATCAATTTGAATTATTACATTATCTAGTTTTTAACTATTATACTGAGAACTGCCAACTCGTTATCGAATCTCCCATAATGTATCTTTGAAATATATGTAACACAAAGAAAAATATGTCAAACATGTATTTGCACTTTTATGTTTCTGACATTTAAGTTTCTTCTTTTAAGCAAAATTAAGTTCCTAATTTATGACAAGTGTATTTATGGTATTTGTAATTTGCATGTTTTTTTTTCTTTTAATGATAATAATAACAGTGTATTTATATATAATTTCAGTGTCAGACATACAATGCTCTTACTTTATCAACAGAAGCCACAATATGTGTTTATGGTATTATTAAAGAATTACCAGAGGGAAAATCTGTAAGTTATCTTAATGTGTACATAGACTTACTACAAGAATTTTCTTTGACAATGGTATTTAATTTTGTATGTGGAATAAGTCCACAATCTGGATTTATTTGACATGAATTGTTCTTAACTTTATTATTAATTTAGAACCATAGTAAAGGCCTCATTTCTTCATTGCTGCCTCCTTCTTTCCGTAGCATAAGATTAGATTTGAGCTTTCTAAAAAATATAAAACCATTTGATATTAGTGTACCTTTTATGTGACATGAATTTTAGACATTGATTGATATAATTTTATGTTGCAGGCTCCAGATAATCATGAATTATCAGTTGATTTTTGGGAATTGGTGGCGGCTTCACCTGCAGGTGGTGCTGACAACCTCCTTAATGAGGTTAGTAATTTTGATAGATGTGTGATAGAAATGTCATAATCTGCAAAAACATAAACATCGTGCCAAAATAGAAAGTGGTCCTTGAAAGAAATTATTTACATTCATATAGCCAATAACACACAAATAATATATATATAAATGCCTGAAGAAGCGCTATCGCGGTGAAAACGTTAGCATAAAAAATGTAGTTTTATTTTGCCATCTTTAATTTCAATTATATATTACCAAAGAGTAGCTTTATTTAACTATTCTACTATATATATATATGTAAATTTTAAACAAAAACTCATCAGCTGGAGCAAAATCCATTCAAAAGTGAATTTTAAACAACCTTTAATTGCTTTATTCTAGGATGCAAATGTTGATGTTCAACTTGACAACAGGCACATCATGATACGAGGAGAAAATGTAAGTATATTGGTAGTACATAGGACCACTAATTCTATCAAATTCAAGTTACATCTATAGCAAAGCTACAGCTTGGGCATGGCTAATACTTTGAAATAAGCTCTCAAGCAGCAATTATTCCATTGATTTTCATACTTTTGTCAGATTTTGTATAGAAACATGCTGACCATATACTTAAAGTTGCAATTTCATATTTTTAAGTTATATTTTTAAAATTGATTAAAATAAAGCCTTAAAAAAGATGGTATCTATAAACAGTCCTACCTTGTTAAAGAATAACCCTATTAATCCTATAATTCACTATTGCCAGTTGAGAAATTGGCAAAAATATCATTTTCATCTTCAAATTCCAACGTTTTAAGATAACTACTCCATGGTGGAGAATAGAAAACAAGGGAGGTAATTGTGTTATTATTTCCGGTGTAAATGAGTTTTAAGTGTGAGAATGACACCTATGGTCGTATAATAGCAGGTTGATAACCTATTGAGCAAAAGACATAGAAATAATTATGTTTTGACTTTCTTAGAAAATATGAAATTGTAACTTTAAGAATTAATAGTGTCTTATGATATTGCGAAGCATATTGTCCATTACCCCTGTTGATTTGCCCTCTACAATGCTTATAAAGGCTCTACAGGTCAAGAGTTTGAGATTTTCATAAACATCTGGTGGGTTTGTTCTGTTCCTTGGCTGTTGAAACCTTGTCAACACTCTATCTGAAGATTAGTTTTTATGGTGTAGTTATTGTCCCTTTATTATATATCGCAATAGATTTTCATACCAGGCAATACAAAATTTTGATTTGTTACTATTAAATTTCTTTTCTTTTTTTTTCTTATAGACGTCTAAAATTCTAAAAATGAGATCTGTGTTAATGCAGTGTTTTAGAGAACATTATTTAAGTAGAGGATATTTTGAAGTGACACCTCCTACTATGGTTCAAACTCAAGTAGAAGGAGGAGCTACATTATTTAAATTTGATTATTTCGGAGAAAATGTAAGTAAAGATATATATTCTGCCAAAGCCAACCTGTAATACTTATTGACCGGGCTACTTGTCACAAGGATGAATCCAGTGGAAATTCAGACTTGCACAGAGTTACATCCCCTGTCACTGTCACTAAAATCTTGTTAATGCTTTACATGTCAAAGTTTTTGAGATAATATTTTTATACGCTCACATTTTCATGTGGACCTATTATGCCGTCGCCCCTGTCCGTCCATCATTTGTTTGTGGACACTCTACAGGTCACAATTGTTATCGTAATGTCAGTTGAGTTCGAATTTCGTGAAAATTGACCAGAACTACCAGACAAAATGGCCGCCCCTCCTATGCAAATAGTGAAAAATGTGGTATATCAAGGTTGTGGATCCTTTAGAGGTCACAATTTTGATCCGATTTTGATGGAAGTTGAAATACATGTTTATAACCCAAAGATCTTGGTTCCTTTTGATATTCGCGCATATCGGATTGTAACTTCCTTGAATTATGTCCCCTGATTGTACGAAAAATCGCGTTTCTAACTTGTGATCCCTCTAGAGGTCACAATTATTATCCGATTCAAAAAAACGTTTGAATATATCATTGTTACACCCATTCAAAAAAACGTTTGAATATATCATTGTTACACCCATGAAAATTGGCTGAAACTGCCTGACAAATTGGCCGCTCCTTGTATGCAAATTGTGTACAAGTATGTAATACAAAGGTTGTAGACCTCTAGAAGTCACAATTTTTATCCTATTTTGATGAAACTTAAAAAAAATTGTTTATAATTCAAAGATCTCGGATCCCTTCGATATTCGTGCAATTCAGACCATAACTTCTTGGATTATGACCCCTGATTGTACGAAAAATCACAGGTTTTTTTTTTTAGCTTGTTATCTATGCATCTCTTGCAAAATTTGGGCGTATCTTGCCTGGCAACCGCTATTTTCAAACTTCTGTTTCTAAGAATTCTTTGGTGAGTTGTAAATTGAAAGTCACTGCTGCCTATCTATTTGATGCTTTAAAACTCGGAAACCATCTTTCATGAGTGTATACGCATTGTCTGTTATTTATGAGATCTTACTATGAGATCTGTTGGCTACTGGGAAGTAGAAACTATGGTTTCGTTTATATTCATTTTATTCACTGATCATTTTACAGGCTTATTTAACACAGAGTTCACAATTATATCTAGAAACATGTTTACCATCGATGGGAGATGTGTTCTGTATAGCCCAGTCTTATAGGGCAGAAAAATCTCGTACAAGACGGCATTTAGCAGAGTAAGTAAATACTTTACTTTAAAATGTATCTATTTTTATACGCCCACATTTTCATGTGGACGTATATTGTCGTTGCCCCTGTCCATCCACAATTTGTGGACACTCTACAGGTTGCAATTTTTATCCAATTTTGACGAAAATTGAAATATAGGTCTATCTCCCAAAAATCTTGGTTCCTTTCGATATTGGCATGTATCGGATCATAACTTCATGGATTATGGACCCTGATTGTACGAAAAATCACATTTTTAGCTTGTGGTCACAATTTTCATCTGATTTTGATGAAACTTGAAATGCATGTTTGTAACCCAAACATCTTGGTTCCTTTCGATATTTGCAAATATTGGACTTCATGAATTATGCTCCCAGATATTACGAAATGACAGTTGAGTTTCAATTTCGTGAAAATTGGACCAAAACTGCCGGACAAAATGGCGGCTTCTTGTACGCAAATAGTGTAAAAGTATGTCATACCACAAGTCAGTCACAATTGTTATCCGATTTTGATGAAACTTAAAATATATGTTCATGTCCCAAAGATCTTGGTTCCTTTCACTATTTGCGCATGTCAGACTGTAACTTCCTGTATTACGGCCCCTGATTGTACGAAAAATCATGCTTTTGTGGATTCTCTAGAGGTAACAATTTTTTATCCGATTTTAAAAAACGTTTTAACTATATCACTATTCCACCATAATGAAGGGGAAAATCAAAACGAACTGCCCGACAAAATGCCACTCTTTGTACGCAAAGTGTGTAAAAGTATGTAATACGAAGGTTGTGGGCCCTCAAAAGGTCACATTTTTTATCCGGTTTTGATGAAACTTCAAATATTTCTTTATATTTATATCCCTAAGATCTGGATTATGGACCCTGATTGTACGAAAAATCGCTTTTGTTTTTAGCTTGTTCTCTATCCATCTCTTGTAAAATATGGGCGTATCTTGCTTGGCAACCACTGGTTCTCTTAATTTTACATTGTTTCTGTGTTTTTTTTATTTACTATTTGTTTTATATGTGAATGGTGTTCAAAATAGTGTAGTCCATAATCATTTATGACAAAGTTGATCTGTTTTGATTATGTCTAATGAAAACTGCATGCGATCAGTAAGTATCCTGGAGTCAATTTTTAACAGTTGTAGAAAATGATGTAATAAGTAATAAGGACTAGGTGAGTTTAAAAACAATGTTGAGGGGTAATTTCATTTCTGGGGAGCCATGGAGAGAGTAAGTATAGCATGGATTTTATTGGTTTAATCTTGTATTTATTATTCAGATATTCTCATGTTGAAGCCGAATGTCCTTTCCTCAACTTTGATCAATTATTAGAAAGACTTGAAGATCTTGTATGTGATGTTGTAGATCGTGTGCTCAAGTCTCCTTTCGCTCATATTGTAAAAGATCTTCATCCTGTAAGTACCCTTATTTCAGATTTGTTTATCGATCCTAGATCTCCCCTCATGAAATTTTTGGATATTGCCATTCAAATTTGATAATGGTGATGTTGGATAAACTGATGTTTGAGTGAATGTCTTATAACAAGACATGTGTGATGAAGTATAGTTTTAATTTTATTTTTTTCTATGTTCACTTATTTGTTGAATGCCAGTGCCCTGTTCCCATGTACTTATTGATTAATCTAATTCTCTGTATTCATATACAGTGCTGATTCTGGGTGATATAGGGATTTTAACAATGGAAATATGATTAATGTTACATATATGTATATATAAAAAACTCTTTATTTGAACTCATTATGATGGAAAGTTGGTTACATCTAAATTTATTAGGCTGACAATGTTAATTTTTTAACTATGAGTATGATGATTGTATGTGTATGTCTTTCCCTGGGTTGTATAGAAATCAATGATTTTATAGAATCCCAGTTGTTGACGAAGATATGATTTCTGTTTGATTCTTACAGGAATTCAAAGCACCTAAACGACCTTTTAAAAGAATGAACTATTCAGATGCTATTGAATACCTGAAAGCAAATGATATACGTAAGGAAGATGGAACATTCTATGAATTCGGAGAGGTAAATGATTCATTTTGTTTAAGCATCTATTCATCTTGTCCAGTATTAACTAAAGCCAGGTCTGTACATACAGCAGTAGTTATTTGTCTGATTTTCCACTGCCATCACTGTTCTACTGTAAATTATATAGGCAGACAGATTGGGTGCTAGGATATTTCCAAATAATGGATGCTGCTATGTATATCATTGTATCAACAACTCGATGTGTGGGTAAATGCTTAAGTAAACGTGGTAATGAGTAATTCTCGTGCACAACATACAATCAGTGAAAAAAAAAAAATTTACCAGATAGATTACCACCAGTGAGAAATCAGACTATTGGTGAAAAATAGTCATTGGTGTTTGAGGCCATAAACTGACTTTTTATGGTTTAAAGTAATCATTGGTACGCTGAAGAGGAATTTGCCATTCTTGAGTTACTAAAACGTTTCCGTTATTGAATTTATATCATCATATGGAATTTATCCATATAAATTGTAGCCTGTTTATTTTATAGGATATACCAGAAGCACCAGAAAGGAAGATGACAGACAAAATTAATGAACCAATATTTTTATGTAGATTCCCTGCTGAAATTAAATCTTTCTATATGATGAAATGTGCTGATGACCCAAGACTGACAGAATCAGTAAGTATGGTAACTCTGATTACTTCTGATATGTGCTGTTCAACTAGGTTGATGTAGGCTAATGTCATCATCAGAAGTTACTATATTATCAGAAAATCTCAAACTACTTCTGTTCATTTCACTTTTTCAAAAAATAACAACAGTGTTGGATTTGCATGAAGAGAGGCCATAGGCTATACCATGTACAAGGCCCCGTTCAATACCCTACCTTCAGTAGGGGAAGATGAATTGTACAAAGCCAAGGATGATGACGGATATTTAATACTACAGTGTATGTAAGAAAGGCTTACAACTTTGTCAGAGGCCCCTCTAGATTGTCAAGATCCAAGGCTTCTGTCTGCCAAGCCTGTAGGTAAATCTGGCACTGAATAACAACATAGATTCAGTTAATTATTAGAATTGATTACTCTGCATAATAAAGAATATTTCACACAAGAGTCTGTGCCTCTGTGGAGCATATTTCAACTTGCAGGTGATGCTACCTTGGTTGCAGGGTGGGATGGCCGTAAATGTATGTGGGTCAACTAAAAAAAAACCACCAAAAACACTTATTCTTTAAGTCACATTTGATTTTGATTTGTAGGTTGATTTATTGATGCCTAATGTTGGTGAGATTATTGGAGGTTCTATGAGAATCTGGCAATTACAGGAACTAGAAGAAGGTTTTAAGAGAGAAGGAATAGATCCTACTCCATATTATTGGTATATTGATCAGGTAAATATTGACTTTCATAGTTTAATTGAAATATAGTGGGTTGGGTGGTCAAAAATCTTCCATGTATGCAAACTGTGAGTTAGATATGGAGTGCCAGCCTAACCTAGTAGAGGTTCAACCTGATTTTATTTCATGTACTATTATTTTCCACATGACTGAAGTTATCTTTCACGTTAACTATTTCTATATTTGAAATGATTTATTTCAGAGAAAGTATGGTTCCTGTCCACATGGAGGTTATGGATTAGGTCTAGAGAGATTTTTATGTTGGCTTCTTAACAGATATCATATTAGAGAAGTTTGTCTTTATCCTCGATTCTTAGAAAGATGTCGTCCTTAATGAGACTAGTTTTATCATTTCTTAAAAATTATTGAAATTGTTACAAATCTTGCTTAAGAAATTATGTCATGGAGCAGAGCTCAAACTAAAATCTAATTATTTAATATATCTCTGTATTAAAATTTTGATATAAATGAAAGTCTGTACTTATATCCAGGCTCAATGTCACTAAGATTATATACATTATTGGATGAAATCTTTGAAAAAAAAAAGAAAAGATACTCTTTGAAGTAATTGTCAATTAAGTCCAGTATATTATTAAAATCATGCTTATATTTATTGTTTTTTCTTGTGAGGTTATTGATGTCAATGTTATTGTTATGAAGATCTTTTTATTGTAAATGTTTAAGTTATACAAACTTCACTCAAAAATTGTGCATAAAATTTGTTTGTTATAACTCTGTCTTAAAAATATGCCGCAAATAATGTATATCACTATATCGAAAGTTCATTGAGATGCTTTCTTTTGACCAATTCATAATATTTTGAGATTTATTGTGTTTTAAGTTTTGAACAATATGATGGTAAACACTTATTTATTTTTGTAAATACATGTATTATATTGCTATTCAAGACATATATATTTTTTGGTTAGGATATTGAGTCTTAGTTTTCTTTGAATGAAACACTATCTACTTATTTAGTACTAGTGAGCAACGAATGAGAACCATTTATATAGGTTTTTGTTTTTAAAGTTATCATGAACACACAAAAAAAAACAGTGTTGGATAGATTAGAAAAGGGTGGTTGGTTATCAATAATTATATAGTTTTATTTATGTAATCAGGTTTTTTTTTATGACTGCCATGAAAGTGTTTTGTATAATTGTTCTTTCACAAAAACTATTGATACTGCAAGCTTGCTTTATGAGAAACCTGTATCTGTTATGACATAGTTCATTCAACATTTTTGACAGATTAATAAAGTGTTCATACATTTACGTCATGAAAATTCATGTCTTCAAATTGGAATAAAAACTTAAACTATTGCTTTATTTTTTATACGCCCACATTGAAATGTGGTCGTATATTGTCGTCGCCCCTTTCCGTCGATCGGTCTGGCGCCCACAATTGCTTGTGGACGCTCTAGAGGCTAAAGTTAATATCCGATTGACTTTAAATTTATATACAGTGTTTAAGGCCATGAGACGAAGAAGCCTATTGATTTTCAGCAATTTCCAATTGACTTCAGATTTGAACACAGAGTTTAAGATCTTGAGATTGATTTTCAATGAATTTTTATGATTTGAACATCCATGATTAGGGTGACCCATGTACTCACAGAAATACAGTCCACCGCTGATAGTTCGAGACTACCACTGAAGCGTGCACATTCGCCGTGCCAAGACCAACTTACTGACAGTGTGATACTATAAATAGCCATGGCACGTGCAATTCTCTACAAATCTATTAACTATTACAGCCGTAAAAAATTTATTGTTGACGATTTTGAATAGCAGTAAAATTAAGCTTCTTGGTTATTACAGCAGATTTAGAAATTACGTTCGTTTCATTTTTTAAATCGCTTTATCATTAACTGTACCGTTAAGAGCGGCATCTTTTGGTTTAGTACAAATAATATCTCTGAATCACTCGGGTTAGACAGGAACATGATACTAGCAGTAGTTTCATTTTACTTTTACAAGCTTCTTAAAACGATTGTTGAGCTACCTAACGTGCTTATTTCTAAATTCAATTTCTTGTTCTAGCTTTCTGTTATGTTTCGTAAAAAAGTAATTTTGATTATCCCGACCTGTCAATCAGACGTAGAATGGTCGATAGACTGGTTAAGCGAGACTTATTTCAAAACAAGGGCACGTAACCTATCTTTTACTCAAGTGTCTGGATGTTATGGACGACTCTTGGAACCAGTTTTCAGTCTATTATTTATACATGATTAATGGTCATAGCTTATTAAGTACAACATGATCGTTTATTTAGTGACTATAATTGTGTGAAACTGATTTGAGGCTTGGCATATATATAAATATTGTGGCGTAATTGTCGAGATATATGGAGATATTTATTTATGGTGAGCTTATCGCTCTGCTTACCCTGAGCAGAAAATGCTCATTATCAAACTTAATCAAGGTATTGATGTAATGAAACTTTATTACCCAATAATACATTCTATAGTAGATATCGCTTGTGTGATATATACTATTCAAAAAAAGTAGGGGATATTTGATTTTGGGGGCATAATACTAAAATATGCAAATGACTACGAAAAAAGTCACTATAGAACCTAACAGAAGAAACATTTCCAGTTACATGTGACGCCCAAACGCACCAATAGCTACCGCATGAAATGCATGTGATGCTTGGGATCATCATGGGGGTCCAACCCAAGATTTGCACGACTCTGACTTTGAATGTTACAGTCATTGTGGCATTGAATTCCAGGGTGGAAACATCAGTTTAATTGTTTTAGTGACCAGAAAACAAATTTTGATATGCGTCGGCTTACCCAAAATGAAAGGTTACGTGCCCTTGGCATGCTACAGATCGGCACAACACAGGCGGTTGTGGCGCGGACGATGAATGTTTCTCAGTCTGTCATAAGCAGGCTATGGTCCAGATACCGTGATACACAATATGTACAGGACAGACCACGCTCAGGTCGACAACTCAAGCCCAGGATCGATTTATCCGTACCTTGGCCTTGAGAAATCGTGTCATCACAGCAAATCAGATCAGCGCTCTTTTTCAAACAGACACTGGTGTGAGATTGAGTGGCCAGACGATTCGGAATCGACTGCATAGGGGTCACCTTCGCGCCCGACGTCCTCGCGTGATCCCTTGTTTGAGAGATCATCACATTCAGGCAAGACGTCGTTGGTGTAGGGATCGTCAACACTGGGATAATCGACGCTGGAGCAATGTGATGTTTTCAGATGAGTCAAGGTTCACTGTTGATTTTTTGGACAGACGTAGGAGGGTGTGACGTCGTCGAAACGAGCGCTTCCAAGACGTTAACGTCATCAGACATGATCGATTTGGGGGTGGTTCTGTTATGGTGTGGGGAGGCATCACTGTTGCTGGAAGAACGGCTTTACATGTTGTTGCAGGGCGTGTTACAGGCCAGTACTACCGGGACAACATCTTGGCAGTCCATGTTGTGCCGTTCGCACGACGTCATGGCCGCCGTTTCATCTTCCAGGATGACAACGCAAGATGTCACAGGGCCAGGATCGTTACAGGTTACCTCCAACAACAGAACATCACCACATTACCTTGGCCAGCACTGAGTCCCGACCTCTCCCCCATCGAGCATGTCTGGGACATGCTTGGACAGAGGTTACGTCAACGTCAACAACGTCCTGCCAATGTCCAAGAACTTGCTGCTGCGTTGCAACAGGAATGGGACAATCTGGACCAAAATGACCTTAGACGTCTCATTAGGAGTATGCCACGTCGGATCAATGCTTGTTTGGCAAACAGAGGAGGATTTACCCGTTACTGACTTGGTTGTGATGCTGTGGTAACTTTGCTGTTTGACCCCGGGTATCATTTTACCCTTATAATGGTCAGTCTGTGCCTTACTTAGTCTAACGATCATTTGGAATAAATCGATGAATGTGAACTTCATTTCATTTTGTCATTTGTTTCTTCGTTAGTTTCATTAGGTGACTTTAATAACACTTAAAAATCAAATATCCCCTACTTTTTTTGAATAGTATATTTCATAATCTACTGCAATATCGCTTTACATGAATTTGATTGGTCAGTTGAAAAGGAACTACTTTTTTTCATTTTCAAAGAACGGTTCATTTCTTATTAAAAGTAACTTTTTTTTTTTATTAAAAATGAACTATTGTTATTCAATTGATCTTGATGGAAACACTGGGTCAATATAAAGGACTTTGCAATGGTTGAATTGCTGTCAAAAAATGATGTATCACTACGCCGGAATGTTCAGTAAAAGTGAAATCTACAGCAAATGATTATATTTATCTATTTGTGCATGTAAGAAGGGATTGGGTGATAAATAAAATCTCCTACTCGTCTTTTTTGTTACTTTATCAACTTGTGTTGATATTTTTTGATATCAAAAAAGATGAGATTTTATTTATCACCCAAGCTATTCTTACATGCACAAATAGATAAATATAATCAAGTTTCATCACCCTCACTTAATTAGAACTAAAGTTATCCTGTCAAAAAGCATCAACCAATCAAATTGCTTATCTCTGCTTAACTTAGGAAGAAAATGCTCATCTTCGAACTCCATCAAGGCATAGACCTAATAAACACCTACACCCAAGTTTGAAGATTTTAGCTCAATTAGAAATGAAATGGGGTTTAACGTCCTACTGTTCTGCTAGCTCAATTAGAAAGAGAGTTATTGTGTTCAAAGGTATCAACCAATCAAATTGCTTATTGCTCTGCTTACCCTGAGCAGAAAAAGCTCATTATCGAACTTGGTCAAGGTATTGATGTAATGAAACTATACACCATGTTTCATCACTCTCACTTAATTAGAACTAAAGTTGTCGTGTCCCAAAGCATCAACCAATCAAACTGATTATCTCTGCTTACCCTATACCAAAAATGCTCATCTTCGAACTCCATCAAGGCATTGACCTAATAAACACCTACACCAAGTTTGAACATTGAATAGTCCCCTGCTTTCTTCAAAAGGTGGGGGACAAATAATCTGGGCAGTCGAAAAGGGTTGTCATTTTTTTTTATAGGTACCAGTAATTGTAGTATTTACAAGACAATGATATCAATTTAATACAGATTGGATGATAATTTGTTTGAGCGTTCACAAGGTTATACAAAGTGAAATGAGGGCCATAACATTAGAAGGGCAAAAAGTGGAATTCTGCACTAAAGCGGGAAAAAAAATCATGTCTGTATCAGAGATCAAGATGTTCCAACTGTTTAAAACCAGTCCCTGTTTTCAACCTTGGCTCACACACCCAACTAATTTAATATTTTCTCAACACATAAATTCACATTCCAATATTCTTTACGAAGAATGAAAACAGACTGGTTTTATAAATTTTCTATTTTTTTTATTTTTGTAGAGTCTTAATTTATGCTGCCTCTTCTTCCTCGTGTTCATGTTCTTGTGCAGCCTTTCTTTGCGCTCTGATAACAGCCTGCATTTCTTCTCGCTTCTTCTTTCCACGAGTGTGTGCACCAAGCTGAAAAGTAAGAATGATAATTTGTTTTACTTCTTGTTTAATCCACCATCATAAAGATAGGTTGCCACTTGCCAGACAACGGAACATACGCCTACAGCAACTATACTCAGCCAAATTAAAAACTTGACACTGATGAATTTCAACCAATTTTTTTTTCTGGTAAGTCAAATAAATTTTAACGTGTTTCTAACGATAGTAAGTAGTAAGAAGCCTTTAATTTCATAAAATTGTAAAGTCACGTGGATCACGTGACTTTTGAGCATATAAAGATGAAAAACCTGAAAAACACAAAATCGTGAGGTCAATCGATGCAAGTTTGCTTAAACTGAACACGCACACGTAACTTGAACTGGAAAAACAAATTAAAATTGTTATTTTCATCGTTGTTAGAAAATGCAGCGTCTTTCTAGCGCCTTTCATATGTAGAACGTCTACGTGCTATAGGTAGGCTCTATGCTGGTCAGTCTGTGGGCACTGTTGCAAGAGCCTTTAATTGTTCACGCCAGACAATAATTAATCTTAGAATGAGAGTGCTTCAAACTGGAACTATTGCCGACCGCCAAAGGGCGGGAGCACCACATGTGACGTCACTCCAGGAAGATCAAGCAATACAATTACGTCATCTTAGAAACAGATTTGTCACTGCAACCTCCACAAGTAGAGAGATGTTTGGTGGAAGGGTAACTGCACAAACTGTTCGAAATCGCTTGCAGACTGCTGGTCTTCGAGCTCGGAGGCCCTATAATGGACCAATATTGACACCTCTTCATCGCCGTAACTGACTTGTGTGGGCCACAAGACACATAAGATTTCCTCAAAGACAGTGGAATTCGGTTGTCTTTAGTAACGAATCTCGATTCACTTTGAGATTTGCCGATGGCAGGGTCCCGAGTGTACCGCAGACGAGGTGAACGTTACCCTCAAGTATGCGTCAGAGAAGTTGACCGATTTGGTGGCGGCAGCGTCATGGTTTGGGGTTCTTTTTGTGCACATGGACGTTCTCCTCTTGTTGTTGTCTAAGGGAACTTAAATGCTGTCCAGTACAGGGATCAGTTTTTGCAACCTGTTCTTCTTCCGTTTATGCAGAGACATTGGCCTGGACTAACGTTTCAACAAGACAATGCTCGACCCCATGCAGCAATTGCTACCCAGAATTTTTAAAGAAATGCTGGTGTCCAAGTCCTGGATTGGCCGTCGCTTAGCCCCGAGCTTAATCCTATTGAACACATCTGGGACGAACTGGGTCGACGTGTTCGTCAGCAAGTGAATCCACCACTGACGTTGCAGGACCTTCAACATGCTCTTGCTGAGCAGTGGCGACGTCTTCCTCGGGTAGTGTTTACTAATGTTCTGAGATCCATGAGAAGACATAGTGTGGCAGTACGAGACGCTAGAGGAGGCCACAACCGTTACTAAAAACTTTATTCCGATTGTTCTCCAAGTCTGTGAATTTCATTTTGGGGGGAACTGTGACATCACGAACGTTATCAATGTCAAGGACTTTCGGCGAGACGTATTCTTGCTTTCTGTTGATGTCAAGGTCGTCTGTGCACAACATAACACTAAAATAGTTGCCTTAAACCAAATATTAAAAATCTAGTCTCAAAAATCCTGAGTGTCAAGTTTTTAATTTGGCTGAGTATATATCATACGCCATAATTCTAGACGAAAATTAATGGAAATTCTTTAAATTAAATAGGATTCTATATTTCAATACTGGTTTATGCTCCAACGACTAGTCGGACAGCCGTTAACGGTTAGAACTGGACGGTTAAACGGTTCGAATTCAACGGTACGGTTATTTGGAGATGTCCCCCATTACACAGAGTTGTGTCTGATTATATTCCTCTTTATAACAAAACTTGCCCGTTGTCATTTTGTATTTGATGTTTGAAAATCTTAGAATGTAACAGTCGTCCTACGATGTCGACTGCTAAAAAATAATACTATTAATAGCACTCGTGGTCATACGGCAAAGTCAACAGACCTTGTTCTGACTTTAGCTATTGTTAATCCAATCTAAATACTTCTCGGCATTTCTAACTATATTCTAACTTGTTTATCATTTACTTCAAAACGTAACCACCATTCAAAATATAATCATAAAGGCTAGAAAATGACATACTAGTAGATTCGTTACGACGTTCAACCCATTTCATATCTCGTAATTTCTCGCAAGAATTCTACTTTGGTTTCATTTAATTTAACCAATCAGAAAAATTCTACTCGCAAGCGAGGAATTATTTCTTTATTGTCCAATCAATAGACGCCTTCCAATTTACTTTATTCTATTCTTAGTAACATTGTGTAATCGTAATATTATCGCCATCTGTCACGTACGAAGGGAAACAGGGTATTGTTTTGTATATTATCGTTATATTGAATTAAAAAATGTTTCAAATGAACCAAGTTAACCAGGTAAATAAATAACTACGGCCTAAGAAAAAATTCCTGAATTATTTGCGTGTGTAATGTCGTTTAAGCGAGTATAGCGTGCGCACGAGTAATGACTCGCACCTCCTGACTAGCTCTGTTTTATGTTTAAAATTGATACCATACGGTTAACGGTTACTAACCGGTTAATAGCTACGGCTATTCGAATAACAACCAGCAGCTGCCAGGCAGGATACGCCCACATTTTCGAGAGATGGATGAGAACAAGCTAACAATAAAGTGATTTTTCCTACAATCAAGGGCCATAATTCAGGAAATTACAATTCGATATGCACGAATATCGAAAGGAACTGAGATCTTTGTGAAATAAACTTACATTTCAAGTTTCAACAAAATCGGATAAAAATTGTGACCTCTATAAGGTCCACAACCTTGATATACCATATTTTTACGCTATTTGAGAATGAACTGCGGTCCTTTTGTCTGTCAATTTTGGGCCGATTTTCACGAAATACGAACTCAGTCGTCCTTAGGGTGTAACGGTGATATAATAATATGTTTTTTTAAATCAGATAAAAATTCTGACCTCTATAGGGTCCACAAGCTAAAAACGCAATTTTTCGTACAAACAGGGGCCATAATCCTTGAAGTTACGGTCCGATAGATGCCAATATCGAAAGGAACCGAGATCTTAGGGTGATAAACCTATATTTCAAGTTTCATTGAAATAGGATAAAAATTGTGACCTGTAGACTGTTCACAAACAATTGTGGACGGACGGACGGACAGAGGCGACGACAATATACCTTGAAACTTTAAAAATTTTGAAATTTGTTTTAATACTCACTCGTTTCTTAAGGAATTTCAGTGCTCTCTTTTCTCTACTGACTTTTAACAATTCTTGGCATCTTCTTTCATATGGTGAAAACCCAACTAATTCTCTAACGATATCTCTGCAAAACTTGTTTTTCTTTGTGATACGCTAAATGAGAAACAGAAATAATGATAACTCAGAAGCAAATTCAAAATTCAGTGAAATCAGAAAATTCAAATTTTATTAACCTATCAGCAGTATAACCTTAAGATGGTGGTTGGCATTCCTTTCTATAGTATTTATTCTATAACTACATGCAAATACAAGTAAATATCATTAAATATAACCATTGAATAACCTATGGTTGTATTCAACGGCTTGTACACGTACTACTTTTGTACAGAATGACGTCACTTTCAGAATTACGTCAAACTGTAATGACGTAAATATTAGCAACACAATTTTTGTAAAAATAGAAAGAAAAAAGAGCGGAACCTATGACGAATTTTAACGTTATTGGTGATTTTGTTTTTGATAATCACTATAGTACAGTGTTTTTTGAGATTTACATATAGTTATAGAATAAAAACAGAACTCGATGACCATTAAATATCGCTCGGGTTATTCAATGGTTCACTCAAGTGTATTCCTGCCGCATTCCACTCGCTAACGTTCCTGGAATACTTGTGCAGCGATACACTCTCATGAACCATTGAATAACCCGAGCGGTATTCCATGGTCATTGAGTTCTATCTATATGGAAATCACTATTACTAATCAAATTTTTCCTGGAGCTTCTACGGTTGCTTCTAGTTTTAGCATACATTATTAGAATAAAAGCTGGAACAAATATTAAAGCAATCTCTAGTGTCTTTCAGATGCTAATTAGGAGATAAACACCGACTGTTTATAATTTAGAGGACTGTCAATGCCTTTTGATACCGCTTAAATTTTTCATTAAAGGCGCTAGAGGGCCACAGATTTCTTTCTTTCACGATAGATGACGGTCGTTTTTTGGTTTTAATGACGTAAATACCAAGGAAACAATTTTGACGTAATGAAAATATCCGTGACGTAATAAGATAACACTCTCTTCCGTTCTATTTGGTTCACTATGCGACTGGTTAAGTGTATCTGTTTGGAAAGTAAGGTCACTCAGCGATAATTTTAATGATCGAAACAGAAATCTTAAGTGTATTTTATGTACTTTTTAAATGATTTTGAACTCCAGCAGTGACTAGGTTCGAAATAAATTGCATATCATGTTTGATAAATGTCCATACACTTGTGTGACCGTGTAGATATATGCTGTGTAGCGTACGCATGCGATTGCTATGCTTGTTTACGTTGTCATTTCGACGATGTGATTTTTTTTCTTCGCAAAAAAACCCAGGCTTGTGTATGAAAATTAGCCTCTGCCCTATTCATATCAGTATCAGCCCGTCTTGTATATTTTTAAAAATATATCCCAATCAGTTATTTACGGTCCATACGGAATTCAATAAATTGTCGTATTTTTCTTCACTTGTTGAAAATCTACGATTTTGACCAGTCTGATTATGACAGAATGACCATAGCAACCATTATTGTCAGACAAGCCTTAACATGAAATTTACATATTATCTTTCAAATACACTCACTAACTTTGTTTTTTTTTGTGTGCGTTTCAGGTGCGTGTTTCAAAAAGTCAATTGTTGATGGCATACAAGAAAATATTCATGAAGATTTCCTAGAGTCTAGCACCCAGAAAATATTCATTCGCAGCGAGTCACCTAGGAAATTTAGAGGACTGTTATACTCATTCGACGCTACTTTTCGACCAATCAGAATCCACGAAATTTCCATTTTAGGCTACAATATCGGTTTACTTATCTGTACTGAAGCAAGTTAAGCAGTGGACACATTAGCCGAATCGTTCGGTCGAATCAATCGGCGCCAAATTTTATTCGGCCGAATGGGTGGACACACTAGCTGAATGCTACACCCGATTTACCAGTCGATTGCATCACGTCACATGATTAAACCTGCCGGCGTCTATGTCTTCAAACAATCCCATGACTTCTCAATATGAGTGGATGATGAGTGGTGATTGGCTAATGAATTCTACATTCGGCCGAATGCTTCAGTTCAGTGAAGCGGACACACCAGGCGTATATATCAAACCGGTTTGATTTGGGCGAATCATTCGACCGAATGACAGTGGACACACTAGGCGAATTTCGACGCCGATTGATTCGGCTGAATCATTCGGCTAGTGTGTCCACCGCTTTAGGCATGTACATTATATTTATACTTACTCCTTTTGTCCTGTTGGCTTTCTTTTTTTTAGGGTTTTCTATTTTTGTAACTTTATGCCCCTTTTTAACACCAACAGCCATATTACTGATATATTTATTCGTCATGGTGACCTTAAATTAAAACGTAAAAATCTTTATACATGTAGATCAAGATCAAAGTTATTGGTCAATGTCTCATTTCTTACACCCTACACACTCTTGGACTATATCTCTGTAATATTTCATCATTAAATATTTGCCTAGACTAGCCCAGCACAAGACATTCTCTATACATATTGTTAAAGAATAGAAACCAAAAGACATTTCATGTTAACGAGTCTATATTACAATAATATTTGGTTTAGTGTCCAATTTGCTATTTTATTAACAATGCTGTTAATAGTGTTATCTTTTGGCTTAGCAGAATTTATCGCTGCTCCTTTTGCAAGAATAGAATACTATAAGCATCTTTCTTTTAATTTTAGAAAGTTCCTAAAATCTACGTACGTTGATTTGTAGGACTCGGATTTGTTACCATGGTGGTCTAATGTTTTTTAAAAATTAAATCTTGGCAATTCAGGCCAGCGAACAATCAATAGAATAGACTAATACCAAAAGAAGGGAATGTAACCTACTTTGCACTTAATCACTGTGTGTGATGCTGGGTTTCAGTACGATTGCAGTATATCATTTATAAGAAAATATTAGGCCCTATATGTAGGTTACATATCACGTGTCGTGCGAAACCTGTTTGGTGCAATTAGTCAATTTATTAGCGAGAATATCATCAGCATCATCTGGGCTAGAGAAGGAAATTTGTGCAGTGTAGTTATTTCTCGAGGTGATCAGATTTACTGAATGAGGAGGTAGGTCTTTGTGGACCACCTTACTAATGGAGTAGACTTAGGGCTGTACGATATTCTCGATATAGTCATTTATCGCGATATGTATTTTCAGACCCAACTACGATATCATGTGGCCAAAAATCGTCGATATAGTGGTTTATCGAATATCGCCAAAAACTTCAAATATCGAAAAAAATTATCATAAAAATAGATAATAAATACATTATACAGCAGTGGAAATTAGCCGACGGCAATAAACTATAATACATCTAATGTTTTGAGAATCGTTAAATGTTGAAAACACTTGCCCAGTGTCCGCAGCCGTTTTTCACTGCATCGTGTATGCGTTACTTTTACTTTGTTTTTAGTCGACAATAAATTGTCAGTTGTTACTACATGCAAAGCTTAGGCCTACTAAACGCCTGAAGTTTCCCACTACCGTGGCTAATTACCCGGCTATAAATAGGTTGTCATTTTTTAAAAAACGAATATTTTTAGAAAACTCTACGAAACTTAATTTTTGAAAGCAAGAATAAAACGATCTATAAATAGATTACTGTCACTGTTAGGCCAACCGCAGCCAATCGAATGTTTGAATGGAAGATAGTCCGGATCATTTAGTATTTTTTAAACTGTTTGAACTTACAATACAAGACTTGAAGACCGCATATACTTACTTCCACTGCACGTGATATTTGAGAATTTTCTTATACAAGGTCACAAGCAGACGCTTTTTAAACATCAGCGGTTGTATTTAATTTAATTATATGTACATGCATAAGTTATGTCTCCTGTTATCCTGTTATTGTGTTGAAACGTTTTTATCCAAAAAGGATGTTGTTTTGTTCATTTTAATAAATATCTATATTATAAAAAATGCAAAGTTTAAAGTGTATGAATAAAACAATTCTTACCCACAATTCTTACTCACACTGTAGTCAGCTTTAATGCATTTATATTTGATTTATTTAATAGCAAAGTGACATTATTATTAAATATCGCGATATTTTACTATATCGTTGAAAAAAATGCCAATATCGATATCGTCCCTTTTTGCAATATCATACAGCCCTAAGTAGACTGCATAACCTACATGTAGAACCACCAGTTATAAAATTCCAAAATGGCAATCAAAAACTATAGCTAAATATTTGGGAGAATATAAATGGTAACATTATGATGTTTTGTAGCATGTATTGTGATTTATCTCTGAAGGTTTGGCTTGTTAACATTTTGATAATATAACTACATTTGATTTTGAGTAAATTTAGAGTGGATAACTATGAGCAATTGGATTTATTGTCCAAAATTAAAATGATGTTAATAAGCAACTTTATATGGATATAAGCTTACCCTATTAAAATTAAATGGAACAAGACACTTTTAGTAAATATAAATGGGGAAAACAGTTCCAAGTACATGGCTTGTATGGCATACTTATCGATACATTTGAAGATATAAAAAAAATTATCGTGAGGTATATCACGACCCACCTTAAATAAATATCTCCAAATATCTTGACAATTACATGTACACCACAATATTTATATATATATATATATACCAAGCCTAAGTTAAATCAGTTTCGCACATTTAAAGTCACTAAATAAACGGTCATGCTATGATTATGAACATTTAACCATCCATAAATAATACACTGAAAGACGTTTACGAATGTCGGCCATAACATCGGGCACTTGTGAGTAAAAAATAGGTTACATTAGTCTCGCTTAACCAGTCTACCGACCATTCTACTTCTGATTGACAGACTATTTTTTACGAAACGTAACAGAAAGCTGGAACGCACATTAGGCAACTCAACAATTGCTTTAAGAACCTTGTAAAAGTAAAAAGAAACTACTGCTAGTATCATGTTCTTCAACTAACCTTAGTGTTTCAGAGATATCATTTGTACTAAACCAAAAGATGTCGCTCCAACCTAACGGTACAGTTAATGATAAAGCAATTTAAAAAATAAAACGAACGTAATTTCTAAAGCTGCTGTAATAACCAAAAAGCTAAATATTACTGCTATTCAGAATCGTCAACAATAGATTTTTTACGCTGTAAATAGAGAGAGAGAGAAATGGAGTTTAACGTCCACTCGACACAAACTAGGTCATTTTGAGACTAACATATGGTTTAATTTTATTTACATAATTCGCTTGCGCGTAGGGGTCTTTAGCAGTGGGAGGAAACCGGAGGTCCCGGAGAAAACCCACGAGGTTGGACGCTGTAAATAGGCCTAGTTGGTAGATATTTATAGTCTCAGACTCTAGTGCTGAGTATTATCATACCATACAGCGTGGTTAGCCAGTAATCACCCTAACCATAGATAATACCGTAACTTAGTAACTTGAGATTTCTAATCACTCATAGAGTGGCAGTGCTACGGCTGGTTACTGTTACATACTATACTGTATTACTACACTGATGTAACATCAATAAATATTTTCTTCCTGAAAGTGGCCATGTTTAATTTGTCCCGTTAACAGTATTAGTTAAATAGTGACAATTTAATGTTTTCATAAAGAAGCCGGGGGATAGAGGTTTGTTACACGTGAAGAATTTACAATGTTTACATACATTTCCGATATTGGAAACGGATTAATTCAGTATGAAACTAATGGTGTACAAACATAACAAATAATATGGAAAAATTAATTTATTATCATTGATTGGGTGTTTAATAAAGATGTAAATATAGAAAATTAAAGGAGGATTACTTGGATTAAAGTGAAACAGTATTCACCGAATCCTACACTTCAAGATGGCAAACGGAAAAGGAAGTATATGAAAAGATCATGCGCAATAACAGGTTCAATAAATTAGACTTCGCGAATAAAAATCAGTTAGGGAAACGAATAATGATTTGAATACACCAACTGATAATCACTTGTAGTTTTACAAAAAAGTCATTATCGATTTTTTGTGGCCAGCTAGTAGATTTAAAATCAAATATTCAAGTTCAGGCATGTATTTAAAACATTTTTTTTTTTCTTAACAAACGCTTTTCGTAGTTTCTCCGAGTCAAATTTTTGAACACATCAATGGCGGTAAACATAAATAATGAAAAGTAAACACTATTTTTTTACAATCTTAAAACTAGAGAGAGAGAGAAATGGGGTTTAACGTCCACTCGACACAAACTAGGTCATTTCGGGACCAACACATGGTTCAACCTTACTTCAATAATTCGCTTGCGCGTAGGGGTCTTTAGCAGTGGGAGGAAACCGGAGGACCCGGAGAAAACCCACGGGCCGCGAGGTTGGACAGGCGACCCTACTCCTTGTCACGTACAACCGGGGATTCGAAACCACGCCAGTCGACTCAATGACAGACTTTATGATACATACAACGCGTGCACGCTAACCATTCAGCCATCCAACCCCCCCTTAAAACTAGAACAATGCTATGACACTCAGACAAGTGATATAAATACCTATCTTAACACAGGAAAAACATCTTAGTACGGAAGACCATTAGGGTCAATCAAATGAAAAAAAAAAAAAAACAATTCTGATTACAGAGAAGATCATCAGATTCATGAGATTCAGATTGAGATTAGGCTAGGGTCAATCACATGAAAAATAATTAGGCCTAGTGTTCTAATGTCTGAACCGTGGTAAATTTTAAACGGATTTCTTCGATTGTGAACAAACTACTGAAGAATTGTTATTAAAACTTGCCCATGTGTTGAAACCACCTCTGGTTGAATAAAATCTGTTGCACAAATGGGTCGCAACATAATATATAATAATGTAATATGAATTTATATAAACTGTTTTACATTCAATCGTGTCTGTTTTACTGTGAATTGTCATCAGTTATGTTCGGCGAAATACGCCAGAAGTCTGAACAGCAAGTCCGTTTCTAGCGTCTGGTTATTCCAGTCAACACCGATATTATTTATTGCGCATGCTCTCCAAATAAGAACATGATATCTCCGTTTGACATGACTTGTGGAATATGTCTAGCCTCATTCTTTGAGCATCTTGTTACAAATGGCGCTGAAACGCATTATGGTACACGATTCGTGTACCAATGGTAAAATTGGTAAAATGTTTATTTTGTCTTAAATATTGGATATCAGAAGCCCATCTTTTCCAGGTAAGATCACAACACCAATGCTGATTTAAATTGCAAAAAAAAATCGTGTTTCCAATGTCGAAGATTTGGGATGATACTGAGTTACGGACTTAGCTACTTTAAATATCCCTACTAAAAAAAAGAAAGTTGTCTCTTGGAAAGTCATTGTTTTTGCTTGTATTTTCAACTGTTTCCATCACAACATTACACATGTCACGTGATGAGCTAAACCATCGTAATATGTTGCAGGGGGAAAAGGTTGACAAATTTTGATAATCACGTATGTTGTAATCAAAACAGCGAACACAACCTTTTCGATTGTTTGAGTTTGGGCAACAAAAATAGCATAGGGCACACTAATCGTGTACTGATTATATAAAATGTTAATTGTGTCTTATATATTTTAGGATTCTATAGATTCATGGCAAGATAACATCAATATTGATTGAAATTGATCAATATTGAATTCTAATTCGTGTTTTTAATTTCAAATGTTATGGAAAATATTGAGTTAGAGACTTAGCTCCTTTAAACATACATTATGCAAGAGCTAAATCTGCCTATTGCAGGTCTTTATTTAGGCCTTAAATGTACTCCGATTTTCAACAGATTTGAATCATATCTGCTGTTCAGCAGCCATTGCTGATTAACCATAAAATATTTTTTGTTTTCATTCCTTTTGACTTTGCACAGTTTTTAATTTTCTGAAGAAATGGAAATAATCGCTAAACCCGATAACTTCTGCAGACAATAAAATCAAACAAACAAAAACAGCCAAAAATCAAAATTTAAAGAAGTTTTCCCAAAAATATAAATAGCGTTCTGTGACTTTAAGGAGAGCATTAAGATTGATGAATCATGATATTAATAGATGATATCAATGCGTGTATGAAGTTGGTGGAAGTATGAAGTGAACGAGAGTATGCACTTTATGATTTTAATGGAGGCATGAAAATAACGAATGATCTGTATGGGAGTATGGCGACCTTAAAATAAGTTACACATGGGCTTCTCCGTATCTTGTAATAGCTTAGTGTAGATGTTTATTATGTGTAAATGCTTTGACCCCCGTCCCCATAATAACTGATCAGTTTCTAATTTAGGTAGCATGTTCAAACTCTGTGTAGATAGATGTTTATTATTATGTGAATGCTTTGAGTTTGACTGAGAGTGATGATAAACATTTTCTGCTTAGGCTAATAAGTAGGGATATGAGCAATGAACAATTTCTGCTTGGACCAAGCAGTTGTCTGTCTGCAAGACTTTTTGGAACACAATAAATCTGCTTCTAATTGAGGTAGAACATTGATAGACCTACTTGCAAGTAGATGATTATATTAGATGAATGTCTTGACTGGGTGTGATGATGAACATTGCTGCGTAGTTTCGTTACATAAATATCTTGACTAAGCATGTTCTGTTCAGGTCGATAATTATTTAAGTGATTAATGAGGCATGGGACATCAGCCTTACTATTGTTTTGTTTCAATACAGAAGATCAAGTTATTTATTTAAATAAAATAATCTAATTACAAGCAGCTATGAAGCTGTTCATGTAATCTGAATTACTTAGTTAAAGTTTCTTTTATTTAAAGGTTTCTAAAATGGATACTCAAGGCATTTTTAATGCAGGGTTTTTGTAGTATTCTATAAAAACCTTTCAGGCAGCGTTATGTTTATAAAAGAGAATGGATCAAAGTGGTAATGTTAAGAAAGGGTAAGAAAAACTCTTTCTGGGTAAATATACTTAAAATGAATGATAGTTTAAGTTTAATATGTTGTGGTGTTCCTAAGTAAATATAGTTAAAATGATTCATGAATGATAGTTTAAGTTTAAAATGTTGTGGTGTTCTTGTTATAAATATCTGTCATTACTATATGTTGATACATCTTATATCACTAAGGAATATTTATAATTACAGGGGGTTTACCTTTAAAAGATCTTCAAGCTTGTCCACCAATAAAGTTAGATCTATTAACCAGCCTCCTCCAACATTAGTTAACCCTTTCAAGTCAGCTGTATGTCATAACCCAAATGTCTCCAACAAATCATCGCCAAATGTAAGAGTTCTTTGGATTTCTTTGGGTGGTCTTCAATTAAATTATATAAGAAATCTGAAATTAGTATGCATCTTTTCTACCACTGCCAGTGAATATATTATTTCTGGGATGTAATTGATATTATTCATTATTAGCCCAGTCGGAGCAGAACAGTAGGATATTAAACCCTATTTCATTTCATTTCTGATATTGATAATATGACTAGGCTGCCCATACAAATTTCTGTTAAGTTTTTAATGAATTTTTGTTTCTTCTTACATACATTTCCAGCAAGGCACACAAACTAGCATCAAAGCATTTACGAATAAAGTGATACCTGTTGCGGCTGTACCACCACATAGGTAATTAAATAATGTTATTCTAAATTCATTGTTTTTAAAGTAGAAAGAAAACACAATCACAAGAATGGGAAAAATGTTGGTGCAACATACAATTCCAGATAAGTTAACAATAAATTTAAACCAGCCAGATGCTATTACTATTTGATATGAAGACAAATTATGTATTTTAGTTATACCTTTATCATGTGAAATCCAATGCTGATAAGATATGATAATAATAAAGGTTAGATTTCTTGGATTTCTGATATATTTTGTTTCAGATCTCCAATCAAGACGAATGCCCCGTCTATATTTAACAATAATTTGAGAATAATCCCACCTCCTACCAACCCTGTCTCTAGTATTTTTATAGATGAGGATGATGATGACGACTTTGATTTTCATGCTACACCTTCTCAAGGTATAAAACGATAATGTTGTGTCTGTTCAGTCAGATGTGACCTTATAGGATATATCATGACGAGTTGTCCCATGTTGTGTTTATTGTGTCAGATGTGACTTTATAGGATAAGTGATGCTTATCTATGTTGTGTTGGTTACTTAGAAGAGCATCACTGATCCTATAAAGTCACATCTGACTAAGCAGACAAATGGAACAACCAATCATGATAATATTTGAAATGTAAACCAAACTTATTATATTTGTTTATTTTACCTTTCCACGATGTGAAATCTAAATCAAACTTATTATATTTGTTTATTTTACTTTTCCACTATTCTCATTGAAGTAAGAAACACATATAAATTCTTATTGTTATTGTGTCAGATGTGTTACTTTTATCTTCAATTATGGCATTGCATTTGATAAAAATCTGTGTTTTTTCTCAGGTGTATCAATACCACCTAAAGCCAAACCATTTAAATTTACATCTAATAATTTCAAGGTAGGTGTCCTCTTTATGTATACTAGATTGTCTGAAAGTACCAGTGAATGAAAAATTACGAAATCATTCCTAATAGCAATTTTATATGATCAGCCTTAAAATCTTTACTACTAGAGATGTGGTACTATACCTCAATCATCTCAATGGCTATATTGACCCTTTTGTGTCTTTAAGGCATGCTTAATATTTGGTTATATGAATAATCACAGCTTCACACAATTATTCCTATTTAATTGGCTTCTTACCAAGTTCATTTACCATTTTGTATCCTGCTTCTATATAGTTACTTATGATTTCTACCCATTTTGTTCGAACCTATTCCCAGATTAAAAACAAGGCTCCAACTACAACCACACGAGCACCGAGTCCCCCTATGGATTTAGATGATCAAGAATTTAATGAAATTGTTTCTAATATTGAAGTTAAAACAGTACCAGATACTCCATCTAAACATGAGCAGGTAACTTTTGAACTGTTTTATACCAGAATTATGATGAAGAAAAAATAAAACAATTGATTACTAAAATAACTTCAGTCAAGAATAATTAGTAAGCTTATTCAATGTGAATGATCTTCTTTTTTGATTTTAGTCAGGGGAAAGTGAAGAGGAAGAAGAAATGATGCCAGCATCAAAACGTCGCAGACATGACACACGACTAGATAGTGATGATGATACAATCGACTCAATTGGTTCTAATGTACAGATAGTTTCTGATGCATCCAATGATGCTGCTATAACTGTATCAGATAAAACTTCAGTTGCTTCTTCTGGACAACTAACTAACCAGTCGGAAACAAGAAGAAGTATAATAGAAACGGAAGTGATTCCACTAACAGATGTTTCACAACATCCACTCCTAAAACTCAATGTTACACAGGTTATTAATGTTTTTCTTTTAATTTTTATGTAACCTCACTGACACTGTATGTCCCAAATATCTATGACATAAGGAAGTTAAAGATGGGTTCCCAGAAAAGTGTTTATCAGGTGGTTATTTCCAATAAAAGTATGGCAATTTTGGTATATATGGAAAGTAGAGATATCCAATCTTACTAGAAAAATACTGGATTCCCCGAAAAACATTCATGGAGCATATACAGGACAAAAATGTAAGGGTTCCCCTAATCAACAGCCTGACGATTAAGAACTTCTAAGGTCACAAGTGAACATTGAGCGCTTGATGTAAAAGTTGATAAACTTTATGAAGAGTTCGACGTACAATACTTTCTGAGATAAAAATGACAGAAAAAGACGCGGGTAGTGGATAATCCGAGAATTTGATTAGGATTCGATATTTGTAATAAATAATAAGCGATTAAAGAAAACATCGTCTTATGTATGCAATGAATTCTCCTCTGACTAACAAGACGTGACGTAAACATGACCTGGTTTGATCGAATTTTAATAGCAGGGCATTCCTTCGCAATTACAATGTTTGAGAAGGATTTGGAGCATATTTATGACAAATTAATTAGTTTGAATATGTTTTTGGTCCATATATACCATTAAATCACCCATCTTTAATTGGAGCTACATAGTATATAGTATAGCAGGTTTGGATGTGGGCGATCAACCATTTACACAGACATCTTTAATTTATTAAATTTGCTACCTTGTTACAAATGTTAATTAGACATATAATATGTATATATGAGAAACTAGTTAATGTTTAATCATTAAATGTTATATTATAGGTAGAAGATAATGATATGTGTGAAATGAGATATTTATTATTAAGTGTAACAGATGAAATATGTGATATTGTTGGTAAATTTCGGACCGATGATCTCATGTCAGCAGCAGCAGATGATTATGACAGATTACAGAAACTTCTTTATATAAGGTGATTGTATATATATGGTCATATTATCAAGTAAAGGATTTGATTATAGAGATGTTTGCTATGAGACAGATTGCAGTATAAGTTGTGTTTGGCATATAAGCGGCTTGTAACGATGCTGTTGGACTCGGCAGACATTACCTTCAGCATTATATTGAAGCCCCAGTCTGCACAGAGTTTCACTAACACTACAAATCATCATACAACTCTTGTATTTTTATTTACTTCCCATGCAACATGCTAAAATTTCTATAAAATCATGTATCCTTGCACACCATGAATTACAAATCACAATCTCTCTATTTCTCTTAACACAGTAAATCATGCAACCCATGAAAGTTTTACATGCAATATACTAATACTAATATGAATGAAAATGCGATTTGTAATCCATTATATATTAATTATAGTGTATTTTATTTTCTGCACGTCAACTTGAAACATATTTATATTAGAAATGTTAGAAGTATAAACATTATTTTTCTATGGATTTTTTAGGGTTCATTACTTATGTTGATTAATTGTTTATAATAATTACCACAAAAACACATATTTTTATTTAGAAAACAAGTGAAAGAAAAGGGGAAGAATTTGAATCAACCAGTTATACCCAATTTAAAGGCCAACAGACCAGATGTTAATAAAACTGTGTTATCAAAGACCACAACTGTACAGAAATTCGATCCTCCATTGTCACCAGTATTAAGTACTTCTAGAAATAATAGCTTTAACTTCTCATGTAGACTGTCAGACACGGCTGTAGGAAATAAATCTCTTGTAACCAGTACAGCCGTGAAGAAAACATCAGTTTCACGAGTGACCTGTGGGGCTGACTCGCCTATACCATGTGGAGATAGTTTCTTTGAAGACGATATGGAATTAGGCAATACTCAGATGACCTACATGAAGGGATTCAAGAAGCCATCAAGTTCTTCTTCTAGTCCGAGTCTCAGTAATGTGGGCCGAAGTCCCAGAAATTCTACTTCTCCTAGTGCTAATATTTCAAACAGAACATTGAGCAGATCAACATTTAATACGTCTGCTGTTAGAGCTCCGGGTTTAATGTCATCTGTTAGTGTAAATAGTAATAACTCTTGCAACAACCAAACAGCTTCCATGTTTAATTCTGTTAATGACAGTACTTTAACAAGTTTTTCACCTTCTATGAATGATACCTCTAATATTGCTCAAGATTTTCAGTTTGACTACAGCATATCTCGCAATAATAACCCAGCTGTTGCCTGTAGCTCGGGATCGAATCCGCAACCCACTTCAAAAATGGATGAATTTGATAGTGAAATGCCAGATGAATATTACGCTATAGAAGATTTTCTGGATCTTGAAGATGAGATAGAAGAAGAATGTGGGAGTATGTCCACTTCTACTACAATAAACAAGATGAATTCAAGTTTATCTAAATCAGGTTTGTGTGTTGAAAAAATCAGTTAGTTTAAGACAAGAAATGAATAAGTGATGAAATTAATGTGACCTAAACTGATGGAGGTTCACATAAATTCCTATGAAATTATTTATAACTGTTATGTCCTAATCTTTCTTATAACATATTTTCTAAATAATGACATCATTGTAATGTTATCAGCAACTTTGATTAACCTTTGTTTTGAGGAATGTTATGTTCGACAATACCACTGATTTTTGGAATATCTACTCTGTATTTTAATTTATATCAGAACAAAAATGCATATGGAAATTGATTGTGATATATTGCATTTTAAACATATTCATTTCTTGTTCACATTCATTTCTTTTTTAGTAGTATATTTGGAACCCAGTATAAATAAATTTCATCTTTTAATCTAAAATATTGTGTACAATATGATTATTACAGGACCCAATGTCTTTTTGTTGATAATTACCTTATGTTGAATCTGTCATCTTGATAGACTTTAAAACATAAAATAATAAATCACAAGTTTTGGAATAATGAGAACAATTTTTTTGATGATTCCTTTAGTTTATAAAGATACCAGTGTACCATCATTAAATGTATCAACAAGTAAGGCTGCTAAACCTGCTCTGGGACAAGTAGATTTCAGTGATGGTAAGTTATCAATTTTTCTCCTGGCACAAATAAATATACAAACATGTATCCCTATCATAACTGAGAACATGCAGAATTATGAATTGAATGGGGTTAAATATCTTGTTTTGTGATAAACATACAATATTTTTTTAGTTCTATGGTTGTGTTAGGGGTAGTGGTGGCATTTCCACCCATTCTTCTTCAAATCCCAACTGCCATTAGAAACAGTCAATGAAATGTCCAGTTTGTCAGCCCCACAGGTACCACCCCTGTAGTACTATGGCCTTTGCAACGATATCGTATCTTTAACTAATTACTGGATTCACACATTCTATGGAAGTCAGATCTCGTGCACTCAAATAATGAGTGACAGATTTACACATAAAAAGAGTTATAATTTGGTAAACATCGCTGGTTCCGTGGGAGAATATCATGTTTAACATGTGATTGGAAATTTACTAATTGCATCATACACTGTAACCATCCAGTAGACGTGGTACAAGGGTTAATCAGCGAACTGGATGTATGAGATGTGTTGTTGACGTTTGGGAAAGTAGGACGAGGGGAAATGTGTAGGGAGTGAAGTGCTGTAAAGGGATAGTTAGATGTATTATGAATGGTTAGAGTGGCTGTGGTGTTACGGTGAAATACTATGCCGCCACCGTAACACCACAGCTTTATGATTTGTTAGACAGGAGTGATGTAATGGGTGTCAACAACTGGGTATGCTGGTACCGTCGCAACGTAGCCGTGAAATATATATTGTGGGGGGGAAGGGCGGAAACGGAAAAATATACAATGTTGACAGTATGTGCCAGGCATGAGGCTGCGCAGACCGAGCGGGAGTGTGTGGGAGGGTCACCCTCATAAAAATTTTTTTTTTTTAAATTTCAGTTTTCTGTAAGCAGTGAAAACACTATTTTGGCATAGTTTGCGGGGTTAAACCTAAAAATCACATTAATACACCTATTGCACGATATTGTGAAACTAGCTGACGAAGACAGCTCGGGCGGCGATTGTTCGACTCGGGGCTGCTCTGTCAGTATCTAACAAACGCATTTAGTTCGCGTACAACTTTTAAAAACCGAATGTCAGTATGGTATTTCTCACATAATTGGTTATCGCAAAAACAGAGTAAACTGAAAGCCAGTAATCTCGACTCAAACCTATAGTCTATAGCCCACTTACTACACTGTCACTAGGCTTCCTATATTATTGTTTGTGGACGGTTTACTACTCAGTGATAAGCCTGCGCCGCAAAAAGAGGTCTCGCCTTTTATTATTAGTATAATGACATCCTCATGTGCGGCAGGTTAGTTTGCTTCTAAAAACACTGTTTTCCGTTCCAAAAAATACAAAAGTAATTTTCTACCAGATGACCATGGTTCTTTTCACCGAGACTAGATAATTTCTCTCGGTGTAAGGATATATCTATGGTGAGTTCATACAAGGTCAATAAATCCGCGGTCACTTCAGGTTACACTGTTGAGAAAATAAACCGATGGGTTTGTTTAGTAGCAAATCGAGCGTGAATCAACTGAGTTTGTACTGAAAAATTTTTGAGTGATATGTATGAACTGTCTTCACACATTCGGTTTATAATTAGCGATACACAGGTACAGTGGCAAATGTTGTACTTCACAGACTGTTTATCTCCGAACTACCTCCGCTCGAAATCCCCGATTTGGGTACTTGTTAAAAGAAAAAGAAATAGTACCTGTGCGCGTGCCAGTAAAAAAAAACCTAAGAGTTCGCGCATAAAAATGCCCGAACGTACCAGGCGCCAGGTCATCCAGTCAAATTCATTATTTGCAGAATCTTAATGACGTAAGCAAATCTGTTAAAAAGCCCAAACCAGTCATTTAAGATTTAGATATCATTGGGTTCCAGACAGATACCATCTGAGTTTCTAGAGACTGCCTCTGAATACTCAGAGAGGGTAGACACTACACAGCGCCTTGGTTCTTTAGAAAACCATATGATGTAGCTGTTTCCTGGGTCTAGCCATGCTGGTTAGACTTTTACGGGAGTTGGGGCTGAGAGAAAGATGTTAATTATATGCTAATGTAATCTATTACGCATTATAACCATATGTATCCAGCTTGATATAAAATGTAGAACTGAACTGATGCAGTGTTATTCCTGGTTAGACAAACGTAAGAAGAAAATACACAATGTGAAAAGGAAGCAAAGATGACAATTGAAAATACTAGACGATCACAAGGCTGTTCCAAAAAAGTATAGAAAAGATGCATGGGTCATGCGCTGGATGTGGCGACTGGTTTTAAGTCTGACAAAAGACCTATGGTACTACACCCCTTGCAAGTGTGAAACTAATTGGGGAAAATTTTAAGGTTGTTTTTCGAACCAGGACCTTCTGGTTGTGTCCAGTGTTCTTACCTCTCATACATTATTGAATGAAATGACTCTAAATAATCATACCATTTATCAACAGATTATAATCCATCATTTGCTGCTACTGATAAAGATGACGGTGCTGAATTCGATGGTCAAAATTTCCCCCACAGTAGAGATATGTATCGAGTATTTAGACAGACGTTTGGATTAAAGGATTTCCGTCGTAATCAACTACAAGCTATGAATGCTGCTTTATTAGGAAAAGATACTTTTATATTGATGCCTACAGGTATATTCTCTTATAGCATGTATTTTTTTTCAAAAGCTGGGTTTCTGGGTTTTTTTGCGTAAACATGCATTATGCAAGAGCTAAATCTGCCTATCGCAGGTCTTTCTTTAGGCCTGACATGTTATCTAAATTATTAATTAGACATTAATTAACTTATCCAGACCATAATCAACTCTCGATGTCACGGCTAGCTTTCGATATCGACTGAATTAGAATCCTATATGCTGCAAACGCTCATTGATAATTAAATCAAAACAATGGATAATCAAGAATATGCTTTTTAACGTACTAACTGTAGTAATAATGAACGAGGCTAGGCGGAAATTTACAAAGCTGATATTTCGGTTCATAGTGGATCAATTTGACAGAAATTTTCAACAAATTACCTTTACATTACCTAGTTTTTAACTATTATAGCGAGAACTGTTAGCTCTTTATCTTATCTCCCATAATGTATCTTTAATGAGTTTGATGTAGAGAAAGCTAAAAAAATTTTTTTTTTTTGCTTAATGAGTTTGATGTAGAGAAAGTTAAAATTTTGCATTTTAAAACAATAGGAAGAACCCTACTGCTTTTCACATGGCTTGCATAGAGGACAGTATATTTAATAATATTATTTATATTTTAGGTGGAGGAAAGAGTTTATGTTATCAGCTACCTGCGTTAGTAACTAACGGTGTATCAGTTGTTATATCACCATTACGGGCATTGATACAAGATCAAGTACAGCGTTTACGCTCTCTTGATGTAAGTTTTACTCACTAAAATATGCTATGTTCAATAACTTGTATTCTTTTTATCTAAATCTAAACATTGATTTCAAATAAGTTTTCAGATTAAAGTTCATTTTAGTGTAGATTGATTCGGGGAAAATCTAATAGTTACCAAAAATACAAATGACTTTAATGAGAGCTAGAAACTGATTAAATCTGATGTATATAGTTGGCATTTAGGTATTTCATTTTACAACAAGATTTGAATTTTAAATGTAATATATTGTATATATTTAGATACGAGCAGCTAGTTTATCAGGTGATATAGATTTAGCTCAGTCTAATCAGGTGTATAATCTATTATATCAACGTGAACCAGGTGTACAGTTACTATATGTTACACCAGAAAAGGTAAGTATTCTATTTGATGTAAGATGTAAGATGTACATTTTTAGAAATAAAGCAGTATTTTTATTCAATTAAACTCAGGATGTCAGAATAGGCAGAGTCTTTTTGTAGCCTTTTATGCTGCATATTATGTACACCTTTAATTAATGTTTGGATGTTATATGATCAGCTAGCTAGTCCCCTCAAGTTCACTTTTTGTGAGATTCCCTTAATCTTTTACTAAATTTTGGCCTGTTAATTTCTGTAAGTCAATGAAAATTCTATTTTCCAGAATTATTTGAGATTAAACTTTAAGAATTTGATTAAAGGTTGATTCACAGATATATATGTAAATAGCAGACTTACAGAACAAGTTGGCATTTGTGGGATTCTGTAAAGTTTTTAATGATTTATGGCCCTTTGTTGACTTAAAGGGGATGCTCGATCGTCAGTCCTAAACATCCCAAATTGACAGAATTGAAATCGAATGGTGCAGAAATCAGTCCTGTCACAGTTCTGTCAGTTCCGACAACGCAACAAATACATTTCAGCTGTCACGATTGGTTGAGATGTTTTATTATGTAGGCGATGCATGCATTGTAGCACGAAATCTCATGCTCTACTAGGTTGTCACTATTTTGAGGATTGAGAGAATTAAATTCCAGAACATTCAATCAAGTAAGTCATGGATTAAAAATTCAACCTTTTATAGATACATGCATTTTTAAATTTGTTGGAGTCAGTAGAAAACATGCATAGATTCAGCAGTACTCTCATAATGTTTGTTATTATACTTTATATATTACAGGTATCAGCTAGTACTAAATTATTAAGTTGTTTTGAACACCTGTATAATAGACAGCTATTAGATAGATTTGTTATAGATGAAGCTCATTGTGTTAGTCAGGTAAACAATTTATTCATGCTACCAAACAGATATGATTAAAAATATATACAGTAAATTTCCACCACATTTCATACTATGTTGTTGTTTAAGAATAAACACTGTAAACTGTAACATCATACCTATTCCAAAGAGCTTTGTAAAATAAACACAACAGTTCTATGGAAAGCAAGTTCTATGAAAGCAATGTACTTTCGTATAATTACAAATGTAATGTTGGGACTTGGGTATATTTTCAAGCGAGCAAGATGATCTATAATAAGTTTAAACTTTATTTTAAGACACTGAATACTCTATTCTATTTCTATATTACTATTTCAGTGGGGCCATGATTTTCGACCAGATTATAAAAAGTTAAATTTATTACGTAGTAAGTATAGACAGGTACCTATGATGGCATTAACAGCTACAGCTACACCTAGAGTACGCAAAGATATTATACATCAACTAGGCATGAATGATCCTAAATGGTAAGATCTACATTCCATGTTTTTGTAAAAATTTCATTGTTAGTGAGCAATGGAATTGGTGCATTTGCCAGCGTGATTCACCAATATTTAACACAGAACACATATATCTCTCAATACAAGTATTAAAAATACATTATGTAAGATTTAGATAAAGAGCTGACAATTCTTACTGTAATAGGTTTAAAATAGATAATGAAAGTGGAATGTATTGATAATTTCAGTCTTGATTTTCATTGCTACCATTGTTACGATAATAAACAAAGTATTAATTATCCACTTTTAAATTTAATTATTAAATGCGCTCATGTATCAATACATTCAAAATCACAACCATCCGATGTTCTAGAGAGTTGGTTATGGGCTTATCATGTGAGTACATGTCTAATTAATAATTTTTAAATATTTGAGGCCCAAAGAAAGACCTTCAATAGGAAGATTGAGCTCTTACATAATGCATCTTTAATTATTAGTATTTTAACCATTTACAACTCTTGAGTTCCATTAGCTCTGAGAATTGTGTCACAAATAGAAATGAATTGAGCAATATGACAAAAACATTTTATCTAGATCTCGTCTTAAATTAATAATTCTGTCAATTCTATTTAATTTTAATGATTTAATGCAGGTTTATGCAGAGTTTTAACCGAAGTAATCTCAAATATTTAATTAAACTAAAGAAACCTAAAGCAGCAACAAAAGAACTACAAGAACTAATACAGACTAAGTTTAGAGGTGATATTGGAGTTGTTTATTGTCTATCAAGGTATGTAGCTTTAGAATCTGAGTAGTTTTTGGTCATTCTTATGCTATACAAATAGTTTCCATTCATCTTGTTAACAAACTATATGGTTTCCTTTCATCTTGTTAACAAGCTATATGGCTTCCATTCATCTTGTTTATTAAAGATTTAAAGTCCAATACATTAGATATGATATCATGGACAGGTTGATTTAATTAAACTATTTACACTTAATGGGTTGAAAATTGGTAAAAACATACAATACAAACATCCGTGTATATCAAAATAAAAAGTCCTTGTATATTAAAAAGTCAATTTAAAGCACACGACTTCCATTCATCTTGTTAATAAACTATATAGTATATGGTTTCCAAACTATATGGTTTCCTTTCATCTTGTTAACAAGCTATGGTTTCCATTCATCTTGTTAATAAGCTATACAGTTTCCATTCACCGTGTTTACAAGCTGTGTAGTATCCATTCATCTTGTTAACAAGCTATATAGATTCCATTCATCTTGTTAACAAGCTATATAGATCCCATTCATCTCGTTAACAAGCCATGTAGTTTCTATTCATCTCATTAACAAACTACATATACTCAGCCAAATTAAAAACTTGACACTCGGGATTTTTGGGACTAGATTTTTAATATTTGGTTTAAGGCAACTATTTTAGTGTTATGTTGTGCACAGACGACCTTGACATCAACAGAAAGCAAGAATACGTCTCGCGAAAGTCCTTGACATTGATAACATTCGTGATGTCACAGTAACCCCCAAAATGAAATTCACAGACTTGGAGAACAATCAGAATAAAGTGTTTAGTAACGGCAGTGGCCTCCTCTAGCGTCTTGTACTGCCACACAACGTCTTCTCATGGATCTCAGAACATTAGTAAACACTACCCGAGGAAGACGTCGCCACTGCTCAGCAAGAGCATGTTGAAGGTCCTGCAACGTCAGTGGTGGATTCACTTGCTGACGAACACGTCGACCCAGTTCGTCCCAGACGTGTTCAATAGGATTAAGGTCAGGGCTAAGCGACGGCCAATCCAGGACTTGGACACCGGCATTTCTTAAAAAATGCTGGGTAGCAATTGCTGTATGGGGTCGAGCATTGTCTTGTTGAAATGTTAGTCCAGGCCCATGTCTCTGCATAAACGGAAGAAGAACAGGTTGCAAAATCTGATCCCTGTACCTCATCTGCAGTAAACTCGGAACCTGCCATCGGCAAATCTCAAAGTGAATTGAGATTTGTCACTAAAGACAACCAAATTCCACTGTCTTTGAGTAAATCTTATGTGTCTTGTGGCCCACACAAGTCGGTTACGGGGATGAAGAGGTTTCAATATTGGTCCATTATAGGGCCTCCGAGCCCGAAGACCAGCAGCCTGCAAGCGATTTCGAACAGTTTTTGCAGTTACCCTCCCACCAAACATCTCTCTACTTGTGGAGGTGGCAGTGACAAATCTGTTTCTAAGATGACGTAATCGTATTGCTTGATCTTCCTGGAGTGACGTCACACGTGGCGCTCCCGCCCTTGGGGGGTCGGCAATAGTTCCAGTTTGAAGCACTCTCATTCTAAGATTAATTATTGTCTGGCGTGAACAATTAAAGGCTCTTGCAACAGTGACCACAGACTGACCAGCATAGAGCCTACCTATAGCACGTAGATGTTCTACATTTGAAAGGCGCGGCATTTTCTAACAAAGATGAAAATAACAATTTTAATTTGTTTTTCCAGTTCAAGTTACGTGTGTGTGTTCAGTTTAAGCAAACTTGCATCGATTGACCTCACGAGTTTGTGTTTGCACGTGTTTTTCAGGTTTTTCATCTTTTATGAAATTAAAGGCTTCTTACTACTTACTATCGTTAGAAACACTTTAAAATTTATTTGACTTACCAGAAAAATTTTTTTGTTGCAATTCATCAGTGTCAAGTTTTTAATTTGGCTGAGTATAAATTTCATTCATCTTGTTAACAAGCTATATATTATCCAACCACCTTGCTTACAAGCTATTTATTATCCATTCTCCTTGTTATCAAGCATTATTATAGTTTACATTCATCTTGTTAACAAGCATAATAGTTTCCAGGGGGGTTGGATGGCTGAATGGTTAGCGTGCGCGCGCTGTATCATAAAGCCTGTCATTGAGTCAACTGGCGTGGTTTCGAATTCCCGGTTGTACGTGGCAAGAAGTAGGGTCGCCTGTCGAACCTTGTGGGTTTTCTTAGGGTCCTCCAGTTTCCTCCCACAGCTAAAGACCCCTACGCGCAAGCGAATTCTTGAAATAAAATTAAACCATATGTTAGTCCCGAAATGACCTAGTTTGTGTTGAGTGGACGTTAAACCCCATTTCTCTCTCTCTCTTTTATAGTTTCCATTCATTATCCTAAAGAATCTTGAGCTTGTGACTGGGCACATGCACCAAGCAATCTTAATGGTATCAACTCCTTGACCATTTGCTTTATTATGCTTGTGCTTTTTGTGAGCAAAACAATGAGAAAATGGACTAGAGTAATTATTTTTCTAATTGTATTTTGTAGAAAGGAATGTGATAATGTTGCAAGTGATTTACAGAAAGCTGGTATACAAGCTGTATCTTATCATGCTGGTTTATCTGATAAACAAAGATTTGATATACAAGAACAATGGTTATATGGTGATAGTAAGGTAAACTATACAACATTGGTTCTCACAACATGGCTTGAGAATAAATGGAAGGAGTTCGTGTGGTTATCATATTTCTATATTTATTCCAATTAACAATTCAGCATATTTTTTAGAAGACAACAAAATAACTTGTGTTGAAAGGTTGAGTGAAATAAAACCATCTTGGTCCTTACACAATCCTTTAAAAGAATCTGATGCAGATTGAGGGTGTTTTTATTATGTGGAACATTGTGTAGCACAGCTTTTATAATTCTAATGTGAATGCTTTTCCTCCCATTTCAAATCTCAATGGAGTATACTTTCAGTAATTTCTTCTCATCACTATCATGCATAAAAGAATGGACTTAAATTTATAAAAGATCTTTAAAAATTAAACAGACAAATCACTGCTTGCTATTTTATGATAGCAATGAGTAAATTTATGATTGTCCAATGTCATTTATCATTTATCAGGGTTGCATACATGATAACTGAGCCTACTTGACATTTCTACCAGAAACATCTATAGTTTCCAAACTTTTATGCAAAAATATGGATGCAAGGTTTATTGTAATATTTTGACAGGTAATCTGTGCTACTATAGCGTTTGGTATGGGTATAGATAAACCAGATGTTAGATTTGTTGTACATTATTCATTACCTAAGTCTGTAGAAGGTTATTATCAAGAGGCAGGTCGAGCTGGTAGAGATGGTCATCTAGCACATTGTATACTCTTCTATAATTATAGTGATGTTAAACGACTTAGAACAATGATTCAAAGTAAGTGTTTACCTTCTTAAAGTTTCTGAGCGTGATTTTAGCGATAAAGTAATTCCCTACAAACTACAATATTGTAAAAATTTGAATCTATTATACTTAATATCAGTCAAAAAGTGGTTCAGTTCCTTCCATTTTTACAAAGATATGAATTGAAATTCAATCGATCGATGCTGCTCCCTATAAGTCCACTGCCCATTTGTATGTTTTGAGCAAAATCTAATTGATGGGCTTGTTTTTTAATCTGATTGAATCCAAGTCGGAAGATTATCTAGAGTTGATATTTTGATTTTGTAAATGTTGAATAATCAGTCTGAGTATATATTAGCATGAATTAAGTTGTATGAAATTTTATTTTTTCCGAATAATGAAAATCATGCACAGGAGATTAGTTACAGAATAAAACTGTGTTAGTTATGTATCTGTGAGTGAGCTGTAAATTGGTTAGTTATGTATCTGTGAGCGAGCTGTAAATGTTTTAGTTATGTATCTGTGAGCAAGCTGTAAATGTGTTAGTTATGTATCTGAGCAAGCTATAAATGTGTTTGTTATGTATCTGAGCAAGCTATAAATGTGTTAGACCTAGTTATGTATCTGAGCAAGCTGTAAAGGTGTTAGTTATGTATCTGTGAGTGAGCTGTAAATCGGGTTGATCAAATTTTGTGCTCAGCAGAAACTGCAATTAATGAGTTTCACAAATGATGCTACGAAAGATAACATTTGTTTTGAAATAATAATATTGTTCTGTTTATATTTTTCAGTGGATCAGAATGCTAATTATGAATCTAAACGTGTACATCTAGATAATTTATTTAGAATGGTAGCATATTGTGAGAATGTAACAGATTGTCGCAGATCTCAGATATTACAGTATTTTGGTGAACATTATTTTGATAGATCTAAATGTAATGAATATAGAGGTTCTGTGTGTGATAACTGTGAATCAAAGGTTAGTTATATCTGGTGGATACAAAAGACATCTGGATATTCAAAAAATATTTCCTACGATACACTGAAAGTCTCCACAATAATAGTCTTTAATATTGTACTTGTCTTGTAGAATGATGGCTTGAAAGTGTATTGGTGCTACAAACGCTTTGAAAATATAAAGTTTGAATTTTTAAATGTTATTTGTTTGATCTGATATACTCATATGCACACTTTTTAATTTCCAAATATGAATGCATAACACCCTACATCATTCTTTGTGACAATATAAATGATAATGAATTGAACAAATGCTAAAATCTCTTTAATTTTAGAGAAAATGGTTAAATGAATTATTATAAGTTTTCTTATTAAAAAAGATTAATTGTAAATTATTTGTGTGTTTATTTTGTAGGATAGTTTTACATTACGTGATGTGACAGATGATGCTAAAGTAATAGTACAAGCTGTACAAGATCTAGCTAGTCAACCTAGAAATAAACTAACATTGCTACATTTTGTGGAGTTAATTAAAGGTAAGATCTAGCTGTTCAACCTGCACAATAAATTAACATTAAATATAAAATCTGTCTATTTAACCCAGAAATAAACTGACTTTACAATATTTTATAGAGTTAATTCAAGGTATGACCTAGCTAGTTAACCTAGAAATTATCTGCTTGTCTCCTTTTCACCTAGTTTATTACATCTGACATTCTTTCCAATTCTAGAGATGTTTTTACGTAGATATGAAAACATTGTTACACAAAATATGAACTTCGACACATACTTGGCAGAATAATGACAATTTATTTTCAGAAACATCTTCGAATGTTTAGTTCTGATCAGTATTATTCTTTTAATTAAATCATATTTAGGATCACAGAATACAAAGATTATGCAACTAGGACATAATAAACACAAAGCCCATGGTATATGTTCAGCTTATTCCCGACAAGATGCCGAGAGATTAATGCGTAAGTTAGTTATAGATGGTATATTAATGGAAGATTTGCAAGTTACAGCTATGGATATGACAGCTTGTTATATTAGACCTGGTATGAAAGTATCACAAGTACTAAATGGTGCAATTAAAGTAAGTAGTAACTTGTATTTTACTTATTAACAATATTATATAATCTAACCTATTATTATTACTACCGGTAATATAAAGATGAAAACTTCCTAAAATTTGCCCCTTAAAAGTGCAAAATGCTACAATTAGGTTAATAACTCAAACAAAACTATTATCTCATGTTACTCCCATATTTTAAAATGTACTTTGGTTATCTATTTGCTGTAGAGTTAAGTCAAAAATACTCCTGACATATTTTTAAAACATTCTCTGTCCCTAAGATCTTCAACAGGCCCCTGTTTGTGAATCACATGTTCTGCAAACTTATGCTCATTTGGTAGTCATTCATTTTATGTTCTTGCAGTCTTCTCTGGAACAAAATACCCCAAAATATTATAATTTTTTCATCAGTGACATTATTTATCATTAATTTTATGTATAAAGCATGTGTACCTTTCTGATTTTATACTGTTCAATATGTCTTTGAAATTAGAGTAGATCTCTAGACCCTGTTATTAGATATAATATTTGATGTCTTTTTCCCCATATTTAATATCAGTGTACTACAATGTGTATTATAGGTGGAACTACAGATTCATACGAATCGTAAAAAGTTAGAGATGAGTAAGATTGGACAGGAACCACAAAGTGATAGAGAGAAACTAACATCAGAATGTTATAAAGAATTATTACCTATTGCTAAAGCTATTGGTGCAAACATTTTCTTTATTTTTATATCATAAATACTTTTTAGCCATCACTTCTCTTTAAATCTGGCATAAGCAATTAGTCACTTTTTATGTATAATGATGTTCTGATATGTATCTGCTGCATTATTATCTATTTCATGTGTTAATTAATAGTACATAATAGATGTAGGATTGTTAAGAACAGCAGTGGGACCCTGAGGACACCTTGCTGTGCATAATTTTTCAGGGCTTAGATCTTAAATATAATGTGATTTTTAGGATCAACTTTTAATTATCATTTTATTATAATAATTAATTGTTTTTATGGGTCACAACTCCAGCTGACTCCCAGCCTCTCGGAGAGTGTATAAATATATTACACCTTTAATCACAAAACACTTTTATGTTGAAACTGACAACTGAGTAAAATAGAACTTTGATGTTTTTACACATCAATAATATGAATAATGTCATTTAATATTTAACATATTACTATATTCAAGATGATGTATATTTCAGCACGAGAACATGGTGTATTTAACTATGCTACTATCTTTACTAACACTATGTTATGGCAAATGGCGGAGAAGTTACCAACATCTGAAGAGGAGATGATAGAACAGATTGATCTCATTACATCAAAGAAAATACAAACTTATAAAGTTGATAGATTATTGCAAGTTTTAGCGAATTATAAATGTCTTCTACCACGTAAGTTTGTCTCAGATTAATTCACACAATATTTATAAAGTTTACAATAAACTGTATGTTCTACTATTGTTACAACTTAGTCGGGAGTTCTAATTGTAAATAAAAAGCAAGTTAAAAGGTAATGCATAATTATATTCAGCCGGTATTGAATGCAAACATATGTAATATATGCCCTCTGAAGCGGTTGACAAGGTAGTCATATAATGTTATTTTCAATACATCACTTAACCTGAACATTGTTTAATAGATGTTAACAGGACAGACAATTAGGCCGTCAGTGGGGTATGTTGTGTATATGTATAAATATATTTTTGATGTTTTTATGTAGATATAGAAGATGATCGTGTAAGTAGTAATAATAAAGAAGATGATGATGATATGACATCACCATATTTTAATACAGATCTACACAGTGATAATGGTGGTGGTAGACGAGGTGCTTATGGTAAAGGAAAGGTCAGTATCTGTTGTAAGAAAAGAACTGTTTTGAAAGTGAAGGGGCCAGGATTTGTTTTTAAATAACCCTTCTATGCCTTTGTTCTTTAGTACCAAATTGGTATTTCATCGGACATGGTTATATGCCCACATTTAATGTGGATGTATATTTTAGTCACATACATTGTTAATCCGTACGTCCATCCAAAATGTCTTGTGATCAGAGTTATTAATAGATTTTTTTCAAGTTTGCCGGGAATTTATATTAGCCATAAGAAAGATTGGTATTGCAATTCATAATTTTCCAATTGTAAATCTTGATAAAATTTGGTAAAACCTAGGATTGCTAATTGCTATATTTGTGGTCAAATCATTATTTTGGAGGTTTTAAAAAAAGATAGCTAAGTAGTTAAAATACTGTAGGTTATCTGATGGTGTATAAAAAGTGAATGCTGTGCATATATATTAAATATCAAGCCGGCAAATCGTCTGGTTTGAACTATTTATAAAGTATTATATTTGGTTTAATGATTAAGTTTATAATATGGATACATGTTATTTATATTTTTAGAAAAACTTCAAGAGAAAAAGAGGAGGATACAAGAAAGCTGGTGGAGGTAAAGCAGGATATAAAAAAGCTGCTGGGTAAGCTTAAAAATACAATATTGCTAGAAAATACACTTTATATAGGTTTCTTCTCAACACAAAGAACGTCTGAAAGTACCGTAATTCACTCGTCTGTGAAGAAGATATTTCATTCATCTAAACCAGGGGTGTCAAACTCATTTTGATTCAGGGGCCATATGAAATAAAATTTTATATCAAGTGGGCCGGAGATATACAAATATATCAAGATAAAGCCTAAATTCCTTGAACTTTACTGAATTCTAAAAAGAAAGCCAAACGTCCTTGACACAGGTAATTTTCTAGATATTGCCAAGATATAATATTGAACATAAGTCCTTTTATATTACATACAATTTAGATTTCTATGACATACAGTACAGAAGTCAGAGTTTTACTGAAACCGAAAAACAATAATAAATGATTTCCACCACTAGTTTCTAAGAATTATTGACTTGTCAGTTTGTAGAAATTTGTTCCACGGGTCACGCATGTTTGACATCCCTGATCTAAACAGTAGTTAATAGATTAATCTGTATTCACTGAATACTAGTTTAAATTTATCTCAATCTCAGTAGTTAGTAAATAAATCTGTATTCAATGAGTACTAGTATAACATTTTAAACCAACTCAGTTTAGTTCATAGATTAATCTATATTCAGTTAGTACTAGTTTAGCAGTTTAAAATCAACTCAGTAGTTTGTAGATAAATCTGTATTCATTGAGTACTATTATGTATATTTCAAAGTAATTTACAATAAACTAAAATATGTTTCAAATTAAATTGAATATAATTTATTAAAGACATTTTATATTTGTATATATTTATAGTGGAGCTGGGAATAATTCCAAGTCATCATTTAGTCAGTTTAAATACAAGAAGAAAACACCGGCCAAATCTAAAACATCTGCTACAACCACAAGTCGACCGGCTGCTAATAAGAAAGCTCTTGGAATGATGCCTGTACCTCAGAACAGATCATTTATGGGTGGTGGTGGATCTTTCATGGGATGATCTCGATTGATATGTTGGCGATGAGATTATATCGGTACAAAATATAAGACCAAGACGATTGTTTTAATAAAAAATTGTTCTAAATGTTCCATGTGCCTAAAGACAACTTATTGAAGTATTTATTCTGACTATACAGAAATTTTATTTAGGGCTAACTATAGTCAGGCAAAATGGTGCAGTACGTGTGCATTTTGTGATAAAAGCATAAAATTTAGCACAAAGAAAGGTTTTGGTATAGTGTACAATATTGGATGTGGACCCTATCGAAATCTATCCCCACAATTTTGACTGGAGCAGATTTTATTTTTCTATTTACCACCTGGATTCAAAACACCTACAAAATACATAGACACACTGAAGAAATTTAATGGTTAAAATGGTGAAATATTGTTCATCATTATACCAATTTGATGCTTTTACCATATAATGCATACAATTTTTTTGAATAATTCTGTCAGGATTACTCTGATAACCAACATGAATGTCTATATTTAGTATTACATTAGCAATTATTATTTGTAGAATAGGATATGTAAATAAACTGTTAAGAATAAAGAACTCAACAGTATATGTAAATTTAATGTAAATCATTGATTGAATTTTTTCATTGTATTTTTCAACATTAGTTTTTGTCAATAGTAATCAATTCTGTCTGTTTCATCCTTTATCTCTGTACCTGTATTTTTATGTTGAATACAAGCTGTTATCTTTCTTTCTGTCTCTGTACTCTGGAAACTGTATTTCTTACATTAAATTAATTAAATTATATGTTTGGAATTATCTTTCTTTCTGTCTTTGTACTCTGGAAACAGTATTTCTTACATTAAATTAATTAAATTATATATTTGAAATTAAAAGTTTTTATTGTAGGATTTATTATTCTTCCGTATCAGAAATGTTGATTTTGATTGACTGATTGTCAGGAGCCATGATGGCTCAGTGCGTAAGGCGCTGGTTTGAAATTCTGGAGGTCCTAATGTTGGCCATGAATGTTCCTCAGGATTTCCCGATGTGGTTTCCCCTTGTCAGTGGTGCAGAACAGAGGGCCTGACAAGGACAGCTGCCTAGTCCTTTGGATGGGACAAAAAAAACGAGGTCCCGTGTACACATTGACGTGCACATAAAAGATTCCTTGACAGTTGGAATTCGATATAAGAGTAGGCCGTAGTGCCGCTGTCCGGGCAAAATTTCCCTCACAACACACTGTATGGCGTATGCCCGTCTTCATTTGCCCAGTTCGGAGCAGAACAGTAGGACGTTAAATCCCATTTCATTTCTTTTATCAAGTTAGTAATTTATTGTCCCCCGCCTTTCGAAGAAAGCAGGGGACTATTAAAATGGGTCTGTCTGTCGGTGCGTCCGTCCGTCCATCTTTCTGTCCGTCCGTCACACTTTTTGGGACACAATAACTCTCTTTCTAATTGAGCTAAAATGTTCAAACTTGGTGAAGGTGTTTATTGGGTCAATGTCTTGATAGAGTTCGAAAATGAGCATTTGCTGCTTAGGGTAAGCAGAGATCAGCAATTTGATTGGTTGATGCTTTGTGACACAATAACTTTAGTTCTAATTAAGTGAGAGTGATTAAACTTGGTGTATAGCTTCATTATATCAATACCTTGACTAAGTTCGATAATGAGCATTTTCTGCTGAGGGTAAGCAGAGCGATAAGCAATTTGATTGGCTGAGACTTTGGAACACAGTAACTCTCCTTCTAAGTGAGCAAAATGTTCAAACTTGGTGTAGGCGTTCATTAAGTGAATGCCTTGATGAAGTTCGATGATGAACATTGTCTGCTTTGGGGCACGATAATGATGTGAGAGCGATGAAACTCCGAATATAGTTTCATTATATCATTACCGTGACTAAGTTCAATGGCGAGAATTTTCTGCTTAGGCTAAGGAGCGATAAGCAATTTGACTGGTCAAGACTTTGGAACATAACAACTCTGCTTTTAAATGAGATAGAATGTTTAAACTTGATGTAAATGTTCATTAGGTGAATGTCTTGACTGAGTGCAATGATTAACATTTCGAGCTGAAGCTAAGGAGAGCTGATCAATTTCATTGGTTGATGCTCTGAGACAAGATAATCTTGATAGAGAGTGATGAAACGTAGTGTATAGTTTGATTACTCGATACTTTTGAAAAAAATAAATGTGCGATTAATTAATGTGTCATCTATTTATTTTGGGATTTCGGCAGGGGACATCAGCCTCACTGCTGGCTTGTTTAAAATAGTTTCTCTAAATCATTATGAACCTATTTATTTTGACTGTCATTGCAATTGGCTGTATTATCCAGCCAAGATAACCTTGGTTTGGACTTTAATCAGAGTAAATTATAGGACTATTGCTTGAATAGGCTAGACAAACTTGGTCGAAATGTCATGTAATCTGATTCCATAGAATTTTGTACTGTGTATTTCCAGTTCAATTACTAAATGGCACTGATGAACTGAAACAATTTAAATGGATGTGATCAAAGTTTTGAAGCTGACCAAATGCATTTATGGTCAGGGGCCAAAATTGTATTGTGCTTATTTATCAGCCGGTCCGTGAAGATGCCTAAATTTTTGTTGATCACGGAATAAAAAGGATGCTTCTATACTGATAGTTAGGGATAGATTTTAAACACCAAAACAGGTTACAAATCCTCCGGCTGGTTTACTCAGGACCTTACCCACGGTCACTTGATTTGAGTCTTCCTGCGGCAGCTACTGTAGTTACAAAATCTTTCCCCCTTTATACTGCAATGGTTCCACAAAACTACTGTTATGGTATACCCTGAATTCCCAACCTCTATCTGGGTCGAACACAAGCTGGGGTCACCTAGCACTTTTCCTTGGGTCGTTACGGACAACTCTAAAACTTGAAAAAATGCTATGTTGCTAATCAGGTTTCCTCTTGCGTCCACAATTTCTTTCCTCAGTCTTTCATTACAACATTTTGATCTGGAAAGTGAAACTAGTTTTAGGGGATACCGCTTGAATTATTCATTTTATGCTGCATTGTCATGGACCTTGGACGTAACATTTCTCTTTAATTTAAAGTAGTCACTTGTTGTGAAGGGAGATGGCTGGTCCATCACGTTGCTGGTTTCTGGAATGGGGTTGTAACCAACAAAAGTTTGGAAACGACTGTGGTATACAAAGACAGTTTATATGGAATTATTAGCAAGGGAACTTTCTTCCTATTTACACAATGATAGTACTGACCCAGCTAACGTTCCACAATATTGTTTATCATGCAAAGGAAAAATATATAATATTATTCATTATGTAAGAACATACGGATCAAATTTGATCATTTTAAATATGTCATTCTTTTCAAATCCAACATTACTTGTCTAATCTTGATATTTTTCACATCTGAATCAGCATTTTCCTCTTAAATATCTCTTTATGAAATTGATGGTAATTTTTTACTAATTTAAGATAGTATGCTGCAAAATTGCTGATTAAAAATATCTACAGAAAAATTTCTTAAGTTTAATATGTATCAAAAATAAGAATATAAATTTTGCAAAATATCAACAAATTTCTGAAATTTTCTTGAATGGAATATTATACAGTAAAAATGATCAAATTTGACCCATTTGGTATTCTATATTTCATAATCATCCATATAATTTTCCAGCAACTCTGGGCTGTAATAATCATTTAATAGCATACATCTCAACACACTTTAAATGTTTTCAGTTTTATTTCATGAAATTTTAACAAATAATTAACAATATTTGATTTCCGATAGAAATCAAATAACAAATGTTATGTTTAAAACCACTTAAAATATTATACTCTAATATGTATGTAATTCTTACGGTAAATAAAAGGCTTAACTATCAAATTAACACACAATAGTCAGCATTTAAATGTAAACATTTGGATTTTGGAATGGAAACAAACATTTCTTGAGACTTAATTAAAAATTCTATTTGAATAAAAGACAAAAGCAAAACTGTTAAAAAAATTTCTAAATGAATTTAAAATGTTATTTTCACCATAACCATTAAACTGGTGTCAAAATTTAAAGTAAAAAATATAAAAGGTGCTCACCAAACTGTAAAATATATTCTTGTAAAAAAAAAATCCAATAATAATTATGCTATATATTACCCAAAGGGCACAAACCCAGTAATTTAAAGACATTAATTTGTTGTTACAGTTCTATATTATTATAGATTCCTACGTTGCATTTACTAGGTATTTCTAAGAACAAAATACTGAATAAATTATAACAATAAGACATGTCAATATTGCTAAATTTATATAAACAAAGTTACAGAAAATACTGAATGTCCAATAAATAAACTTAACAAGGTGAAAATTTACCAAATAATATAATTATAAATGAAATGTCCAATAAATAAACTTAACAAGATGAAAATTTACCAAATAATATAATTGTAAATGAAAATGAAATAATATGTATGTAAATACAGATAAAGAAATACACTTAATATTAGACAGGAATGTTACAATTATTATTGATGTGATAAATACAGGATAGACTGGCAATGACCATCATATGACAACACATGCCAAAAGTATAAAAATAATGATAAAAATGAGATTATTTTTACAATTGTACAAAGAGTATAAAATGATATGATAATAATCACAGTAGATAAATGTAAATATTACAAACACTTTAAATGTATCAGAGAGTGGCTGTGCCAGAGGGGTGGAGTACGCCCCTTCTAACCAACGGACTAAAAAAATTAATGTAGGTAATGTGCAAATTTCTGTCTTTCTGATGGAAAATTCTCTGTGGACCTACTGGAAGTTTCTGCCGTGAACACTATAATAGGGCTTCACTAAAACACTGATGTTATGGTCACCTGAAAATACCAAGCCCTTTGGTATAAATTAAAGGCGTTTTTATCGACCACTGATTAGCCAAAGTGATTTGCATTCAATCAGATTTTCATCTCTAACGTCCATCTAATTCAAATTGGTTACCCTAATCAACAAATTTATCAACACCGATTTCCGAAGCGAAATCACTTCAGGGTGCGATTTGACAATTTGATCGGGTGATCACATGTTTTTTTCAACTGTGTCCAGCCACAACAATTGTTTACAGCTAATCGGAGCATTTAACGAACTTGCCAAAGTACTTTGAAATCGACTATACTGTCACATGAAATCTCCACTAAATTCAAATCGATTTGGCAAGTCGATAAAAAAGCCTTAAAATTCATGATACCACATTTGACAGATACTTAGCAAAAGTGTAACTCTAGCCTATGACAATGTATATTCTAGCCTTTCAGCAGTCACATCAAGATTCACAGTGAAAATTCTATTTTACTGTTGTGATTTATCCATTTACTGCATCATAATTGAAATGAATACCAAACAAATCTATTTTGGTCACAATGTTACAAAAGCTATCATTTAAAAAAAACAAAACAATGAACAATTTCTTCTATATGAAAATGCTACAACTGCTGATGGTATAAAATATCTTAAAAGGCTAAATGGTTTCAATAAATATTTACATGGATATTGCACATTCTCACTCTATGAAAATTTGAGCAAAATATACATCGCTTAATTATATATATTGAATTAAACAATTGTTTCAAAATGGATTTCTGAAATCATTTAATGGAAGTTTGGTATTAGCTTGACAATGATAGTACACGGAGGAAACACATATAGTATACAATGACAAGTCTTCCTCAGAACAATTAATGAATCACACTTTTATTGATATTTAAACACAAATAGTTGTCTGATTTAACGCAGGAATCATGGACAAGTGACACCAGAAGTTACAAACACAATAGGTTCAATCAATAAATCAGCAGAAAACCTTAAAAAATTACGAATGAACAGTTTATCCTAGCACAGTTTTAATCCTTTTTCTGCGAAATCGAATTTAAAAAAAGGATTGAATGTAGGAAATATCTGCATTTTTCTATTAGAGAGTACTGGTGTATCTATAAGATTTTTAACCTTGTATGATGTACAAGAACACAATGTTACTTGTACATTCTATTGGAATTTCATTTGGATTTGTTTTCATTTTGGATAGACTTGAATCGGCATCAGATTGACTTTGATCACTGTATGTGTAGAGTCATACAATATATATTGATTATATTGTCTATTATAAAATAATTGCTCAAACGCCTCTAGCTACCCTATATTATATATTTCAAGATGCAGATATTTCAAATATATATTTATAAACAAAAAAAAATATTTACTACGAATAGCTAAAAATGATGTTATCAAAACTTAAATGGCCATTTCAAAATAATACTGTTCTCATGCTGAATTGTACAAATGAATGATTAAATTTGATTCCTTTTAATCGGCTAAAAGCATTTGTCAATATTGTACAATAAATGATGAAAAGACAAATGCAATAACTAATCTTATCTTCGGATTTAAAATTTGAACACATTTAACTTTCCATGAGAATCAGATTAATTTGAACGACTATGAGTGAAAAATAATATAACTGAGATAAAAGATGGTTTAAACATAAACTGTATTATAAAATCAAAGAACAGACATTTAGTCAGAGTATTATAAAGGCACTAAACAAAACAGCCAAAAATAATGACCACTTATATTTATCAAACAAATCTATCTCCTCCGTATGGAATGAAGCTTTCTCTGTCTGGTCCTTCATATCACAGACAACAATTCACTGTATGCTTGAAATTCATATCTCCATCAGAACTCCACTCACATACCAATTAAAGTCAATATGAACAATAAAGTACAGATTTCCTCTATGCTCGCTTTTTCTTTGAAACTTGGATAGCCGACATGTCTGGTCGCAAATCTCTATATTGAATCTGAAATGAAAAGTATTCAGTACTAAGTATGAATAATTACAAATAACCATGCAAATATAGTGCTCTAGTCTAAATAATAGGAATTTGAAAATAAATATTTTTTTTATTATTAATTTTTATGAGGAAACTGACCATATAGGCAACAGGAAATCCCGCTAAAATTAATTTGAATTATCATCTTACCAATTCACTATCAGATGGAACACGTGACAAGAAATCTAATAACTCATTGTTAGGTATTGCATCAGGTTTTCTTAGTTTCTTTGTAAACTTATTAATACCTATAATAAATTAATTGTAAAGCATATATGTGATACATTTTTCAGAACACAGAATCTGTTCTTTTTCTATAAGACGAAGCAATTAAACAACCTTGATTATTCTCTGCCAAATAATAAAACTGATCTCTCAATAGTTTAAACTGCGACCTATGGGATTAACATGACATCATTATCTACGAAAGCCAGGAATTGTTGCATAAGATGTTTATAAAAAAAATATTACACATTTAAGTTGATATGGCTATACATACAACAATTTGAGCTTTGTTCTGATCCCTATCTAAGGGAATGAAAAGATAATTACTTTATTCATACATCATTAACAAAATAGATAGCAGAAGAATTTTATACTGATGATTACTATTCATGTGTGCTTCAGATGTTTCATAGATATTGGATTGTTTAATAATTGTTGAAAATATACTGGATTCAACAGTTATGATTTAGAACTCACCCCATGCTATTAAAAGAAATCTAATTGGTATATAATATAGAACCAAACCACCAACCATTAATACAACAACAGCTAATGCTGATAACCAGGGTACAGTCCAGTTAAACGTACTGTAAAAACAAATTGATTTATTACGAAAAATAACCAACAAGTGGAAAAGCTTTTACAATCTCAGCCAATAACAGTAAAATAAACTAAGTTAGCCGTGATTGCCCACCCAATACTTTATCAGTGAGGGAAAATACACATCAGATTGAAGCACTTAAAGTAGCTACATCTTCAATTCAATATCATCAACAGTCTTTGACATTTAAAAACACCAATTATTTGTCAATTAAAATCAACATTGATGTTTTGATCTCACCGGCAAAAGATGGGCTTCTGATATCCAATATTTAAGACAAAATAAACATTTCACCATTGATACACAAATCGTTTACCAGAATGCATTTCAGTGCCATTTGTAACAAGGGACTCGAAGAACGAGGCTCGACATATTCCACAAGTCATGTCAAACGGTGACACCATATTCGTATCTGGAGAGCATGCGTAATAAATACTACCAATGTAGAATGGAATAACCAGATGCTAGAGATTGCCATTCGATTGAGACTTATCGCGTATTTTGCCAAAAATAACTGATTTGAAATTAAAGTAAAAATGGAAACGATTGAATGTAAATCAGTTTATATACATTCATATCAGATGACTTAAAATCCCACATTTATATCATTTAAACATACATGATAATGGAGGGTTAATATGACACAATATAAACCATGGATAGTCGACCTAGGATAAGCTTTTTAGAACTTACTTCTTAACTCTTTCACCCATGGAAGCCACCATATCCATTCCTTGTTGAACTTGTAGACATACTTCTTGTATAGCTTGCAATTTCTCTTTAAAACTTTTCTTCTCTTCCTAAAAATCAATCATAAATATGAGAATGTAGTTGTTATAAAACATTAGGCCAATCTAATTAACATTAGATCTTTACTTTATTTTGCATAATTCTTATTTCACTGTATTCAAAGTGACATAAAAGAATGTTTTTCTCTTGCTCGAGTTGTGAATAGCCATCATTTTTATATTGAAAAACACATCCAACAGTTCCATAAATAAATATTCTTTGCAATCTTCTTTTCTGTTCTTTTCAAAAGCCTGAAGCACATAGTTTTTTATATATATAGTACTACATGTAGATAGTGAATATACATGAAACAGTTATTTAGAATGTATATTAAATAAGGCCACACCAATCTGACATTTAGTTCTTTAGGATTTTGAGTTAAAAAAAAAAATAAATAAAAAAAAAATTAGCAAGATGGTGAAACTATTTTTAAATAAGAAATTAACCTTCTGAACTTAAAAGGGTACACCGGGAGGAGCAAGTGTTGAGTTCACCTTTATGTATTTAAAAAACAAAACAAACCCAAGTTTTAAGAATAATCATTGATCAAGATGTTGTAATGTACGTTGTGCTAAATCTATTTTCTAGTTTATCAACAGTCATGGCAGGTGGCTTGTGATGAAGCTTGGTAAATCAGTAATACCCACTGAACTTTTGAAATATCTTAGGCACAGAATAGCCTACCCACTTAATTTGAATTTTTCAACAAAGAAGTTGGATAGTCTTCCTAAATGTTCTTTTCAAAATCTACTTCATCAGGTGGCCACCCATCCTCAAATTTAGAATGATCAAATGTATTGTTTTTGTTTGCTATTGGTTTCTGGGGTAAAGCATAATTTTAGATCTCCTTAGATTTGTTTTCGGTTTCCTTGAAATTATGGGTTCCAAGTCGGCAATATATGCCAGACAAGACTGCTGGCGTTAAAATTTGACTGGAAGATCACAGGACCAAAACTAAGATATTTCCCAAAACTGGTAACTCATGGCTACAACTGACCAGTGCTAAGTAATTAATAAAACTCAATGGCCTGTACAGATTAGTGCACTCATATAGAAGCCATGTTGGTTCATGATCAGTTGTTATAGAATAGTATTAAGTGGTTTGTTTATAATTAATGAAAAATGTCTCATATTAGTACAATAAACATTAATTGTAAGGTGAGAATCATATTGATGAAATTTTGGGGAAAAAGGGCAATCAGATACAAATTTTAAAGTACTGTTTGTCAATTTCAGCTAATTATCGTATAAAAAACCCACAGAAATTAAGTAAATCTTCACAAAAATCAAAACCATGTCTGGGAATTTCAATAAACTAAAAATCAAATTGGTGTGGTCTGAAATTAAAAGCAAAGCAAGTCCACCATTAAATATGAGACTAATCAAATCAATAACCAATTAAAAACCACCTAGTAAAGTATAAGACAGAATTATGATAGCTTCCAATAATATTTTTCTCTATGACCGTATATCAGTCTTACAATAACAAAGGAACACTACTATCAACAATTGGAACAGTCTTACAACTTAATTGTCAAAGAGAGTGAGAAACACAAACAGACTTAATTGGGCAGAGTTAAGTAGAACCAAGCTATATGGTCAAAATATTGCCAGCTTTAATTAACATGAAATCAGGGACTGAAGTATTTAACCATTTGTTATTTCTTTTCTTAAATGCTTTCAAAAATATACACAGATTTTTGTTAATTAGTATTTAAATTCTTGATGAATACTCAAAACACAAGTAAGAGCATGGAAACAATTTACACATACAAAACAGAATTTAATGTTCTCCGATAACATTTACATTAGTATTAATTTTCTCTTCACTCTCTAATCTACGTACCGTAATAGCTATGAATTCTTTCAGTATCAGGATTTATGACTAAGGCCAAAGCTGACAAGGTAGGGATAGTCACTGTTCAGAAAAGGTATGTTAATCCATTTAAAAACTTGTTTTTCTAACTACATGTATAAGAAACACAAATTTGTATTAGGTGCAAACATTAACCAGCGGCTGCCAGGCAGGATACGCCCACATTTTCGAGAGATGGATAGAGAACAAGCTAAAAAGAAAGTGATTTTTCCTACAATCAAGGGCCATAATTCAAGAAATTACAATTCGATATGCGCAAATATCGAAAGGAACCGAGATCTTTGTGTTATAAACTTACAAATAAAAATTGTGACCTCTATAGGGTCCACAACCTTGATATACCATATTTTTAGGCTATTTGAGAACGAAGGGCGGCCATTTTGTCTGTCAGTTTTAAGCCGATTTTCACGAAATTCGAACTCTGCCGTCCTTAGGGTGTAACGGTGATATAATAATACGTTTTTTTAAATCAGATAAAAATTATGACCTCTATAGAGTCCACAAGCTAAAACCGCGATTTTTAGTACAGTCAGGGGCCATAATTCAGGAAGTTACGGTCCGATATGCGCTAATACCAAAAGGAACCGAGATCTTTGGGTTATAAACTTACATTTCAAGTTTCAACAAATTCGGATAAAAATTGTAACCTCTATAGGGTCCACAACCTTGATATACCATATTTTACGCTATTTGAGAACGAACGGCGGCCATTTTGTCTTGTCAATTTTGGGCCGATTTTCACGAAATTCGAACTCAGCCATCCTTAGTTTGTAAGGGTGATATAATAATACGTTTTTTTAAATCGGATAAAAATTATGACCTCTATAGGGTCCACAATCTAAAAATGCGATTTTTCGTACAATCAGGGGCCATAATTCAGGAAGTTATGGTCCGATATGTGCGAATATCGAAAGGAACCAAGATCTTTGGGTTATAAACTTACATTTCAGGTTTCAACAAAATTGGATAATAATTGTGACCTCTATAGGGTCCACAAGCTAAAACATGATTTTTCGTACAATCAGGTGCCATTATCCATCAAGTTTTGAACCGATACATGCCAATATCAAAAGCAGCCAAGATCTTTTGGAGATAAAACTATATTTCAAGTTTCGTCAAAATCGGATAAGAATTGTGACCTGTAGAGAATCCACAAACAATTGTGGACGGATGGACGGACAGGGGCGACAGCATAATACATCCACAAGAAAATGTGGGCGTGTAAAAACTGTGCTAAATTAAAACTAAAACAAGACATAACAGTCTTTTAGATTATAGACACCATCACCAAAAAATACCTTGCTTTCAGTGGGCTAATAACATAAAACACAATAATACATATATTACTTCATGTATACAATATAAAATCAATTAGCTTAAAAAAATCAACTCTTTTGCCCTACGGACTACAAAATCTGAATTATGGTCAAGTTTTGCAATTGGAGGCATCAATTAAGGGTAACATGGCCATATATATGTCAGAAATCCTTGAGTGGTATTTAGCAATTGAGCACAAATTTATACGTAAATCAATCACAGAATTGTAACACATACAACACTGACAAACCAGTGATAGTATTCCATATAAATTGTTTTGTTTTGTTTTTTTAAAAATATATATGTCGAAATTGACAGAATGAAACCAAAGAGGCCAAATTTCATTTCTCAAAACATCCTACAAATCACTTACATTTAAATTTTCTCTATTCTTTAGGAAATATATTTGATCATAATTTCACCTTTTCAGAAATTTAGAATTTTTGTTAAGGTGAAGAAACATTGATAAATAAACCAAATAAGACATTTAACACTTGTAGTATTTAGTGGTAATTTTTATAGTTTTACAGATAAACTGATCATCATACATGTAATATTGGTAATTCTCATTAAACATACATTATGCAAGAGCTAAATCTGCCTATTGCAGGTCTTTCTTTAGGCCTGAAATGTTTTCTAAATTATTAATTTGACATTAATTAACTTATCCAGGCCATAATTAACTCTCGATGGCATCGGATTTCTCCGATATTAAATAGATTAGAACAGTTCAGCGAGATTTGGATTTAAGCTAAAAATGATGGAGCGAGACTTAGCTTCGAACAACCATTACGGTGGTTGAAATTATTGTTGCACACGTCTTGTCAAACCTTCAACGTTTAATATCTTCGCTCGCAATAGAGTAATTTGAATGAAATTTTCAAATTTTTCATTTTACATTATCTATTTTCGAACTATTATAGCAAGAATGGCTAGCTCTTAATCTAAATCTTACATAATGTATTTTAACAAAATGGAATTAAATGTGACATAAAATAACATAATGGTATACAATGTAATTTACAAGTCTCACAAAATGCAGTAAACTATGTGTATTGCTCTCTCCTTTATCAAACTTTTACATATTGCTCTCTCCTTTATCAAACTTTTACATATTGCTTATTTAGAAGAACCTGAAAATCAACTGCCTGGCAGTCAACACCACAATTCCCTTATCAACAAAAACCAGCGGCTGCCCGGCAGATGTGCCCACGTTTTGCAAGAGATGGATAGAGAAGAAGCTAAACAAAAAGAGATTTTTCATACAATCAAGGGCCATAATTCAGGAAGTTACGATCCGATATGCACGAGTATCAAAAGAAACCAAGATCTTTGTGATATAAAGTTATATATGAAGCTTTATGAAAATCGGATCTAAATTGAGTCCTCTAGAAGGTCCACAACCTTGATATACCATATATTTACACTATTAACCTACAAGGGGCGGCCATTTTGTAGGGCAGTTTTGGTCTGATTTTCACAAACTTTGAACTCAACCAACGTTACGATGTGATGGTGATATATTCGAACGTTTTTTCAAATCAGATGAAAATTGTGACCTGTAGAGTGTCCACAAGCTAAAAACATGGTTTTTCATACAATCAGGGGGCATAATCCATGAAGTTATGGTCCGATTTATGCCAATATCTAAAGGAACAGAGATCTTTGGGAGATAGACCTATATTTTAAGTTTCGAATAATAATTGTGACCTGTAGAGTGTCCACAAATTGTGGACGTACGGACGAACAGAGGCAATGACAATATACATCCACATGAAAATTTGGGCGTATAAAAAATAATATAATAATCTTGGATCAATTAAATTCTATTCAGTATATTTGGGTTTTATTTTACACTAATTTTGGGAACCCGGTATTGAGTGCCGAAGTCATGAGAAATTTTAGGTGACCAATGGGGTCTTCCCATGCTCTCTTGAATTGTTTTTTTTTTTAAAGCCAGTTAAAGTGTACGATTTGATGCAGATTATGAGTGAAAATATTTCGTTATTTGCTGATTTTGCTTGTATTTGAAGCATTTTTATTTGGTAGAATATATTTCAGGTCGACCCTCTACCGGTCCAAAAACAATGTAAAACAAGCCACTACATACAGCTTATATAGGAGCATGTATTAAGAAACCAAATTAACTATCACCCAAATAGAAATAAGGGATACATTTATCAATACAACCATAACCTTAATAAAGTACAAGGTAAAATTTTATAATTTATACATATACTCAAATATACAGTGTACAGTGAGCACAGTTAGTATTTGAGTACACTAGGTCATCCAGTACCTCTGATGATTATTGAAACTGGAATCATCCACAGAATATGAGTCTATTGATCAGGACTATACAAGAAACAGATTACTGACACTTATTTGAACTTAAGGTACATGGCTTGGTAAATTCACTAGTTTTGGGAAAGAGGGAGGGGGCTAATTCTAATCTGGAACATTATAATTATAATAATATAGAGTAGGCCTAGCAAGCATGTCGGCACTCAATTTTTAAGTATTCCAAAATACATGGCGAAAATCAGCTACTTGATATTAAAACTTCAAAGATGTCAGATCTGCATAAACGGAAATACTCAAATTGTGTATGTATGTTTAAAATTTGTGCTTTTTTTTGTCTACAATTATGTTTTATTCATAGCTGATGTAAAGACCCACTTAATACTTGTATTAACATAACACAAAAACCGATAAAAGATTTTCATTAAAAAAAGCAAAAAATATAAATTATAAATTCAAAAGTTAAAGGAGCTAAATCGCTAATATTTGGGACCTAGAAATTGACCCAAATGGGTCGCAACGCATATAATAATGTAATCTGATTGTATATGAACTGATTTACATTCAATTGTTTCCGTTTTGACTATTTCAAATCAGTTATGTCCAGCGAAATACGGCCTGTGTCTCAACCCTATAGCAATTTCTAGCGTCTGGTTATTCCAGTCTATTGAGCAGGTTCTCCAGTTGAATATGTCTAGCCTCGTTCTTTCTGGTCACTTGTTGCAAATGACGTTAAAACGCACTATGGTACACGATTCGTGTACCAATGGTAAAATGTTTATTCTGTCTTAAATATTGGATATCAGAAGCCTGTCTTTTCCTGGTAAGATCACAAGATCAATGTTGATTTGAATTGACAAATAATTCGTATTTTCAACGTGTATGACTTCGAATGATATTGACTTAGAGACTTAGCTACTTTAAATTATATTAAATCAAATATTCAAACAAAAAATCAAAATTTATTTTTTTTAATATGGAAAAAGTTATCAGTATGTTCAAAATTTACCTTTTTCTGATTCGGTAAATAAAAAATAAAATAGAAATGTTTTGAAATAATAATATATCTTAATTATATATAAAGATAGTGCAACAGAATACATATCATCATGATCAAGTTTAGGGCGGTTAACGTGTGCGCATTGCATCATAAGATTTGTCACTGAGTCAAATGACACGGTTCCAATACCCCGCATGTAGTGACAAAGAGTAGTCCTCTGGTTTCCTCCCAATGCTAAAGATTCTATGAGCAACTGAATCATATGTTAAACCAAAAGTGACCTAGTTTGTGTTGAGTGGAGGTTAAACCCTCTCCCTCTATCTCTCTCTTCAAGTTTTTTGAACTGAAATCTTTTTAACCACCCCACCCTTTCGATTCAGGACCCTTCCTCATCATAACCCTTCTGGTATGGTTGTTAAATTACAGCAGCATCTGATCAGATTGAATTCCAAGATAGTGTAGCTAAACATTTGTTTTCAGCTTGTGTCTGTTAAAAAAGTGTCAATGGATTCAAACTTATCCTAATTCAAGAGCAAAGCGATTACAATGTATAATCTGTATATTGAAAGTTTGCTGAGCCATAGATTAAATCATAAATAAATTTCTATCACTTACCTTATCTTGTGTTTCATCGTCATCATCATCATCTTCATCTACATAATCCTGTAATAAAAATACTGACCATCTATACATTGTCCATATCAGAAGTTAAAAACTTTTAAAGATCGAAAGCACTCTAGATCACAATCTGTTAATGTCCTTATAAATAGTCATTCCAATAGTCAAATAGACCTATTATATCAGAGAATTAGAGAAGTTGATTTAGATCACATAACCCTTCAATTTAAAAATGAATTAAACTAGGGATGGGATTCCGCCCGTATATTCCTGACTTGTCCGTCGCTATTTTCCAAACACCCAAAATTGTCTGACTGGGAATATACCCAATCGGACATCAAGACATGGTGAATAATATTCAAAATTCCAAAATTAATATAGTGTATTGAGTGTATAACTACCACTCAAATTGTTAAGCCCATTATTGAGTAAGTTTTCACTGCCATTACAGATTTCATACACTATATAAAATTGACAAACATCTCATTTTGATTTATCCCCCCCACCCCTCTGGAAAAGAAAGCATTTTCATTCCGATCTAAGCTTATCACAACAACATAGAGTTAATACTTACATCTTCAATTGGTTGGTTTTTAAATGCACCAAGGATTTGAGCAATAATAAGGTTCTTTAGAAATACGATTAATAAAGTTATAGGTAACATATACGGTTCAAATATCCACACAACCACTAAATATACCTGTAATATATCATATAACTGATTACCATAAATATACCTGTAACACATTATATAAATGAACTATAACACATACTTATGGAAGAACAATTACTGATTTATTTGGGCGACGTCGCCCAAATAAATCAGTAATTGTTCTTCCATAAGTATGTGTTATAGTTTATTGCTCTATCCAGTTACTAAATGCCTCTAAAAGATCATTATATAAATGATTACCATCAATATAATATCATATAATAACTAATTACTATAAATATAAAAAAGCATGACAACACAATGGGGAAAAAGGGGATTAACATTCTGTTTTGATACATATATCTATAACTTGGAAGCAAGTTTAATAGCAAGAGATTTTAGATAAGAATTAAAGATGCCATTATGTAAAACTTAGATAAAGAGATGGTCTTTCTGGCTATAATAGTTTAAAAATCTATATAATATAAACATGGTCTGATTAAAAATGGCAGTAAAAAAATCCTTACTATAAATGCAATAATACTTCTAGGTTTTGATTCCCAATCAAAACAACTCTGTAAAAATTTACCCCCTTCAACAAAACCAGCAGCTACTTGGGAAACTCTGTCAATATTACGTTTCATTATCTGAAAAAATAAAAACCAAAATATATACAATAAAATGTCAAAATACATCATGAATTCATATCTCTAATAGATATTAGAGTCAAACTATTAATTCAATTGCGACTTTGAGAGTGAAGATAGCTGAATTAATTTCAATCAAATTGGTGTGAACTTGCCATAAAGTGGATATAGTAACCATTGGCTACACCTACCGGAAATTTTCCTTGTCCATCTTATGTGCACTTTAAACTTTTGTGACAGTAATCTAGACATTGCTGACAAACATCTCTATAAACTATACAAATATCTTTATCTTTTGTGTCAATTATACAAACGCTGACAGACAACTCTATACAACTTACTGATATTTTAAACTTTTGTTCTCCTTGCATATATTTCTCTTCTCTAGGATTTACAGTTCTTATAGCGGCTTTAACCTACAAATATATACAAATAACTTCAATAAACACATATGCTGAATACTTTTTGGACCAGAACTTTTATTGTGTATTGTGGAGAACTGTACCCTGAAAGTGCCCCTTCTATTATTTATACTACTGGTGAACCATTAGTGTTAAAATCAACAACATGAATGATCAAGAAAGGTTACAGAAATTAAATCACAAGAAATGACAATAAAGACTAGACTCACATGATTAAAGACAAAATCCATCTCTAACATTATAGCACCTTTTGTTTTATGTAAGAGTTTTTTATCTTTTAAAGCATACCATCTTCTTTCACCAAGTTTTATCTGGAAATCATTAAATTCAAACATTGAACTTTATTACTGATACTATGATAAAGATGATGATGATGATACAATATATAACATCGGTGTCATGGTTTACAAAAGTTGTGAACTGATTGAATAATGCACATCTTATGGATATGACAATAATATTCTTGCAGTTTGCTTGTTTATAAAACCTGCGAAGAGTACTTTTGAAGTACATGCCATAATTCTTATCAAATTTTAAGTAGGGTACACCTTTATAATATACAGTAAATCACTTCGAAAATTTTTTTAGCTTCACTTTTGTATCATGATCAACTATTGTTGTACTTTTGTATCATGATCAACTATTGTTGTACTTTTGTATTATGATCAACTTTTACTACAGTAAAATGTAGGATGGGATACTAAACTAATTACAAAATTTGACTTTACTTTACAAATTTCCACCATTTGCATGTAAATATATTGATAAATCCATAATAATCATATTATGGTACATTTTTTAGAAATAGAAAAGACCCGAAGACATTATTGTATTATTTAAACATCATTCTTGTATGAATATCAATTTTATTCATTTTCAGTTTTCTGGTTAATATAAAAAAAAAATAAGACAAATTTTTACTTTAAAGAGGAAAATCGGAATACATGAGATTAAATAAAGACTATATACATAAAGATGACTATAAATTGTTTGACTTAGCTTACCTTGAGTAGAGGAATTGACAGTTTCCCTAGAAACTCCACCTTTTTGTCTCTGTCTTCATCATATACAGTAATATCTAATATAGAATGAATATCTTTGACATTACTGAAATAAAAGTAGTAATATTAAACACAGAAAAATACATGTAACTGATTTCATTTATGGCAAGGTTTGTGGGCTTTCGTATGGAGGTTTTCGCCAAAATGGGTTTTCAATGCTGATTTGAATGTTTCGACAGATCTGTCTAATTTTAATTGGTAATTGATTCCAGAGATATGGTGTTGCAAATGCAAAAGATCTTTCGAGAAGTTCGAGCTGTATGGAGGTGTGACAATAAGGTTTTTTTAAGACTTTATATCCAGATATATATACACAGAGTGAAAATACAGATTAATAAACATAAATAATATTCTCAGCCCACTCTCCTTTTGGTTATATAATATTTTATTTGTTTTCTTGTGGAATAAGATCGAAGTTGAAGGTTTGCTACTTACAATGTAAACACCTTGTTCCAATCAGGGTTTAATGTTTTGTATTCTGTTTGAGTCTGAAGTCGACTGTTAACTAATTCTAACACACAAAAAGGATCACTCAATCCACCAAAATCTGCTGCCTTTAAACCATTTGCTTTAAACACTGCGAAATTTTTTTTAATGCATCATTATTGTTTAACCATTCTTAATAATTCATTTGCATAAAACGTCCACTGGAGCATAATACAATTACATAAATCACATTAGTTCCAATACGAAAATCTTTCTTTATAAGAAATATATGATTCTTCAACTAAGATTTTTTCTACATAAATGACCCTTTTTATCTGTAGTTAATTTTTCAGTGAATAAGTGTATATTGTAATGAATCTTTGTCTGATTTTGTTAAGAACAATTGACTAAAGCATCAAATAATAAAACAACCAGCATATATAAATACATACCTTTGACTTGAAGCCAACCAACATCTTTTATATCATTGAAAGACTTTGCTAATCCCTGTAAACACAATTAACATTGAATAATTAATTAGAGCAAGTACAATAATTATTTAACCACGTTTTACTTCCTGCAATATTCTTAGCATAAACACCGAAAACCTTACAGTCCTTGAAAAAAAGATCCTCTTAAACTTGATATTTATTAGAAAATTTCCTGTGTTTGTCTTTAGAATAATTCAATGCCCCCAAAATTAAGTATTAGTAATCATTGGTACATAGAACCCTTTAAGAGTCTGATGCACAAACTCACATCTACTTGCCTTAATGTATTTATTACAGGTTCCCAATCTAATGTCAATCAGTAATAGACAATGGTAAATAAGCGACAAATAGGAATATTCCATGGAAGATTAACACAAGATGAATAATAATAACAAACTTACATAATGCCTGAGTAATTCTTCTCTTTCTTTAGGATTAGGTGTATAGTTAGATAGATCTGTGATAGTTTCATTACCAGCTGTACCACTGATAGTTAATAATAGTTTAATAATACCAGCACCATCTTCTAAAGGTGTTTCTAGTGTATGTGTTTTTTCCCTATCTAATGATGCTAAATCAATCATAGCTCTGTAAACCACAAAATAAATGATATTAATTACAGATTTTTAAGTCAAATGAAGAAAAAAAGAGTTTTTGACGTTTGGGAAAAATGGCATCCATGGCCGTACCCCTCATGGCAACATCCTATATTTAGAACTGAAATGAGGTATACCATCCTACTTTCTGCACCAACCAGGCTAATAAAGATGGGCATATGCTACATATACTATGGGAAAAATTTCGCATACTCTTCATCGAATTATAGACCTAAAGCCAGGAACCTCACAAGTCTATGCGGCGCCCCAGGGCAAAAGTTTCAGTGACGCCCCCACTCCCCTTGCATACTGTAACTGCTTCCTCTCAGTTGATTTTTTATGATTGAAGAAATTTTAAAATACCATTTTTTTTATACTTTTAACACTATATCTAAATAACTATTTATTAAATCAACTTATATGTAAAATTTCCCCTTCAACTCTCCATTTGATTGAGAAACCCTAATCATAATTCTACCCTATATATTTTTTTAAATATGAACTGGTTTATACTGGCTTAAGGGAAGCGAAGGCCGGTGATTTGATATCTCAGCCTCAAAGGAGCCTAGTCAATTCCCCCTTTGAATATTTCAGGCATGCACTTAGATAATTTGCCACCACTGGGCCTATCTTATGCCCCCCTCATTCACCCAACCCCCCCTCCCCAATGTGAGGGCCCTGCTTATAGCTGATAATGTTGGAGACTGTCTCATGTTACAAAAAATATCATTTAGATAACAATATCAATCATCCTATTTTACTAAATTGAAAACTTTTTTTTTTATATCTTTTTTCAAGCTCATAATTCTTAAATAAACAGAATACAGTAGGGGTTATACATCATGAAGCATGATGAAGTCAAACAGTGTTGAATATGTGTGGGATAACATTATTATTCACAACCCCTAGATGGACACTAAGATTCCATATTACCCATGGAACTTCTATGGAATTCCAGTCATCCACTGTAGGAGAAAATAATTTTTCGTGATATTTGCTGTGGTGTATAAATTCAGCATAACATAACCAGCAGTTGCCAGGCAAGATACACCCACAATTTGCAAAGAGATGGATAGAGAACAAACTAAAAACGAAAGCAATTTTTAGTACAATCAGGGGCCATAATCCAGAAAGTTATGGTCGAAAGGGACTGATATCTTTGGGACATAAACCTATATTTTAAGTTCCATCAAAATCGGATAAAAATTGTGACCTCTAGCGGGATCCACAGACTTCGTATTACATACTTTTACACAATATGCATACAAAGAGCGGCCATTTCATCAGGCAGTTTTGTTATCGATTTTCTTGAAATTCGAATTCACCCTTTATTATGGTGGATTGGTGATATATTTAAACGGTTTTCAAAATTGGATAAAAAATAGTGACCTCTAGAGAATCCACAAGCTAAAAAACACGATTTTTCGTACAATCAGTCGCCATAATCCAGGAAGTTACAGTCTGATATGCGGAAATAGCGGAAAGAACCGAGATCTTTGGGACATAAACATACACTTTAAGTTTTTCATCAAAATCTGATAACAATTGCAACTTCTAGAGGGTCCACAACCTTGATATGATATACACTATTTGCGTACAAGGAGCAATGACTGGCATATGACAAGAGGCAAAGATAGGGTTACTAGATTAATCATTGAAGAAACCGGGACATTTAATATTCTGAGCAGACTAAAGCTAAATTCGGCACCGAGCGCCCACAGGGCGCAATACATTGAGCGCCGGAGGCGCGAACTTACTAGGGGGGGTTGGGGGCATGCCCCCCCAGAAATTTTTTCATTTCTAGAAGCCAGGAGATGCGTTTTCAGCAGTTTTGTGACGGTGTTTACACTAAAAATATATGTTGTTGAATGGGTTATTGACGGGCATTATTTCGATTGTCACATGTTATCAATATTTGTAATTTTGCCATGATATCCATACCTGTTTTTGTATGTTTTTTGTTGTTTTCTTGGAACGTACATTTTTTGAAGATCTCATTGAAAACTACACATACAACGTTTATATTTCACAAGCAATGAGTTCTTGAATTTGTGACCAGTATTCAAATTAACACTGATTGGCAGGTGGGCAGTGCTCCTATGGTAATTTTTCTTTGATATAGACGTCAACAATTTGACAATCGTACAATTTGAAATAATAAAATTTGGTAAATAAATACGATTTTAATCGCTAAGTAATAAGAGGAATTATAGATGAAATACAATAAAAATCATATTATTGTCTACAAGATAACATTTGGTTATTAAAGGGTCTCCTATTTTAGTCATACGTTTTCGTTTGGTATGACGCGCGCATTTCACATAAATTTATTTTTTGTTCAACTAACTGTTATATTTCGCAAAATTATACCCAAGATTATACGTCAATTTCTATAAAGCCAATCGCATTGTAATTCCAGTTTTAGGCCTGTATTATGCACATTCGGCACACCTTGGTTATTCCTAAGAAACCCGAGGAATGCCGAATGTATTGTGCACTGAACTATATTTAGATCAGAAGTGGTGTGCTGTCGTGCTGAAGTAAGAGTGTTTGTAGCAAACGCTGTTTTTATACATTATAATCACTTGGAAAACACCTGATTTGAAAACCGGGACATTTAGGCACGTGAGAAGCCTCGGGACGGGACGACAAAAAGGACCCCAAAAAACGGGACGTATGGTAACCCTAGGCAAAGAAGGCTAGGCGTTGGGTTTGTTTTGCCAAATTTAGATACTAAATATTAACTAAATCACCTAATGAATGCCTACACAAAGTTTGGAACTTCTACCTCAATTAGAAGGAGAGTTACAGTGTTCCAAAGTCTCGACCAATCAAATTGCTTATCACTCTGCTTACCCTGAGCAAAAAGTGCTCATTATCGAACTTAATCAAGGTATTGATGTGATAAAACTATACACCAAGTGTCCTCACTCTCACTAAATTAGAACTAAAGTTATCGTGTCCCAAAGCATCAACCAATGAATGCATAATGTGGACGTATAAAAAGCTAAATATTCTGCTATTCAGAATCGTCAACAATAGATTTTTTACGGCTGTAATAAAAGTGTAATAGATGATAGATGTGTAGAGAATTTCACAAGGCGATGGCTATTTATAGACTCTAGACTCTTGTGCTGAGTATTATCTCAGCGCGTGACTAGCCAGAAATCACTTTGAGACAAGCCACTGAAGCGTGGCCATCCGCAGTGTCGAGTTTAACTTTCAGTAGGGAAAAGTGTCCACAAACAAATTGTGGATGAACGGATGGGGTGACAACACAATACGTCCACATGAAAATGTGGGCGTATAAAAAGTCTTAACAACAAATCCAACTGAATAATATTTATATCATAAATTTAAAACTAATGAAGTGAATTTACCGGCCCATGAAGTCATCTTTACCAGTAACATCATGATCAAATATGGTGATTTCTAATTGACTAGTTTGATCATCAAACATTCTCAGATCAAATTGTTCTAACCAGGACGGATTTAATGTTTTACTTTTAAACTGAAACAAATAATAATTTGTTAAAATTTACAGTAGGACTTGACTACTATTATTCATGCATTCTTTTGAAACATACCAATTCTTCCAGACAATGTTATAAGATACAGAAGCCATAATTACTATTGTTATATCATAAACCTACAAATTGAATTTGAAGTATAATATCCGATTATATGACTCCTGAGGCTTATGAAGAACAGTGTAAAATAACTTCAATCAACTAATTTAATTTTGCTTAATTGTATTGACGGCAAATAAATCTGCAGGGAGTAATCTAAACTATTTGATAAATGACTTCCAGCTTTAATGTCTCTTATGTATAGGAGATTGGCAGATTTTCAATATCTAAGACTTATTTCATATACTTCCAAAGTTGACCTTTACAACGACCACTATCAATCAATATTTTGATGGTTTATTGACAATTATATATACAACAAATATTTTATTGCATTCCCTGTTACATAATTTATAATCAGTACTAACTGCTTTGTGTAATATTTTAAACCAAGATAAACAACTGATATTCAAAGAATCTGATGATGCTTGAGAGCGGGAGAGAGATTGGGGCGTAACATACACTCGACACAACTAGGTCATTTTAGGATTACACAAATTGTTCAATTTTATTTTGTGTGCACGTGGGGATCTTTAGTAGTGGGAAGAAGAAGCTGGAGATCCCGGAGAAAATCCACGAGGTTGGATAGGCAAAACTACTTCTCTTGTCACATAAAAGCATGGACTCAAAACCATGCCACTTGACTCAATGACAGACCTTACGATCTAAAGCATGCACGTTAAACAATTTGGTCACCCAACCCTCATGTTTGAGAGCAGCACAGATGCCAAGATTCATCTATATATATGTATCAATGTCATTACTCTGCAGTCAAAGTTGACAGAACTTTATTCTGGATGATTTGCACATGAATGCTGCAATGGAAATCCTGAAAAGAATTACGGTACCAAACATTCTGTTTTTCGAAATGTTAGCATTTTTGCATTAGGAAAGTCTCTGAAATCTCTGTTCCTTTGAAGGAGAGTGGTCCATTATTCTAGAAGAAAAATAAATATCAAAAATCTATAATGGATGAAATGAAAATTAAGCTGAATAAAATCATGACTATACCTTGCTTTTGTATTTTTCATTTCCTAATCGGAATTTAACATAAGGATCACTTAAACCATTGTCATCCATAGGGACTAAATTTTTACCACCTACTAATACAATCGTCACCACACTATTCCAGATCTGACTTTTTAATTTCTTGGATGAATCTGACATCTTTAAACTTTTTCGGAAGAACTGAAAAATATAAGCATGGGTAATCTGTAATTCTAAAGGAAATTGTCTATATAGAAATAATATTAATTTTTGAACTGACATATTTTGTAATAATGTATATATCGATGATAAACTCTTCCCTATGTACTTCTTTTAACTCATGATTATGAATAAGATATACTAGACACAAATATGAAAAATAAGCTACATTACACAGATGTTCTATTCTGAATTAGTGAAACAATAGGACAAGACCACTTAAAGAGGGAATGGTGCTTTCAAGATCTTTGACAGTTGGTAAAATAATGTCAAAGAGCCAAATTTTCCCAAGTGGAAAATCTGAATTATTAATCAAGAATGTAATTAAGGAGGCGAACGTCACACAATTAAAGACAGAAAAAGACAGATGATGATACTGAAAATACTGAAGAAAAACCTTAACCCAAGCTTCCAGATTTACCAATAAACAAACCCAATCTACCTCATAGGGTATAAAATCCAAACTATGGGTAAAAGGAAAAAACATCAACTACGAATTTAAAAAATCCTCTTCCATCTCATTAGAATTTAGCTGGCCAATACAAATTTTTGAAAAGTTCTATTTGACTGTTACTCAAGCAGTTAACGAAGCATCTCAGATGGTTATTAAAAAGGAAAACAAGATTTGAATAGTTCAAACATCAACAGCTTGTCACACAGTGATATAGGCAGATCAGATCTGAACAAAACTGATACCAGTTTGAACTTCAACTGTCAAACCCGTTTGTGTTCTTTGATTAGTCTAGACTCAGCCAGTAAGAAATGTGATCTACCAACATCCAGTTTAGACCTTTACTGTTAATTAGTTATCTCACCGGTAGACTACAACTACATATGAAAGAGAAGAAATTAAAGAAACAGATGAATATATAAATTTTCACGGCTTAATTCACATTGAAATGTATTCAAATCCAGTCCTTCATGTTTATAAAATTGTGCGGGAGCCATAAAAAGCTCCTGATACCTTGAATATATGCAGTTTAAAAGTAAACAAAAACTTTAAGTAGTTTATTAATCTCAATATTTAGGAGAGCGATTTAGCTAATTTACAGGAGTCTTTAATGACTCCTTCGAAGGAAAGCCGACGTGCGTCAAGAGGAGCAGCAGCAAAAGCTCCCCTTAAACGTGATGGACTGCAAATCGATAATTTAATATTTAAATGAGAAAAAAACAGCGCCTGCCAGGCAGGATACGCCCACATTTTGCAAGCAATGGATAGAGAACAAGCTAAAAACAAAAAGGATGCTTTGTACAATCAGGGGCAATAATCCAGAAAGTTATGGTCTGAAATGCGAAAATATCAAAAGGGACTGAGATTTTTAGAATATAAAGATAAGTTTTAAGTTTCATCAAAATTGGATAAAAATTGTGACCGCTAGAGGGTCCATAACCTTTGTATTTCATACTTATACACAATTTGCGTAGAAAGAGTGGCCATTTTGTCGGTCAGTTTCATTTTGATTTTCCCGAAATTCCAATTCAACCTTCATTATGGTGGAATGGTTATGTATTTAAATGTTTTTTAAAATCGGAAAAAAAATTGTGACCTCTAGAGAATCCACAAGCTAAAGATGCAATTTGTCGACCAATCAGGGGCCATAATCCAGAAAGTTATGTTCGAATATGTGTGATTATCAAAAGGAACTAAGATCTTTATGATAAAAACATATATTTAAAGTTTCATCCAATATACCATATTTTTACACTATTTGTGTACAATTTTTGTGCGATTTTCACGAAAGTCGAACTCAACCATCATTAGTGTATAACTGGGATATATTCACACTTTTTTTTTTTAAATCAGATAAAAATTGTGACCTCTATAGGGACCAAAAGCTAAAAACGCGATTTTTTGTACAATCAGGGGCCATAATTCAGGAAGTTATGATCCGATATGCGCGAATATCGAAAGGAAAAAGAGGTCTGTGGGTTATAAACATACATTTCAAGTTTAAACCAAATCGGATAAAAATTGTGACCTCTATAGTGTTCACAAGCTAAAAATGTGATTTTTCGTACAATCAGGGGCCATAATCCATGAAGTTACAGTCCAATACATGCCAATATCGAAAAGAACCGAGATCTTAGGGTGATAAACCTATATTTCATGTTTCATTGAAATCGGATAAAAATTGTGACCTGTAGAGTGTTCACAAACAATTGTGGACGGACGGACAGGAGCGACGACAATATGCGTCCCCATGAAAATGTGGGCGTATAAAAATATTAACAGTAGATAATCTCCCAGATTGGATTCAATCAGATTAAAAGGAGGACCATCAAAGAAAATTAGTGAAAATTATTGGTGGTACTAGCTGCTTTTGACCATATCTGCAGAGTGCCGAATGTTGAAAATATTTAATTTATCATATCTTTGTAAATACTGATTGAAATTGAACTATTTTAACACTGATATTCTTATTAGAGAATCAAATGTCACAATATTGTAGTTTGCAATGGATTGAAACCCACAGACAATTAGAGACTTTTAAACATTAATGTAATTCTGAAACTGAGAGGAGTGTACCGTAAGGTAGTTTAGTTGTACAGAAAATGACTCCATTTCTAAGTTGTTTCAGACTGATTCTGGTTGCTTTGAAACTCACTTGTGTGAAGTAAAACTGCAACTAACCAAAATCAAACCTGTTTCAGTGAGAAGAATGCATTGCGATCAAGTGATGTTAATAATCAAATAACTTACCAATATGGTGATAGTAATTGGTACAAAAACAGCAATACAGAAACACTAGCAAAGAAAGTGTCTAGGTGTCTGGGTTGTCAAAGTCTAGTGCCAGGAAGTCTGGAACATCATAATCATTATCATGAGATAATTTTCATATGACACTGGCATGTTCAAGTTAGATTGTATGGTATGCACATTTTGAGACAAATCTGACCAGCCATCATTAAAATAAATTTCAATATGTAGTAACGTTTTGGTGGGTTTCAAGAAATACTAATAACCATTTAATCAAAGTGGGACAATATTAGTTGGGTTCACACTTATTCTGCATAAATCAACCATATTTGTGTTCTGAATTATTTGTGATTAAATTAGTAATCTATACAACCTTACTCAAAGAATAGCAAACTTGTATCCAAGGTTGAAACTTGGACTTAAATTTAATTGGGATGAATCGTTTACATTTGTATAGCTACTTCATATTCAATGAAATTAATTCAGACAGATCTACCATTAATATTGTACCAGTAGTCACTTTCTACCCAATCAATGATTTAATGTGGTCAGTATATAAAGGATCAACAAACAGTTCTGCTGCCAATTATTTTCAACACCACACAAAGATTAAGGCATGTCATGATTGTTCTAAATAATTAAGATTTATCGACTTAATTATGTGTCCTTAAACATTTTCTTCTTTTATTCATATTTAAACATATTTTCCTTGCATTTAGACACTTATTTTGATTAATAACCTCTTTCTCACTGTACGAAGCAAATTCTCATGGCATAGGTTTTTGTTAAATTTGAACTCCACACTTTTTGGGGGATCTGCTACAGATATAATTTAACACATTCTTGTGATTTTTGAACTTAGGTGAAATATGGATTTTTAATGTTCTTTTTCCAATATGATGTAGGAACAAGCTACAAGCATTATGGCTGATGAAAACTTGAATCCTATTTTTATCCTCTACACTAATTTGAAGAAAAAGCACTTGAAAGTGTGTGAATCAGAAGGTTTATTACAAATTGAAATGATGTACAAAGATATTAGATTTAGATCTGATACCCCAGATGAGAACACCATGAAATTACAATTCACCATATTTCTATTTATCTTATTTGAACCCTCTAGTGCTTGAAACAAATCAGTTATATTCAACAAATTAGATAAAAATAGTTTATAATATCAGAAGTTGGGACCTAAATAACAGCTTAGTTATTAGTATAAACCTGGGAATAATCGGCTCTAGTAAACCATATTATACCGTAGAATTTATTGATCACACTATTTCTAGCAACCAATTTTACTCCTCGCTCAAAGTAATCACATTTTTATTCAATTTAGGTCAAACCAAAAACGTCCATCACACCAGTGGATTGAGGTACAATGAGTATAAATTCAACCCAAAATGTCTTCTCTTCACTGACTTCGGTCAAGTTTTATAGGAAAACAAATAGGGGTCAGTGTCATGCTGACTTAAATACAATGATATACAGTTGAATGCATCTTCACAACGTAATTCTTAAATGAAAGTGCAATAGATGATTCTGACAGCCAATTTATCAGAAAATCTTAGGTTTATTGTAAATGCAATTCGCAGTATTATTCATAATACATTGGGTAGTAAAGTAAGCAAGATAACCTAGTGCATGCGCTTTAGACCATATGGTCTGCCATTGAGTCAAACATCATGCTTTTCTATCTTAGCTTGTATGTGACAAGGAGTAGAACTGTATGTCTGCCCAACCCCATGGGTTTTACCCTTTGTGGAAGCAAACTATTGAATTTCTCTCCATTAGTAATAATTAAACAAATCATGCTGGATCAAAAATCTCCATTACTCCCTATTTGTAATCGATATGACATTTTATCATGGTCCCTCAACACATTCTTCATTTTAAAGATCAATAGGGTGTCTGCTATTCAAACTTTTCTGAACAAATCATGTAACGAGATGTATGTATTTAACCCGGCTAAGCCAAAAAGAAAATCAGAAATATAGAGACAGTTGACTACATGAATAATCATCAATGCCTATTCAGACAAATTGCTCACACTAATTCAGACTTCTGAGTTTTAATGTGTTGAATGTTGAATGTACATACCTTAAATTTGCTCTTATGGATGGCCTGCTGGACGCCGACTACATTTTCAAGATGGCTCAACATTTCAATATTTTCAGAATAAACGAAACAGGAGCCACAGAAAATCTTAGAAATAATACTTTAATTTGTACAGATCTGATCAATCTCACTGAATTAGCAATAAGCTACAACTTTTTTGTGAATTTGTTTCCATTCAAAGAACCACTTTACATCTGCTGTTTAAAAATTCATGAACAAAATGTAACAAAGAGCTGGTTTTTATTCACCTACAGACTAAGTATGTTAATAAGAGAACCAATACCAAATCACTTCATTTTAGCTAGACAAATTTCCAACATCATATTTTTAATCTGGACAGCTGATTTTCCAAAAAAGATTTCAAGCCAGTTTCTAGCTGTATTCTTATTTTAAAATGTTGAGAAAGCCACGTTACTTCTTCTGTTATGCATATAATTACAGGAATTCTAGGGATTCTGTCCTGAGAAATTGACTATTGTCTCAGACTCAAAGAAGTTCCCATCAATGCCTTTCAAAACTCTAATGTAGTCTGCTTACTGTCATATCAGTGGAAATATTTATCTAATTATTAAACACATTCACAAGATCTATTACATCCGCTATTTATTGCATAGCAACCACTATTCTTCTTCACCTACAAGTCTCAAATTGGTTGCTGTGGGTTTTTTTTCGAAAATATTGTGAGTCAAGAACATATTTGTCACAAATCAAATCCTAAACATAACACAGATTAAACATCACAAGAATATTGTTAGCAAAATTTGCTGAGAATCTGGACTGTCATATTACAGAAACTCTATTTATTTAGCCTAACTGTAAGACCTTGTGAACTCTATTACAATATGGCTAGATCAGGCATAATAACAGAAGTGAATTAATGAAAGTTAAGATTAAATGATATATTTAATAGCATATTAGATTGTTTCTATAAATAGTAAATACTATTATAGCTAGGGAACAAAAATATTATATATCACTGATTTCAGTAATCCTACCAAAGCTTACAGTGTATTTATGAGAAGATAGAAGGATTAGAATGTCTCAAGACAATACTTCAACCATTTAAAACAATCATAGATATAGTCACATGTTCAATGCTAAAGAGTGACATTATGTCAGAACTACAGCATTCACTCTGTACTTCATCAAATTCCAGCTATCTAGAGTTCTTTTTAAATACAGACAACATGTATATGGGTGTTCTTTGGTTTTATTTCCTATGCAAACAACTTGTCAACACTTTCTGTGTCAGTCCCCCAGGTTTTAACCCTGATAAGTGAAAAATGGGCTTGACAAATCTGAAGGTTCTTTTGAAACCCCACCAAGATTTGACATTAGACTACTCCTCTACTTCCAACTAGTTGATTACATGAATATTGCGTTTTATGACATAATATCAATAAATCTGGTAAAATGACAGTTCTCAACCTTGTAAAAAAAATATTTAAAAGCCATAATTTTTTTTATATAAAATCAATGCAAGTTTAGTATGAAAACTAGCATATCTCTAATTACTTTCAAATTAAACTTAATGGTTCATCACACAAAATTTGGCTAATTTTGTGTTTAATTGGATCATGTTGGCTCATAACACTGACCTGAACCAATCACTTTTTATGCCAGAAAGTTTATATTGATAAGCAGTTGAAAAATTGACTTAATGAGTCAAATACTTGCCATGGGAAGATATGTATGTGATCCCTATACCAAGACTGACATAGACAAATATTCATGATATCTTGTGATAGAACTCCTTTTTAGTTGTATTCCATTCTAGAAGACACTTTTCTGAACAGGTAACATATATGTTCAATCTGATTAAAACACAGATCCTATTTTGTTTCGTTCTTTATAGTTCAAAATTTTGTTTATACTTGTCTGTACTACACTAGGATCTGGAAGAGTTGTTATATTACTTACGTTTTGGCTGAAGTGAGGGATAAGCCCATAAAACGGTCTGTTACGGCGACTTCTTGGCGTGCCATTCACGGAACTGTGTGTAAACCACTAGAAACGTCAATGCTGATTGATTATCAATGCTGGACGTCATAGGGTCAAAAGCCGCTCATACGACCCTTGACACGACCTACCAGTATAACTTGTCAGATTTTCATGTAGTGTAGGCCATCGAAAGTATAAAAAAAACGGAACGAAATATAGATCTGTATTTTAATCAGACTGATATATGTTTTACTGATTATTGATGTAAATAATCTTACCTGATCTTTTTCTTCTTGACTTTTAGGAATAATCTTACAATTCAACACTAAATATCCCATGTAGTCAGCTTTACCTCGCTGGTCACTTAACATACATTTTAATTCAGTGGCTCTGGAAATAAAAACAATAGACAATTCATTATAAGAATGTAATATTTTGTCTATTCTTTCTCCAAGAATCAACTTAATAAAATAAATGTTAATAGAGACAAAAAAGTTCTCATAACAACGGTAATCTGGTAAAATGTCAATGAGAAATCAATAGACAATCTTGTTCACAAAATATAGACAGAATTCACTACAAAGAAATGCTACCATCGCAGTCGTTGACAAAACAATTCTAGCTGTGACAAACAAGCTAAATTAAACATTTATATTCATAGAGTTTACGAAGTAATTCTTGTTTGCAGGACGATTTCCTTATAATTAACTTCAGAAATGAAGTTAAGACAGGCTTTAATCAGACCATCTTTATAATTTGACAGAGAAAAACAATCCGAGTTAATCATCGAAGAGGATAACCTATATTAAGTCTCTCTCAATTCTGTATTAAGACTTTAACATCAAGCACATAAAACAAGAAATAAATCAGACATGCGAGTTTCATTAACATCACCTTATGATTTTATCCTTCCATGTCAAGTAAGATTTCCAATAAAAAAAAAACAGATTCTATAATGAGCTAATTACATGAGTCAAGTTTAGGAATGTATATTGTTCAGTTTTGAATGTAGATCATTTATAATTAGGTGGACAAATTTCGAACACTATCTTCACTTAGTCATAAAAATAGCTGGTTTGAATTGTATTATTTAAATAGTTTCTACGCTGGCAACCTTTTAAATCTGGAGTTTATGCAATAACACTAATTCATGAAGTTATGAACTGATATGCGCAAATATCGAAAGGAACCAGGATCTGTCGGTTATAAACATGTATTTTAAGTTTCATCAAAAATCAGGTCAAAATTGTGACCTCTAGAGGGTCAACAACCTTGATATACAAGACCTTTACACTATTTGCGTACATGGGGCAGCCATTTTGTCCGACAGTTTTGGTTTGATTTTAACAAAATTCGAACTCAACCAACATTACGATGTAATGGTGATATATTCAAACGTTTTTGCAGTGAGATTTTTGGGACATAAACTTATCTTTTAAGTTTCATCAAAATCAAATCAAAATTGTGACCTCTAGAGGGTGCACAACCTTGATATTACATACTTTAACATACTATTTACGTACAGGGAGCGGTCAATTCACAAAATTCGAACTCAGCCATCATTATGGTGTAACAGTGATATCTTCGAGAAATTTTTTTAAAGGAGCTAAATCGCTAATATTTGGGACCTACAAATTGACACAAATGGGTTGCAACGTATATAATAATGTAATATGAATGTAAATAAACTGATTTACATTCAGTCGTTTCCGTTTTTACTTTAATTTCAAAGCAGTTATGTTCGGCGAAATACGCCAGAAGTTTCAAGCGAATGGCAATCTCTAGCGCCTGGCTATTCCAGTCTACACTGATATTATTTATTGCACATGCTCTCCAGATAAGAATATGGGGTCACCGTTTGACATGACTTGTGGAATATGTCTAACCTTGTTCTTGCGAGTCGTTTGTTACAAATTGCGCTGAAATGCATCATGGTACACGATTCGTGTACCAATCGTAAAATGTTTATTTTGTCATAAATATTGAATATCAGAAGCCCATCTTTTCCCAGTAAGATCACAACACCAATGTTGATTACAATTGACAAATAATTCGTGTTTTCAATGTCGAATGTTTTGGATGATATTGAGTTAGAGACTTCGCTACTTTAAATCGGATAAAAATTGTGACCTCTATAGGGGGACTACAAGCTAAAAATGTGATCTTTCGTACAATCAGTGGCCATAATCCAGGAAGTTACGGTCCGATATGTACGAGATCTTTGTGTTATAAACATACATTTCAAGTGTCATCAAAATAGGACAAAACTGTGACCTCTATAGTGTCCACAAGCTAAGAACGTGATTTTTTGTACAATCAGGTGCCATAATCCATGAAGTTACAGTCCAATACATGCCAATTTTTAAAGGAACCGAAATCTTTGGAACATAAACCTATATTTCAAGTTTCGTCAAAATTGGATAAAAATTGTGACCTATAGAGTGTTTACAAACAAATTGTGAACGGACGGACAGGGGCGACGGCAATATACGTCCACATGAAAATATGGACATATAAAAAGATAGGTTGCCAGGCAACGAAACATACGCCCACAGCAGCTTAATCGTCCGGGCAGTCAACAAGAGTTGTCACATATTTTTACTTTTTTCGGTAATGAAACATTTATAATACACTAAAATCTGATTAAGAGCAATTATCAGAAAACCATTAGAAGTTGTTTGGTTTTTACAAATTCTGCCTAATGCTAACATTTTGTATACAAAACATTTAATGTCATAGATTTAGCTGTTCAAATCATATAAATTCATTGAAAATCAATATACTTGTTCGTCTCAAGATCTTAAACTCTGGGTATCAATCTGAAGTCAATCGGATGATAACTTTAGCCTTTAGAGTGTCACAAAGTGATTAAGGGCCATAACAAAATCAATAGGTTTCTTCGTCTCGTGACCTTAAACAATGTGTATAAATTTAAAGTCAATCGGATATTAAGTTTGGCCTCTAGAGCGTTCACAAGATTTTTCATTCAAAGTGATCAAGGACCATAACTCTGGCAGTAATTATCGGAAATCGTTGAAAATCAATAGGTTTCTTCGTCTCATGACCTTAAACACTGTGTATAAATTTAGAGTCAATCAGATATTAACTTTAGCCTCTGGAGCGTCCACAAGCAATTGTGGACGCCGGACGGACGGGGGCGACGACAATATACGACCACATTTAAATGTGGGCGTATAAAAACAATTGCAAGAACTCAAACTGTATCATGTTGGCAAGAAATTATGGAAGGGCTGATCACATAACAATAAAAGTGAAAATCAAGATAAATATGTAGTTATACTACATCATGAATTATTAATATTCAAATAATGAGAACAATTTTAAAATCATCCACATAAGCTGGTAGGGGATTACTTGAATTTGATGGCTAACCATTTGAATTATTTATATACATTTATCAGATCAGATCTTGTCATGTTATCATCCACCATTAACAAAACCAAGAATTCATCCCTAAGTGATACCAACTGGGTTGTTTTTATAGCATATAATATGGTCTCAATGGTCATCAATTTCTGATAATATAACCAAATTAATAATCCCTCTGGATGTTTGGTAGCAAAGAGCAATAGAAAATAAACAAAATAATTCATCAAAATTCCATATAAATGAATTTAAATGATTTGAGTCCTCCACAATGCTTCAGTTGATACAGAATTTGTGTCATGCGCAGACCCTGGCCTTATTCGTAGACTGACACCCATAGGCCAGTGTGTGTTTTTTTGTGAAAATACCGTCGTACAGTAAGCTTCTTTTACATAAAATGGAAAAGAAAGCCATTTCTATATACGTGTAAGGTTTACTGACCGACGCCAGAAAGCAATATTTACAAAAACTTTGATATAGGAAAGACCCGTAATTGGCCGTTTGCAATTGAGGAAACAAATGGATGACTGATCCGTGCTCATGGCCCGAATTAGAATTAAGTCAAGTTTATTACGCATTTTATGTTCAAACAGATGTTATATATTAATTACGGGACTATTAACACAAAAGATTTAAATGGTCTATCCTATTTACATTCAACTGCCGACTGGACAGTTCTTTGCGAGGTTGATATATCGTCTGCTATATCTGCATGCTACCCTACTCGACACAAAACACGGTACTATGTTGGTCTTTGAAGCTGTCGACTTGAAAATAATTCCAGCTAATAATACTATAAATAGTATGCAATATGCAAATAAGATTGTTTATGCGTACTGTTAGCCAATAGCTATTGTAAATTTCCCCGCGTTTAGAGGGCTCTAACCAATGATAAAATAGTTGTTTGGTGCACAGGGTAAAACTTCAGCCATTTTTATAAAATTTTCCTCTTGATGGGATATGAATAACAGAAAGAATAAAACGACAATCAAGGTGAATCTGAATATTTTTTAAAACCGTTTTTTTCTGTTAATTGTAACCACATAAATCGTCTTGGCTCAGCTTTTGGCACTCATTGAAATTTTAATCCAATCAGTTTATTTTGCCGCAACCAAGAAGAAGAACGATACATTTGTGTCCATTTGATCAATTTCTAATTCAGTATTTGGTTCAGAGAACACTATTGAATGAAAATATGTAACTGGACTCGGTGCATTCTATACAGCGTACCATTTTTTGTTTTCTTTTCTTTTTTTTTTTAGATGTGCTACGGCCGTGTTTAAATTTTAATATCGTCTTGAATAATTCTTTTGTGGAACCGCAGGTCACATCTCTAACCCATTCCATTATTTACTCTTATGCTCTATTTCATGGATTGTGTGCGAGCTTGACATATATCGTCTGCTACAACGCAGTATATCGTCAATAAAACGATACAAAAATAATTTAGACACGATTTGAAATTATTCATTTATTACGAATGCTACATGCAACTTACAACAGGAGTGGCATTCAAGAATACTTTTTGTATAAAGAGAAAAAAAGGAAAAACCCCATTTTCCCTAGCATTTACCATGTTAAGACCCGTGTTGAAAAAGGCCAGACTAAATGACAGTTAGGTTCGAATTTTGTGAAAATCAGACAGAAAGTGCCCGACAAAATGGAAAATGGCAGCTACCCGTATAGATAGTGTAAAAGTATGTAATACCATTGTTGTGGTCACATTTTTTATCCAATTTTGATTAAACGTAAAATATGTGTTTATATTCCAAAAATCTAGGTTCCTTTCAATACTTGCATGTATTAGACCATAACTTCCTGGATTGTGACCCTTGATTATGTTTTAAACTTGTTCTCTGTCCATCTCTATAAATGCATGAATAATGCTGCCCCAGACTACCTCGCTGATCTCATAAAACAGCAAGATTCTGAACACCGTACACGATCATCAAGCAAAGATCTCCTAAAATTGCCAACATCAAACCTAGTTACCTATGGTGATCGAATGTTTTGCATTGCTGCTCCAACTTTGTGGAATGAGAAACACTTGAACACTTCCATTAAAAGTGCCAAAACATTACTTGACTTTAGAAAAAAGTTAAAAACCCACCTTTTTCGACATGCGTATCCAGAGTTACATTAAAAGCGTTTAGAGCACGCCTCGGCATGGAATAGGCGCTATATAAATGACTTTATTATTATTATTATTAAAATGTGTCCGTATCTTCGATGGCAACAGCTTGTTATCTAATTTTGATGAAACTTAAAATATGTTTATAACCCAACGATCTTGGTTCCTTTCTATATTCACGCATATTGGTCCATAACTTAGCGGATTGAGGCCGCTGATTGAACGGAAAATTGCGTTTTTAGCTTGTGGACCTTCTAGAAGTCACAATTGTTATCCAATAGGAGCAACAACAACATACATACATTAGAAAATGTGTGCGTATCAAAATACGACTTATTTAAAGTGAATAGTTGCTGTATGCTAATAATAAAGCTTCACATGTATCTACATAATAATTCTCTAATGCTCATAAATGATTATTTAGTTATAACCTATACTCATCCATATTATTACTGTAATATATAACTGTTTATTCCTTTGATGTCCGCAGGACAAATAATTCTCGCAAAGATTCAAACAATTTTGTAATTTTAACATTGATTACAAGAGTATCAACAATTTACCAAAACCATGCTTTGAATGAAAAGTCTAATGAATCAATTTATAGTTCTGGCTACTTCGCCCATGAATAATGTACATATTCATCAAACAGGCCTTTAATCGATCGACTCCTGTATAAATAACATAATATACTTACTTGTTTAATTCTAAAGTTGAAAGATCAATCTCAGCAGAGCCCATAGGATCATCAGTCATTCCACGATCATAGTCAAAGACTTTCATTTGCAGAGGTTTAAAGATGTCTTCCACAGGCACAGTAAAAACATCCTCCCATCTTGGATTCAGATTTTTATACACAGTACGACTCTTGTACACTTGTTTACCATTATATTTAAATTTCACATAGGGATCACTGGTACCTGTATAATATTTAATAATAATCACTCTAATGTGAATATGGTAAGTCATGACTAAACGTCTACTATCACAAGTCTGTATTCATTCTGCAACAGAACATCAATATATTAAACATATTTTTCAATTGAAATATGTACATACCAGATGGTACAACAGTTCAGTGTCAAATATATCATTATTTATCATAGATAAAATATGAATAGAATAAAGCATTACAAACCATCACATCACCTTGTTAAATACGGTAGAGGTTTTCACCAAGGTTAACTAGGACAACCTCAAAACTTATTTTAATTTAAAATTTGACATATTTCATGATTATTTAATTATATTTAATTAGAACTTTAAATCAGTTGGCAGCATGCACATTAAACCTGTACTATTAACTCTGGCGCCGACAGAAAACTTTATCTGTAATAACTAAAATTTGGTCGTCTTCTAGTTCTTCCTTATGGTAATATTTACTTTACAAAACATGTACTGGTAATCTGATGGCAAATTTTGTTGTTGTCGAAAAGCGTTGAAAATAAATAGGATTCTTCGTTTCATGAACATAACGCTGTATCCTTTTCAAATAAATCGGGAAATAACTTTACCAACTAGAGGGTCAACAAGTGATCTCATGAGCATAAACCTTGTGCATAAATATAAAAGCACTCAAGAGATATCTCCGACATCTTGAGCATCCACAACTTTTTCCAAAGTACTCATAGGCAATAACTCTAGAAGGAAATATTGGAAAGTGTTGAAAATCAATTCGCTTCCATGTATGATGAAAATAAGTTACTGTGAATACATTTCACAACAATTAGATGAACGCTTTATGCCCTAGAGCGTCCACAAGCTTTTTCAAAGTGATCAAGGGACATGAAGTAATAATTGAAAATCAGTGTACTGTGTATAAATTTCTAGAGCATCAACAAGCAATTGAAATGTGGTGATTTGAAAAGAGCTTATGAACTTTGCTTTAAAAAATTAGAAAATAAATAATTGTTCTATAAACTAAATCTTACCACAGCTGTCTCGGACAACCAAATCACGACCCTCCTGTAGTCGAACTTCCAGCACAAAAAAAACATGTTGCGTTTGGGCATTTTGTCGCTGTCTGGTGGAACTCTCCTGAAAAGCAAATAATACATGCATTATTATTTTGCATTTTATACAATTAGCTGTATAAATTGTTAAATTAGGACCTTGTGAATATATTGTCTAAATACCATATATAAAGTAAGTCTTTCTCAAACTTCATTATATTAAATCAGTCACATAGACAAATAAACTGGAACTGAGAATTTTGACAGCAACAAACTGAGATTTATCCAGATCTAGTGCAAATAACTCTTTAACAATACCAATCATGGATATTCACTGAACAAAGCAGTTGAAATAACACCTCAAGTTATATAATACAGATGAAATGGAGTCAACCATCATACATTTATATAAGCTATTATTTACAAATGCAAATTGACACCTATTGCATCAACTGATCATTATTTGCAAATATAAAATGTTAAAAATCAAAATAGTTCCAGGCAACTAATTGCTTGGATATCAATTCTATTTTGTAGTTCAGAGAATCCTTGTCTAGAAATTTAAATGTCATATTATTCAAATTATATTATCAAATACGTGTACGGTATACAAATTCCCAATCGGATGATGTTCAAAGCTTTAGTTTAAAAAATTGAAGCACTGGCCTACTTATAGATTAAAGCAATTTGCATGAGCATTTGACACCATTGGAAAACCACTAAAACATTTGCACAATTGTGACCTGTAAATTTTGAAAATTGAGTTATTGTTATCTTCACATTCGCCATCTCAATACCTTCAAAATGATGTATGGTTGGTTTAAATCAGGCAAAAATTGATTGAGCTGTGTCCATTTGAAGCTGCACAAGCAAGGAAAGTAAGTTTTGGAAAAAGCCTAGTTAAAGATGTTGATATGTTCCAAAACAAAATCACATAGCAACCATGCCGTTTATTTGCTATTTTGTTGTTTAATATTTTATTGTAAGGGTTTTCAGGGGTGCTGAGACTGAAGACGAAAATCTTAGTAAAATTCCTCGCCAACTAGAATATTTATCTCATGCAATGAACTCTTAACAAAACATCCACACTTTCTATGATAGTGTTATAATTTAGAATAAATGAGAATAGTCCATACATTAGTAATCTATATGTTTTGTATATTATAACTTTGGTCAGAATAACTTCAGTTAATCATTTAATTAGCACCTTAGTGCCAGTGTTCAGTTGATTAAGATTGTTGATTGGGTAATCAAGTTTAGTTTCTTGATCATCAAAGAAGCCGTCACACGACTAAATTAAAATAAGGTTTTGTGCGTACGATAGGTCTCTTTATTTTCAAATACCGTAACGGTATCAAAATTGAATCCCTGATAGAAAGATAAAAATTTCAATTTCATTTGTAAGAAATGCTTATGTTCACTTTTGTGTATTTTGACGGCAGTTTTAATGACACAAATAATGGCGGATTCGAGAATAGTCACTTTTCGACTCGGTTGTTCTCATTTTCCGACCCATGGTGATAATAGAATTTAAAACAATAATATCCAATTATGCTTTATACTTTGCGACAGTAAATGGGATTCGGCTATCAGTAAAATTCTCTTCGAAAAGAAAATTATTGGCCATTTGGTTTATTTCCATTTAGGTCTATAAATTATTTTTTTAAGACAAAACAAGATATCAAATAATAACCGTTTGGATTAATTATTTGGAATAATGATTTGTCGACGGCCTTATCATTGGTAATTATCATTAAACTAATCATTAATCTGTGACAATTGATTAGTATTACTCAATACACAATCCGTTTGTTGATTAATTTACAGTAGCGGTATTCCGACACATGGTTAAGGTTAACACTGAAAGGCAATCTAGACATGATCAGAATTTTAAGGTTTTATTCTGCTACTTCTGAGAGAGAGTCGCATGTAACCCAAAACATTATCGCCAAAATCAAGACAGCCATGATACCATAATGTTTGGTACGGGTGCCTGGGCCAACCAGCAAACAAATTGGGTGAACTGCATAGCAACAAGCGGATTTGGTTTGTGGGGTTTTAAAACTTATTCATATTTATAAACTAGAGATTCCCCGCTTTACAACGATGCTAAGTATTGACTGGTCGTCCCGCTGCGAGCGGAGAAATATAACTTATTTCGCTGAGAATTTTGAGAAAAAAGACAGATTTATAAATACGGTACTCTTACAAAACGTTAAAATAAAGGTGTTTTAATATATTTTATTCCTATTTTGATCTTTTGGGTCGATAGATAGTATATTTATAGACTCATATTTGTGAAAATTTCAATTTCGATCAAAATCAATATTTTCACTTGTTTTAACTCTAGCTCATTATTAGTTTTTGCGCATTCTGACTCATTTTGCCAGCACAGGTCACAATTAGTATACTGAATGATAAAATGTATGTATATCTCAATAACTTGAATAACTGTGTGAAAGATTTATCTCAGATTTTGCATACAATCATATTTGGACATTCCCAATGTAAGTTTATAGCCATGTAATGTTAAATGAAAAGCTGTAATGCCGATGTAAAAACAAGTATAAATACATTTTTTAAAAAATGAATAAGTTTTGATAAATAACTTAAGTTCTGTTTGACACTACCAGGTTATTATGGTTTAAATTAGATAGTGCTGCAATTTTGTTGTATAAGAAGTCAGTATTGATGTATATTACCATATGCCACAAACAAACCAACAATGCACTTCTGAATTTCAGACAGAAAATTGAATAAGAACACAGTTATTACATGAAACAAAGGAATTCAATTCGATTATTTTTGCTTGTAACAGTTAAAAAAAAGGGTTAAAGTGTCACAAGGATGTATATTGGAGACTGCAAATGCTGCGAACAAGGGATATATCTTTAGAATAAATAGGTGTGCACTCAAATTTACGATATCAGCATGTGTCTATATACTATAAGTTCCGGTGATAAGATCACACTACATGATAAACAATGACTGTAATATGACAAGAGGCAAATAAGGATAGGCGTTGGGTTTGTTTTGCCAAATTTAGATACTTAATATTAACAAAAAAGTGGGTGTGAGACGACCCTAGGGGGTCGGAGCATGCACCAAAATAAATGGTTGCTGTCTTTTACGGTATAAGGAATAAATATGCAAAGTTCCAAGATGATCCATTCATGCACCAAAATCAATAGTTGTCGTCCTTTGGGTATAAGGAATAAGTATACCAAGTTCCAAGATAATCCATTCAGAAGTGTGGCCTTCAGCGATGGTGCGGGCTTCAACTAAGGGTATGCAGGGTCTCGCCAAAATTTTTTTGAAAAACAGACTTCTGGATATGCAGTCTGGCAGCATTTCAGGCACTGATCATCGAAATATATAGATCTGACTAGATACCGCCTGACCACTAGTTTATCCGATCAGAGTGAAAAGTGTCGAACGAAGGGACTTGCCAACCTCAACAAACATCAAAGTAGCGAGCTCTTACGGAAGGGTATGGGGGACCTCCCCCAGAAAATTTTGAAAATAAACAGAGCCGGAAATGCAGTCTTACAGTATTCAGGCACCGATTGTCGAGATAAGAGTTGACCGGATACCGCCTGTCGTCTGATCACTAGTTTATCCAACCAGAGAGGAAAGTATCAAACAAACGGACTTGCGTACCTCAACAAAGCCCCCGAAAATTTGAAAAATAAACTGCCGGAACTGCAGTATTTCAGACACTGATCGTCGAAATAAATAGAGCTTACCTGATACCGCCTGTCACCAAATCCCTAGATTATCAGACCAGAAAGGAAAGTGTCAAACAAACGGAGTGAGTGAATCAAAGTGAATGAATATTTTGCTACAATATTTTGAGAAATAGGCTGCTGAAAATGCAGCCTGGCAGTATTTCAGACACTGGTCGTCGAGATAAATAGAGCTGACCAGATAAGGTCTGGCGCCAAATTAATAGCTTCCGAACAGAGAGGGAGGTGTCAAACGAACAGAGTGAGTATATCAAAGTGAATGAATATTCTTGCCGTGTTGAACCCATACCCAAAAATTTCGAGGATCGTAAAAAGCACTTGTGATTTACGTGTTATTGTTTATAGTAGGTTTACAGCAGGATGGGTTCGTTAAGAAATCACTCAAGACTCTACAATGTGCAAGTTTATGACCGAGTGAGAATGTTGGATTTAATCACTATAGAAGATACTGATTACGAAACATATCACATATTTTTTTTTTTTTTTTTTAAATTATTGGGGTGTGGGGGGCAAACAGGGCAGACCAGATTTATGGGGGACCAAATGCCCTCCTTTGCCCCCCCCCACTCCTTGGCGCCGCCACTGAGGTCATCCTTAGGGCAAAAAGAAAATTGGCATGGCTCTGCCCCAGGGGGGCTGTAAATGTACCACAAACAATAGAGATGTTCCTCAGGGTATAAGGAATAAGTATGCAACGTTTCAAGATAATACATTAAGAGATGCAGCTGTGGACGACAAATAAATACAAGAAATGGGCGTGGATGTATAAAAATATTAATTTTTTCAAACATTGTCTTCCGTATACTTGGAATGCTCACACTGCAAATTATTGTGGGTCATTAGTACAACAAAAACTTAAATATAATTAAAAAAATTGATGGAAATGCAAGCATTTTGTTTTTTTCATCAATTTTCCCACTGCTTTTAATGTTAATTCCAGTCTCTTTGCCAGGATCCAAATACATGTATTTTACAAATTTTCTTCTGTTGATTATTTTCGCACATTTGACATTTTGCCTTTAAACATGTATGAGGTTGCAAATGGAAATCTTGAGACACACATCACAAACTAAAAGTATCATATACTAGTAAACATTTAACTATCCTGTCGTAGGGCAAAGGAATTTGTAATGTTTAAGTAAATGAGTTCACACGTACAGTGAAATAATTACATTCATGGTAAGATCTAACAATAGGTTTCTACAGGTACAATAGTTTAATACGACCTACACTGTGAATGACTCCATCACTTTTATTCTAATTAACAGAATCTCTACTAATTCTATTTCAGGTCACAATTCTATGGAATACCATTACTGTTTATTACTGAGCGACTTTCAACTAGTCATTATTAAGCAATATAATGACTAAAGAAGCCTAGTCGAAATGTTTGCTTGGTAATGACTAGAGAAACCTAGTCGAAATGTCGCACAGTATTTGTATTCCATAGATTTGTGAACTGTATACTCCACTTCAATTACTAAATGCCAGTGAAACAATTTAATTCTATTCCATTATCAGGTTGTGAGTTGTAGAAATTGCTGATTTGAACATACCGGTAGTCAAAATCAGCTACATGTTTAGAATAGACCTAGTTGGGCTATCAAGATGTTAAATCAAAGATCACAACATTGTAAATGGGGTGTTATACTTTTCTAAATATAAGAATTTATAACACTGAAAGAATATTATAGGTTGAAAGATATTATGGTTTTCATGCAAACTAATAAGAAACATAATCTATATCAAAATTATATGATCTTGTCAGTTAATAAAGCATCAAATCATATTACGGAAAAGTTGTAGGTATTGACATCATTATACTGTATGCTATATTAACCCCATGTATAATAATCAGCAGACCAAGTCAACAGCCTAGTTAATGGATCATATAAATTGGTAATCTCATTCTCAGATCGGTGATATAATCAGTGAAACAAACAGTAAAAGACTATTTTATAGGTTAAACATCTTGTTAATAAGAACAGGACTAGCTTCCCTAAGCTAGCAACCATCCTGTATCTGAATTTTTTACTAACATTTCAAAAATATCAAATCAATAATTTCATGTCCCTGGTGTGTAAAACAAAACATGTACTTACAGTAATGAATGAACATGAATATTTTTCTACATGAATATCAAGTCTATCTGATACTTCTGTCATTTTCCAGTAAATAATTGAACACAAAACAAACTGTTATAATTCAAAAGGAGGAAATAAAGTAATGCTTTTACAAACTGACCTACTTGAATTGTAATAATACACGTAGAACTGAATAACAGTGAATTGTATAATATGAATAAATAAATTACCTGGGAAGTATAACTGCTTGTCCTATGGGAGAAAAAATCACTATCATCTTCTGATAGGTTAAACACACCTGGTCCATGTTTTTGTGGAATAAGACGAGATGATCTCATATAATAGTCATCGTCTATGTCTGATTCTTTATCACTGGTATTTACACTGGTAGAATGACCGTGATCAGAATAAACCGACCGTCTGGAAATACCTAAACCACGTCCTTTGACTTTTTGTGTTTTTCTATGCACTGGAGAAGCTTCTGTACTCGTTGACTGTCCAATAGATAAATTTGATCCATTGCGGTCACTTCCTGAACTACGCCCAGAACTATCCCTATCTGAATCATACTGTTTGATTTTATCCACAGGGTGTTTAGATTTTGTGACGGCACAATCGTAAGAGTGACGTCTAACGTGTCCATGAATTAAACAGTCTAATTTTGGTATCTGTAAGGAAGTTCCCCGTGGCTTCACTTTATGAGTGGCACCTGCTGGTAACGGAACACTGGAAGCAACATTCACTAAATTACCCAATGATTGAGTGACAGCCTCATCATACTTAAGTTGTCTAACTTTATCCCGGGGTCTAGGAGCTCTTTCAGTTGAATCACTCCTCCGGTGTCTACGAAGTAAGAAAGATGGTAGATATTTGTTGAATTGTGATTGATCTGACATGGTGGTTGTCTTCTCCACAAACTCCAATCAGGCTGGATAAGATAATTGGCATCCTATTTACTAAAAGTTCAAATCCTCATTCTGTCAATATATGGTGATAACCTAGTGGTGAGATCAACGAGGGTATTAGATCACATGTATATCACTAATAAATCACACGTATATAACTATCTGTGATTTAAAAGTGATCAATTTGCCTGAAGTCATGAAAACTAAAATACATACTATATATAAGTAACATTGACTAATTGCTAACTAGCCATTTACTCTTTTCATAAATTTGTGAAAACTAATTATCCATCCTAGTCTATATGGATCCAAACAATTCATAAATTATTCTTATCATGTTGATCTTAATTTATCTCTTTCTATTATCTCCTCTATTATCTCCCTTATTATACTGGGAAAATATAGCAGTCGATTAGGCAGTCACTTATAGTAATAGTATACATTATCAATACAGATATATACACCAACGCTCTTGTAGGAACAGCTATCCAATGAAAACACAAAGACTATATTCCACTTACTGATACCAAACTATGACTTGATCCATTCTACATTCATCTAACATTGGCTATGATAGCAACCAAACTATAAAACAGCCTCTACATTTTTTATTTTCTTATTGAATGATATAACCAATGAAAATACCACACAGAGATCGATAGAATTCCAATGATCTATCATCCCAATTGATTAAAATTTTCGTCTGTAACAACAATAGGCTAATACATCCCAACAAAACTGGTATTTAAATGTTGTGATAGTGCAGCCAATCTTAACATATAATACATGTCTCTAGTAAAGTAGAAATCCTGTGGTCTCATACACTGAGATTAGAATAGCTACTGAAACCATCACAGAGTATTAGCTCTATTCATACTGCTGAGCTGTGTCATTTCAAATTGACCTTACTTTTGTTCATTCAATCCATCTCTTATTAAGTAGATGTCAATAAATACTAGCTTATAGCCTGGAACCACATTATTGAAATCATGGATACCTTAATTCTCCAATACAAAATCTTTATCAGACTATTTGCACAAAATGCACTACCATTTTCCGATAATAATCAAATTTTATTTCATAAATGGCTACCAGTAATACGGTAAGGGAAAGAATAAATGTCATAACAATACATCACACTTATAGAAATACAAATGACATGTCCCAAGTCCGAAGTAATCTCTATTTTGACCATTTGGACAGTAGACATACATGATACATGCCAAGTGGAATTTGCCAATCAATATAACTTCTTCTCAGACTTGCATACCATACATTTACAAATCAAAAGTACTCAACAGCAATTTTAGTGATACAAATTTAAAATTACAAGATTTCTCGATTTAATACAGTCCACATTAATAATTTCAGGTCCATAGATACAGTAGTTCAGCTCTGAACACTCGCCCTCTACGTTCAGGAACAGGACTATTGACTCCTTGTCAAAACTTTTTGAATACCCAGTTATATTTATCGCACAGCTTTCATGAGTTAACAGGTTTAAACATCGAGACTGCAGGTCAAGATGTTAAACCTGTTAACGAATGAAGCGTGCTATAAATGACTTGTAACATTGACACCTGCTCAACATGCTTGTTGTTATTGCACAGAAAACCCACCCCACTTCTCTATATGATTCCTACTAAAACTAGTGTAAACCAGCAAAATAGTGCAATAACATTGAACATGTCTAGTTATTGCACGGTTAAGCTCCACCCAATCTACTAGAGGGAAAACAATCTGCTTATTCAAAGAAAAGAACAAAGGAAGATTTCCCGTCCATGTTACATTTAAATTTATTGCGCAACTTTTTACTGCTAAATGGTTGCGTGTCAGTCCATATGAACGCCTGTACAATGTAAAGGAACATTTTAGTGAGAAAATAAGACCTAGCTGACCATGCTAGTGTCAGTATGCGTGACACAACATGTTATAAAAAATACGTCCCCTCCTGCCAGGTAATATAGGTCAATACACAAATTTAAGAATGTCAGCGATACAAACAAAATTTAGGTAACCAGGGGAAAAAAATTGGTAGCCAAAGACAGCAGATTGTTAAAGCTTTTCTGGACATATAATATATATCTGAAACAGAAAATCCTAGAATACTGAAAATCAATAGGGTCCATCCTCTCAGATATAAATGCTTCACTCTAAATTTGAAATCGGAAGGTTACATAATGGTGAATATTATTCGGGGGTTGTCTTTTCATGACCCCAATTCAGTGTGAATCATTGGGGACCCCAATGATTCACACTGAATTTGAAAATAATCAAACTTTGGAATGAATTACCCAGAGACATCAGACAGTTTACCCAATTATCTCAGTTTATATCTCAGTTTATATCTATATAATCTAAAGACTCATCTACTTAGAGAATCATGAGTGCATGTACCATTGTGTAAATATGTCTGTATAGTGCTTAGAAATAACTTTTGTTATAATGTAGCACTTTAAAAATTGAATGATAATAATAATCAATTAAAGATAGGTTGCCAGGCAAAAAAACAAATCCGCCCACAGTAGCTAAGTCGTCTGGGTAGTCAACAAGGGTTGCTGCATATTTTTTTCTTTTGTCAATAATGTTAACATTTGCAACACACTAAAACTAGATTACAAATAACAACCCATTAAGTAATTATCAGAAATCATCAGAATTTTTTTCAATTGTTTGTCTATTAACTTGAGCCTCTAGAATGTCCACAAGATATTTCAAAGTGATCAAGGGTCATAACTCGGGCAGCAAATATCAGAAATTGTTGAAAAACAGTAGGCTTCTTCGTCTCATGATTGTAAACAGTGTATAAATCTAAAGTCTATTGGATATTAACTTAAACATACATTATGCAAGAGCTACATATGTCTATTGCAGGTCTTTCTTTGGGCCTGAAATATTATATAAACTATTAATTAGACATTTATAAACAAAACAAGACCATAATCAACTCTCGATGGCATCGGACACTCGAGATTTTAACTATATTAGAACGGTTCCCCATTTAAAAATTTAATCTAACCAGCGGCTGACAGGCAGGATACGCCCACATTTTGCAGGAGATGAAAGAGAACAAGCTAAAAACAGATTTTACGCAGATTTTTTTTACAATCAGGGCCCAGGGGCAATAATCCAGAAAGTTAGGGTCTGAAATGCACAAATATCAAAAGGGACTGAGATCTTTAGGATATAAAGATGTTTTAAGTTTCATCATATCAGATAAAAATTGTGACCACAACCTTCATATTACATATTTTTACACAATTTGCGTACAAAGAGCTGCCATTTTGTTGGGCAGTTTCATTTCAATTCTCCGGAAATTCGAATTCAACCTTCATTATGGTGGAATGGTGATATATTTAAATGGTTTTTCAAATCAGAAAAAAAAATTGTGACTTCTAGAGAATCTGCAAGCTAAAAATGCGATTTTACGAACAATCAGGGGCCATAATCCAGGAAGTTACATTCGGATATGCACAGTTATCAAAAGGAACCAAGTGTGTGTAATGGTGATATATTGACACGTTTTTTTTAAATCGGATAAAAATTGTGACCTCTAAGCTTTGTACAATCTAGGGCCATAATTCAGCAAGTTACGATCTGATATGCGCAAATATCAAAAGGACCCAAGATCTGTGGGTTATAAACATGTATTTCAAGTTTTATCAAAATCAGATCAAAATTGTGACCTCTAGGGGGTCCACAACCTTGACATACCAGATGTTACACTATTTGCGTACAAGGGGCAGCCATTTTGTCCGAGAGTTTGGGTCCGATTTTCACAAAATTCTACTGCAACCAACATTACTGTGTAACGGTGATATATTCAAACTTTTTTGTAAATCAGATAATTGTGACCTCTAGAAGGAGCACAAGTTAAAAACTCGATTTTTCGTACAATCAGGGGCCATAATTCAAGAAGGTACGATCCGATATGCAAATATCGAAAGCAACCAAGATCTTTGGGTGATAAACATGCATTTCAAGTTTCATCAAAATCGGATCAATATTGTGATATCTAGAGGGTCCACAATCTTGACATACCAGCAGATGTTTACACTATTTGCGCAGAGGGGCGGTCATTTAGTCTGGCAGTTTTAATCCGATTTTCACAAAATTCGAACTCAACCAACATTACATTGTAACGGTGATATATTCGATCAGTTTTTTAAATCAGATAATAATTGTGACCACAAGCTAAAAACTTGATTTTTCGTACAATCAGGGGCCATATGTTTTAAGTTTCATCAAATCAGATAATAATGAATCTATAAGTCTCTCGAGCATCCAAACGATTGTTCAAAATGATCAAGGGTCATAACTCTGGCAATAAGTATTGGAAATTAATTGTCTCATGACCTTAAAAACTGTATAAATTTATATTAACTTTAGCCTCTATCGCGTCCACAAGATTTTTCAAAAGGCTTATTCGTCTCATGATTGTAAACACTGTGTATAAAGTCTATTAGATATTAACCTTAGACTCTAGAGCAGTGATTCTCAACTGGTGTGCCGCAAGATCTTCCTAAGTGTGCCGCTAAATTTTGAATGGCACACTAAGAAAATGCGAAAAACCACATGATCATATTGAGTATTAAATGGTGTCTGCTGATGAAGTTCATAGCTGTGTTTTTCTTTATTTAGTTTCAGTCATTCTATGTGTCTATGACTTGTCTCTGTCTACTGTTGTATGTCGTTTGTCTTGCCATGTTTCTATTTTGCAAAATTCAAATATTTTTCATATATATTTAGCCAGGTCTGCCGCTATGTTTTCCTGTGTTCCAAGGTGTGCCGTTGGCAAAAGAAGGTTGAGAACCACTGCTCTAGGGTGTCCACAAGATTTTTCAAAGTGACCAAGGGCCATAACCATGGCAATAATTATCGGAAATTGTTGAAAATCTTCTGTCTCCTGACCTTAACTTAAACAATGTGTAAAAATAATTAGTCAATCGGATATCAACTTTAGCCTCTAGAGCTTGTGGACGCCAGAAACATGGGGGCAACGGCAATATACAACTACATTTCAATTGCTGATGGATGAGTGGAAGGACTGAAATGTGGGTTTATAAAAATTATGCACTATTTGGAACAGTGTAGGTAATATAAAACGATGTGAAAAGCTAAATATACATTG